CTGTCACATTTACAATATAATTTTGGCCTTTTAGTCAGAGGAACAAAGAGATTTATGATATTCCACTTCTTTGTTTTAATGCCAGAACAAAATATTGCACAATACTATACCAACCTCAGCTGTAATGCCCAGATATCACTGCCAGTATGCATTTATAATATTGTTTTTATACCAACAATATACATTTAGCTTTAGGTATTTTTCACTTTACTCTATTGTAAACAAACGACAAATAAAATATTGGTAACAGTATCTACATTTTACAGGGCTGTGAAATATGTACCTATTGTTTATAAAGAAAACACATTCTGTATCCTTTTCACCAGCAGGGGGCAGGAGAACAGCATGAATACAAATATACAGTATTTTTCATTGAGCACTCCCTGTTATTATTATTATTATCATTTATATAGCGCCAACAGATTCCGTAGCGCTTTACAATGATATCACTCCTGGGCTTCCTGTATTCTTAATTTTTATTCATTTGTTCTTAATACGTTCCTTAAATAAGGGTCTGACCAGTATTTGTAGACAGGTTCCTCCTGAAGTTAAAGAACTTGAATATACCACTGGTGATATTGCTAAAACATGGTGTGACAACATCTACAGTATAAGCTGTGGAGGAACTGGAGTCTGTGTAAAATGAATTGATAAAATTTGACCCAACAGGTATACACAGCGCTATGGCTCCTGGAAATTGCCAAGGATTTAAATAATATTACAAATGGTAGATATACAGTAATAGCTTCTACCCATTGAATGCTCATGGGGTAAGCAAATTATGCTCTTATTGGACTAAAATGGGCATATTAAAAGGCAGTCTGACTTTAGGGGTGCAGGTAATTGGGGATGCCCTAAACTTTGTAACTTGTCGTGATGAAGGTTTTGAGATTTGTTTAATGATTGCAAGGACGTGCTTATGGCAACCTACACTGCAGCTCCGCAAATATTAAATTAATATAATATGAATAAAAAACAATGAACAAAAAAAGATTGAAGGCAATAACTCAAAGGCAAAACCCCAAAATAATGCAAAATCTAGGAAAATTACAAAATCTAGGAAAATTACAAAAGAGAAGTAGGACTAAACTAAAGTAAATTGAAAGCATACTTCCCAACATTTCAAATGGACAAAGAGGGGCACTCTAATTTTAGGGGTGTGACTGTGGGTGTACTTTAGTTCATCTTGTGGAGGAAGGAGTGTTTTGAAGACTTACAGTATATACTCGAGTATAAGTCTAGTTTTTCAGCACATTTTTTGTGCTTAAAAACCCCCACTCGACTTATACTCGAGTCACTGTATTATGGCAACTTAGAGAGCCGCGGCCGTCAGAGCCATGGCAACGATCCGCGCGGCAACCAGACCACGAGACTTACAGTGGAGCTGACCGGAACAGAGGAGAAGGGAGCTGACAGGAGCTGCAGGAAAGGTAAGTAAATGCTTCCTGCCGGCTCCCCCACTTCACAGCCCATGCCACTGGACCATCAGGGATTAAGATAGCCCCCCTCCCTGACCAGTTAACAAGCAGGGAGGGGGGACAAAAAAAAATTAAAATAATAATAAAAAAATAATATAAAAAAACAATTAAAAATAAATAAATAATAAAAATGCCCTCCCCCCACCCAGTTCACACACACTACACAAACACACACTCTGCATTATATACGCAGAGTGTGTGTTTGTATGAGTGTGTGTGTGTGTGTGTATAATGCAGAGTGTGTGTTTGTATGAGTGTGTGTATATAATTATAAAAATCACAGAATTTCATAGCCCCAAGTTTTACCCTCGACTTATCCACGAGGCATAGCATATTTCACAATTGTTGGTCACAAAACTGCACTCGACTTATACATGAGATCGACTTATACACTAGTATATACGGTAACCGGACTTCATCTCTTTGGGACTCCTGCATTACTTTGATGTTCCCGTCTTTTATCCTGTAAGTGGAACCAGTATTAAAGTTTGGTATTGAAACTCTGCACCATGGTTTTTTCTTTTTCTTTTTTTCCGGTCCTCTTCTGTGCCTAGTGCTTCAGCTGCCAGGAGCCTGCGTCAGTTTTGTACTATCATGCGTGCATGAGAGTACAACACGTAGGACATTGGAGGCTCCCGTGAAACCACAGGATCTTCCATAGACAGAACCCTTTTCCTTTCAGTTGTCACTAGTGATGGCTGGGGGCTTGACAAAAGTTAGGCTAGACAAGGCTGCACAAACTTATCAAACTTGTCAAGTGAAGAAATATTACGAAACGTATTAATTAAAATTATTAAAGGATCACTATAGTGTCAGGAAAACAAAGCGGTATTCCTGACACTATAGTGCCCTGAGGGTGCCCCCACCCTCAGGGTCCCCCTCCCATTAAAACCCCTTCACCAGCTTACCTTATTCAAGCACCGGGCTCCCTCGGCGCTGGTGACCTCACCTCCTCTGCCGACGTCAGCTCCCTTTGCCGACATCAGCGGAGCCGCATGCGCGGCAAGTAGCGCGCGCATTCAAGCTGTCAATAGAAAAGCATTTTTCAATGCTTTCCTATGGACGCTCTGCACGGTGGAGGCATAATATGCCTCCAGCATCGCAGATACGCCTCAAGTGGCTGTCCGGAAGACAGCCACTAGAGGCTGGCTTAACCCCAAATGTAAACATAGCAGTTTCTCTAAAAAATGCTATGTTGGCATTTGAAGGGTTAAAACCCGAGGGACATTGCACCCAGACCACTTGATTGCGCTGGGGGTGGGGGACCTATAGACAGCAGAAAACCTGAAATCTAGCAGTCGGGAGTCTCGTGAAAACAAGGGAATGAACAGTGGCAGGTGAGCAAAACACCAGGAGTCTAATAATGAAAAGCAAAACACCTCTGATATGGTAATGATCGTGTTGAAGCAGCTACACAAAGATGTATGCCTGGCCAGACATGATATTGCAGCCTGACTGCACAGTCATAATTAAGCATGGCCTGTCTTAGTATTGTAGTGCAAGAGACCAAGCACAGTAAGCATGAATTCACACACAGTGGCTTGTGGCAATATCTACACACAGACTGACCCCACACACACAGACTGACCCCCACACACACTGGGAACCATCTCCTCCCGGACCTGCTCACAGACTGACCCGGCCACCCCCTCACACACAGACTGATCCCCACAATACTGCACAGACTGATCCCCCACACACACAGATTGACCCCCACACACACAGACTGAACCCCACACACACAGACTGACCCCCACACCACACACACACAGACTGCCCCCACACAGTCTGAGCCATACACACAACGGACCCCCACACACACACAGACTGACCATCCCACCCACAAACTGACTGGCAGATTTCTGTACTATTCATAGCTTTACACTGCAAGTTACATAGTGATATAGGCATAAAAAAAGATAACGTTTAAACCTCATAGAGCTAGGTTGTCACGAAGCCTCTGCAGATATAAAAAGATTTCTCACCATGCATTGTCAGTGACTGGTGGGGTGGAATTAGAAGCAGAAGAAATGGGTCTTAAGTGCATAACTATTTTGAAAGTATGTAGCTGCCCAATCACCTGGTTTAAAAGGACACTATAGTCATACAGACCAATTAATTTCAATGAACTTTCATTTTAACCATGCAATGTAAAACATTGTGGTTGTGTAGAAATGGCAATGTTTGCATTGCAGGGTTAAGTCCACCTCTAGTGGCTTTCAGTATGATAGCCACTAGAGGTGCTTCTAGGGCACCGTGTCATGTGACATGGAAGCCCCTCAATTTTTTTCCTACGAGGAAGTTTGAATATGCGCGCTGCACTTGCTGCGCATTATGTCCTACGTGGAGGAGGGGGGACCTATTCTGACTGGGGCACAATATCGTTAGAAATACAGGAATGCATTCCTAACACCATAGTGTTCCTTTAACCCTACTTCAGGCAGCCTCAGATATCAACTGCGCAACTACTGTTACAATGAACTGTTGCTTTTAAAGAGCATTTAATACAGTGTGTTGGATGGGGAAAGCTGTTGTACACTCTTCTGGGCTGAATTCCCACTTGACAATAGCTAATGGCCGAGTGGAAATTTTTTCAACCCTTTATAAGATATTTGCCAGAGCTGGACATCTCGCAAACATCCAGAGGTTTCAAATGTGGTCCTCTTTAGGGAGCAGACAGTGGCGCAGAAAGAAATCTAAAACATAGATACATATCAAGGTACGCCAGAGGTCACCATGTATGAGTATATCTGGCTGGTGAGATGTTTGTCTCCTACTGATTACATGCGATTTCCAGTGGTGTGAATTAGTCTTTATATATTTTATATATATATAGCCACAGACACGCATAGCTCAGAGAATCCTGTACTGCTACCAAGCTATGTAAACAAGGTGATCTAACGTTACAGAATGGGCAGCATGACCATAGATCCCAGCTTAGCTCATTCCATACACTCACTGAAATAGCTGATGGCTAACAAGTGATACACACTGCTTCGAGAACAGCACGGGTTATGCTTTCTATCTAAATAAGACCATAACGTGATGGCCCTGATTGAGTTTTATCCAAAACCAGGTCACGGTTGATGACTTTCATTCATGTGTACCAGGTTTAGGATGCCAACGACAACTGCTTAGAAATCCATCTGGAGTTAGTAAACTCTAAAAATAGAATCTGTTTCCATCATTGATGGATTTATTATCCATAGGACTTGCAAGGAATTTTCACCTGTAATAATAATGCGAAATAATTGGATAATGACATATTCTCATTTCTCACCATTGTGCTAGTGAAAGTGACAGAAAATTAAAAAATTCCAAGCTTTTCAAAGTCATAAAAGGCTAGTTTAAGCAACATGATCACTATTGTGTACTGTAGTGGTTATGGTGCCGTCCCATGGTAAGTTGTCAAACTGTTTACACCTCTGTTCCAGCAACCTCTTCAGATCTCACTAACGTGAAATCTCTACTTCGAAATTAATAACTTCAATCAATCAATTATCCATCTACTTTTGATTTGAATGGGTTAAAACATCTGCTGATGCTGCTAACCAATTAATTATATCAAAAAACTGAATTATCTGTATATTGTGGAAGGGGAATTTACACTTAAGATATATCACAGAATAGGGCCAGACTGTAGGGAATCCAGGTAAGTGTGAACAGAGTATACAGTTTGAGTACTTACCGGTACTATGGAACAATTCCAGGTGACAACTGGTACCATAATCACTACAGTGCTTAGACTTTCCCCTTAAATCCATGATGTGTGGGTGTAAAACTTCTAGAAAATGTATCCGAGTCTGGTGCGCATGTATACTAGAACTTGTACTCATTTTACCAACCAGTCAGATAGCACTATATAGTACATGCTTGTACAAAAGTGCTCTGAATGCTTTTACCCATGCACAAATGCACAACCCACTCAGTATAATTAGTCGTACCAGTACAAAATGGCGCTCCCCGCATCCACAGAGCTGAATGTTCTCAGTCTGAGCTAACCCACAAGTTGCATAATTTAGTTCCTTGGTTGGCTAATGCTATCAGCCAAAGAGCTAGCCCTGTGGTTACAGTGTTTGGAGTTTTCTTTTTTTTTTTTTAATACTTTATTTTTGGTGCAATAAAGTTTACAAACAGGCCTGTGATGCCGCGACAGCAGGCACAGGCGGGATAATGTAGACAAAGTCATGACAATATACAGTTGCACATTTTTGTTATAAGACATGTTGCATTCGTAAGTAAATTCGTTGCGAGTAATTTAATTGTGTTGGTAATGAAGAGTGACTAGAACACAGAGTGTAAGCCTTGCCGTTAAAAGTTCTATCATAACATGGAGGCTGGCATTCGTATATATTCTCATTAGTGGTTGCTTAATTCTATGCATTAATAGATGTCGCTGCGTCTGACTAATTGAATCTCGCTAGGTAAATAAGTTGTCAAGTTAAATATAACATGAAGCGTTCTCAGAGGAGTGACATATACATGGAGAGCTGGGTGAGAGCTGTGCTTTCATTGGGGACCGGGATAACCCCCGCCAGTCTAGAGGGGGGGTAGGAGACCCTCAGTGTCGCTTGCTGGGTCCGGCTCCGAGGAGAACGGCCGCCTCCCCCCAGCTCCTTCTCCAGTAGGCCGCACTTGGCGTTCCGGTTGCCCAGTTCCGACTGGCGTCTATTAGGCATCATTCTGGTCAGTGGTGCATTCCTAGTGTGGGAAGTGCACTCCAGTGAGTCTGTGGGCTCCATAGCCGCCGATTTTGCCGTAAAGTTCGCCCGTTCAGTATTAGCTCGCAGTATTCGCGTCCGTGCAGCTCCGAGGTCAGGCTCCGCCCCTGGAGTTTTCTTTTAAAGAATATAAAATTAAACTTACACACTGTGCTAGCCGTTTTTCTCTGTCTATCCTTTGTGTAGGACCACAGTTATGAATTTCAGGGCTCTTTGCCAGACAATTTTGCAGGGGCCCCTTATAAACACAAACACATATGTTATTAGCAAAACACATACAATAAGCAACTTAAAAACATCTTAACGGCCACACACAGAATTATTTTTTTGTGTTATTAGCGACAAGCACATACACACATTATATACTCTACACGTAACCAGCCACTCACACGCATAATGCGTAAATATCTAGCATTACCTTAGCAACAGAATTCAGACGGATACAAACCCAAGCACACTAATTCACACATACATAGAGAGATAACGTAAAAATTATATATTGTAGATTTTTGGGGAAAATTTCTATGGAAATCTAAAAAAAATATTTTTTTATACCACTGATTTTCTAAATATTTTGGATAAGGTAATAGACTTCCTAAGTCAAACAGGTTATCCAGACTTTGCTTGCTGTGCCCAGAGGCCCCTTGATCCTTGTTCGTAGAGATTTATCAGCTACCTCTTACTGATGAGACCCATTGAAAGTCAAAACAATTGTCTGGGGTTCAAGTGGAGAGGGAATGGTGGATTCCCTCTGTAACGGCACAAATGAGCCAAGACCTGAGACAGGACTTACTATAAGACAAGATACAGAGTTTTTTTTTGCCATTCTCTATGTTGTTATATATTCTGTTTTGGCACGAAATTAGTTCTCTCTAAAAGCTATATTGCGACTTTTTTTTCTTTAATATAATAAAAACACATTTTAAATAACTCCTCAGCCCACTGACAATAAGTAAAACACGTGTTCTAATTTTTTTTTTTTGTCAAATAGTTTTGTTGCAATTATTTCGATGAGCGATATATGAGAGATATGATGTATCTTTTAAGTTCCGGATGTTTCATAAATTAAAATCATAAATTGCGCCACTTCCCCTCTTTGTGTGGCACAGGGTTGCCATCACTACTATAAACTTTATTTCTGCCGATACTGATTTGCATTATACTCCCCACTTGATCTTGCCTTTAATTATATTTATCTGTCTTCCTTGTTTCGGAACTCAATGTCTGGATGCAAAAAATTTATTCTCCTCTGATTTCTGCTGTTTTTCATTTTGTGGGACTAATTTTACAGATGGATTGTGGGTAAATATGACTGGACCAATAAACAGAATCATGCTTAAGCTCTGTAGATCGTCAAGTTTTGTCAACTCAACTTCTTTTCGTGAGGAAACGTAGTCCTTACTTTTCCTTATTATTATTATTATTTTATTATTTATATAGCGCATTCCGTAGCGCTGTTTATTGAAAACTATGTGATCAGGAAAAACATTATAAAAAGATATTCAGACACAGAGAGCGATATATAGAAGCAGATTAGTTAAACTTTACTTTTGGTGAGGGAGACGCTTTTGATGTTGACCAAGGCATGAGAGAAAGCTTACAAACTTTTGATGAAATGGTACAAGACACCCTGTCTTGCTACAAAAAATTCAACCACATTCGCCCAAAAGTGTTGAAGGTGCGATTTAAATCTTGGCACCTTCTTAAATATCTGTCTGAAAGGTGAACCTCCGTAAACCTAAAATGCGTAAAATATGGTGGTTAGACCTTACTATTTCACCCGCGGCGCCACTGCACCATGCCCAATGCCCTATTTTAAAGTATTAAAGTAATTTTATGATATAACACTTCCTCATTGCAGCTAAAGCTTTGATAATCAGACAGTGGACAATCAGACACAACCATACACATCAACCACACACATCATCCACTACACAACCACACACATCATCCACAACATAAACACACTAACTGCATCCACTACACAACCACACACATTATCCACTACAAATAAATTCAGTACACACACACTTCATCCTTGAGGGTGGACTTAAGATGGGCCCTGTGGGTGGATTTGGGGGCAGTTCATGTGGATTGACTTGGGCGGCGGGCCTCGGGGGGCCCAGATGGGTGGCTGTGTCAGGGGCCCCAAAGTTTCTGGTGGCAGCCCTGACAAGTGTACACCTACCTAAGTGTTTACTCTATTTGGGTCCATGTCCTGGTTTCCTATATTAATGTTTGCTTCTCCTCAGTCTCATTGTTATTATTAATATTTAAAATGCGCCAACAAATACCGCAGCGCTGTAAAATGCTGTTTTAGAACCATTCCTATATATTGTATTGTATGACAAAATTACATTTTAATAAAATTTATTTTATTTTTTAACTTGTAAAATGACAATAATAATAAACTACAACAATAATGCCAATGATAATAATAAAATTATAATTTACCATGTGTGACTTTATTAATAAAATAGAATAAAATGATTTCACAGCTTTAATAAAATGAGATCTAAAATAAAAAAATAATAATAATTATAAAAAAAAAAAAAACCATAGCATGACATTAATGGCTAACCTTTACAATAAATGCAAATGATAAAATAATATAATTATAAATAAATAAATAACATATGTGATTATCACCCTATGCTCTATATGTAATATAGAATAAGTACAGTGCCCACGTGGGGTCTAACCCAGCTGTCAATCAACGATGCGCAGTCCGGTCCAGGTGAACACGCCTCCTAGGATGGAATCCATGGAAACCCCTATCCGCCAATCAGAATCTGGGACGGATGATTGACACTCCCCTTTGGCCAATTTCCTCGCTGTGTAGGCGGGTGGGAAAGGCGAGAAAATGATGGAGAGGCCAAAGTAACGGTTTCGGAGTGATTGACGGGACGGCTGACCAATCGAAGTGGGGAAAGGGGAGGGCGCCGATCACGCGCGCCCAATGAGCGTGCAGCGACTGTAAGGGGCGGTGTGGGTGGGCGGGGCTAGTGAAGGGCCAGGGCCGGCGGGTACCGGGAGCCTCTTACACGGACACAGGGAGCCCAGGAGCCGCCGGTAAGAGATCTCCGGGGCCCACAAATCACCCATTCACCGTCATAGAGACCCCGCCCTGCACCAAACACCCAATAGGGGGCGCCCTCAGCCTCATTAAATACCCCAGGAGGGGCACATGGCCCTGAATAATACCCCTGAGGGGGGGAGGAGGGGGGATTTATTCTCCTGGGTTACAGTATCAGTGGGGCTGGGTGTGTTACTGCTGTGCAGGATGGGGCTGTTACCATGGTAACCCCAGGGTTTAAATACCCCAGGAGGGGCACATGGCCCTGAATAATACCCCTGGGGGGGGGAGGAGGGGGGATTTATTCTCCTGGGTTACAGAGTCAGTGGGGCTGGGTGTGTTACTGCTGTGCAGGATGGGGCTGTTACCATGGTAACCCCAGGGTTTAAATACCCCAGGAGGGGCACATGGCCCTGAATAATACCCCGGGGGAGGAGGGGGTATTTATCCTCCTGGGTTACAGTATCAGTGGGGCTGGGTGTGTTACTGCTGTGCAGGATGGGGCTGTTACCATGGTAACCTCAGGGTTTAAATACCCCAGGAGGGGCACATGGCCCTGAATAATACCCCTGGGGGGGGGGAGGAGAGGAGCAGGGGGATTTATCCTCCTGGGTTACAGAGTCAGTGGGGCTGGGTGTGTTACTGCTGTGCAGGATGGGGCTGTTACCATTAACCCCAGGGTTTAAATACCCCAGGAGGGGCACATGGCTCTGAATAATACCCCGGGGGGGGGGAGGGGGGATTGATCCTCCTGGTACCTGCTGGGTTACAGAGTCAGTGGGGCTGGGTGTGTTACTGCTGTGCAGGATGGGGCTGTTACCATGGTAACCCCAGGGTTTAAATACCCCAGGAGGGGCACATGGCCTGAATAATACCCCGGGGGGGGGAGGGGGGATTGATCCTCCTGGTACCTGCTGGGTTACAGAGTCAGTGGGGCTGGGTGTGTTACTGCTGTGCAGGATGGGGCTGTTACCATGGTAACCCCAGGGTTTAAATACCCCAGGAGGGGCACATGGCCCTGAATAATACCCCTGTGGGGTGGGGGGAGGAGGTGGGATTGATCCTCCTGGTACCTGCTGGGTTACAGTATCAGTGGGGCTGGGTGTGTTATTTTGCAGGATGGGGCTGTTACCATGGTGACCCCAGGGTTTAAATACCCCAGGAGGGGCACATGGACCCGAATAATACCCCGGGGGGGGGGGTATTTATCCTCCTGGTACCTGCTTGGTTAGATCATCAATGAGGCTGGGTGTGTTACTGTGCAGAATGGGGCAGTTTCCATGGTAACCACAGGGTGTAACTACCCCATGGAGGGAATGATTGAATACCCTTTTACCCCCCAAAATGCCTTACTGCCCCCTGGAAACGCCATTTTAACTGAAGGGGAGATGGTAAATGCCCCACTTGGATCCCACTCTCCCCCTATTGTCCCAATAGTATACCCTTGGAGAAAGATCCTTTTTCTCCTGTATATCCTTGAGGTGCCTACCTGATTAACCCTTTAACACCCAGAATTGGTACTTTCCCTGTGAGGCTATAGATGATAACACCTCCACCCTGAGGCACCCATGAAAATGCTATCTGTGTGGTGGTATTTACCCCATATTTATACCAGTCTCTACCCATCTCCTCCACATTTCCCACAAAGGCCTGCTCTAAGCTCACACATACCCCCCTAACCCACCCATCTCCAGCAGCCAAGACTGTTGTCTGTTTCTGATATTTTAAATAATCATCCCTTGATTGGGAGGATATTCCAGAACACAAAGACATGTATATTTTTATACTCCATGTCTGGTAGGGGTTAATGGCTTATTTAGGGCTTCAGGAATCCAGGTTGCGACAAGCTTTTTATAAAACTCCCATCAGTCTCAGCCTGTTACCTTTGCTACTTGTATTATAAGAAGAATAACCCAGCTCTAACCTCACACGTCAGCTTTTACGCTTTTGAATGCTCATAATTAATGCATGGGGGATCTTCTACCCAGGGCGACTATTTTATTAGCCGGGGAATTGTGGGTCTGTACGCCCTGTTTATAACCAGTTTCCCAGACTGTCACATGCAGTTTGTTAATTCTTGATTCAGGGATCATTCTGCTGCTCTGATTGTCCTACAATTTCTAAAAGAAGAATGTTTGCTGTATCTTTTATATTCTCTCGAACTGCTTTTGAATGTAAGAATTCCTGGAAGCAAATGCGTTAAATTTTAGTCTGCATCCTCAGCAGATGAATGTCAAAATCACTATTTTTATTCTCCTCACCTTCGATTCCTTTCTTCCCCCGTCCCCCACAGGACGGTCATGAATTAATTCATCTTGAGAGGTACCCATCACCCCATCCTCTTTGCCTAGATGCAGGGGCTTCTAATACATGGTGAGGGCCCTGCTCTGGGTATGTTAGCTAGGTCTCATTCAGGCCTATTTTGCTGCATTTGTGACCCCCATCCATTCTTCATTCCATGCTTAGCCTTTTTTTTCCTTAAAGCATTTGGACATCCCAGCATGTCTGCATTCTGTGACTGCGTTTCAAGGTGCGGAATTAATCATGTCTCTCCAAGATCCCTGATAGAGAGCAGCTATTATTACAGTTATTTTAAGGCTGTTTCATGCTATGCAAGGCCTTGTTGCTGGGGGGAGGGTTGGCACAGGAGGGGTTAAGTGCGAGGGGCGAGTGTGGGTGAATATTTACTCTGCTTTGTGGACCGGCTGCTCAGATCTCTCAGTTCAACTGTTCAGTCCTGTCTTCCCAGGAAACAAAGAGCTTGTCTGCATCATGGCCAAGACCGCTTCCATGCTTTCAGTGCCCCCCCTCCTCTCTCCACACCTCCTCTAGAAACCTTGCATATGTGAGCTCAGCCACTCCTTCTCATACTGCTGCAATACCTGCTTAGATTTAATTTTTTGCCTTCTTTTAGTTAGCCCTGTGCTATATCTGTCCATATGCCCGATTTGCTTCTGTACACAGAAAATATTTTCACAAATCCATACTCCCTAAATTACTATATGCCTCACTCTTGTCTCAAATGTATTAATGAATACTTATTCTATGATTGTGAGGAAAAAAATAAAAAAAGTATGGATGTGTATATATAAATGCTATATGTGTGTGTTAAAGAGCAAGTCTAAAAGTTGAGTAATCACCTTGGAAACCAATGGAATGTTCGTGCTGATTGCTCCAATATTTTTTTTTTTTAGCATGTAACACGTAAACTTTATAAGCATTTTTTGATGTTCAGTGTCTCATTTTAATGTCATGGCAGAATAAAAAGTCATTTTCACATATTGATGTCAAAAGACGAATCCACCTGCAATATCAACTTACTGTTTTCGTTTAATGTTATTTGCTGTTTAAGTTTTTATATAAACAGGTTTATTTACTAAACCAGTAAATGACAATTGAATTTAAAATGTTATGCCAAAATGACTGAGCTGAGAAAATTGTTTATTAGAGAATATTTTGCATCTGGCTGTTCTGGCCTAGCATTCACAGTTCCCTGGTCCGTTTTTGACAATTCAGTTAATCAATAACCCAAACTGCAAATGTAAACCGACAATTTCTCTGGTTGGAACAGATCTAACTCCTCTGTGCGGTATGAATTATAAGGGGGTTGCTAAATTGACATGAAAATAGGAGAGATCTGGGGGGAAAAAAATTAAAAGACCACTCTAGGCACCCAGACCACTTCAGCTTAATGAAGTGGTCTGGGTGCCTGGTCCAGCTAGGGTTAACCCATTTTTTTTAATAAACATAGCCGTTTCAGAGAAACGGCTATGTTTATAAATGGGTTAATCCAGCCTCTAAAGCCTCTAGTGGCTGTCTCATTGAATGCTTTCCTATGAGACTGGCTGAATGCGCGTGCAGCTCCTGCCGCGCGTGCGCATTAAGCCGAAGAGGCGGAGAGGAGGAGGAGAGCTCCCCGCCCGACGCTGGAGAAAGGTGAGTGTTGAACCCCTTCCTCTCCCCAGAGCCTGGTGGGAGGGGGACCCTGAGAGTGAGGGCACCCTCAGGGCACTATAGTGCCAGGAAAACGAGTATGTTTTCCTGGCACTATAGTGGTCCTTTAAGTATGAGTTTGTGAATTGGTCACAATCACATTGTTTTTGTGTTTTTCCTATTATTGCTCTTTTCACTGACGCCTAGGTATGGATCTAAGAAAATTACATGCAACTCCCATTGTACAGCGCTATGGAATTTGCTGGTGCTATATAAATAACTCACTTCCAACCCAACCCTCCAGGGGTAGACCTCCCATAACATGGGCATTTGTGAGGTTTATATGACCATGCACTAAAACAGGCTTCCCCAAACTCCGGCCCCCCAGATGTTGCTGTACTACAACTCCCATGATTCTATGAATGAAATGGCTAGGCTGAGAATCATGGGAGTTGTAGTTCAGCAACATCTGGAGGAGTTTGGGGAAGCCTGCACTAAAGTTAGAATTGCAAAGATTTCAAATCCAAGGCCAAAATAACCTAAATGGAGAAATTCACAGAAGCCATGCTTCCAATTCGGCTAGTTTGGCCTTAAATTTTAAATTCAGTCTGAATTACTGACAATACTCACGTTTGTGAATAACACTATCTGTATTCTGTGCCTTTCTCAGAACATTGTTTTGGACTCTAAAATGGCAAGAACCTGCCAAGCTCACCCTCTGCCACCAAGGCTTGCAGGGAAGAGTACACCACACATTGGACCTTGCATGATGCTCTTGGTTTCAATAAGAGACTTGCACTGCTTGTATTATGTAATAACATAAAATTATAATATAATATCTTTATTTTGCAAATTAAAGTGGGAATTGTCTGCTGGTGAAAATATTACTAAATTACTTCTTCAAGAACAGATAGGTTGTAAATGTGTCCAATTAACACCTTTTATGAAGAAAACTGTTATAGTACACAATGTTTGCTCATTTGTACACATTTTGTGACTTGTTCCCACTATTTCTAAAATGACTGTGATAACAGTCTCTAAAACAAGCTGCATCCCACTCAGGAACCTGCAAATTTAACACTATTGTTCTTAATCTGTTTATTAAACATCACTACTTCTACTGAAAGGCCGCTCTAGGAACCAACTACGTGCATCACAAAGTATATTAATGGGAATCTCTTATTAAATACCAATTCTCCGTCATGTGATGTTGCATCCAGTAACTTGTTATTGTGGCAAATTCACACGTGGGACACTTGCTATCTTTAATCCGAGGGCTTGTGTCATTTTTCATTCCGAGAATCTGCTCCCCCGACTAACATATATTTGTGGCTATCACTATAGTGGGAAGAGTTGGGTATTAAAAGTGAATTTTAAATTATAGGCCAAAATAATTTCAGTTTAGGTATTTTGTCCTAACATTCTAAAGTCACTTTGAATTTCTGACCGTTCAGGCTTTAGTAAATAGCCCTCTGGTTTGATCTCTGTTGGTTTAAACATTTGTTACGTGTCACTAGGACTAAGGGCATTTGGCAGGACAATTGCAAGATGAGGTTATGGGCATGTAGATGTTATGACGCACTGGGTGCTAGATCTGTCCATTAAGAGTGTTCCAGGGAATGTGGTGGCAGATGACACTGTCTGTTCCTAGCAAGCAGTCACAGCATGACAGACACACTATAATAAAAAAGAACTTTGAGTGTCTAGGTAGCATTTTGCTTAAGACGCCTGAGAGAGCTGGATCCTGTCTGCTTGGCAGTTCGGGAATAGGGGTCAATGAATCCTGTAGTGCTGGCACCTCTTATTGTAAGGTATGGTCATCTACTGTGCTGTATTATATAGGGAATGTTTATAGGAGATCCAATAACTGCCCGTATTACATTTTAACACACTAGTTATAGCTGATGTAACATCTATTACTTAGTATTATCCTTGTTGTTCCATACAACCGCTGTTTATGAAAGGTTTATATTTTCTATATTACTCTCTAAAATGATTTATAAAACACCAACAACACATATGATATTGTGAGATCGGTGGGCAAATATGAGTAATTCATGCAAGTCAACTTGGTCTTGTGGTAATGAGTTATATTGTTTATAACATAACACCCCAGTTTAACCCCTTAAGCACCAAACTTCTGGAATAAAAGGGAATCATGACATGTCACACGTCATGTGTCTTTAAGGGGTTAATTCAGTTTATTGCTCCATATCATGCCATCCTATTACTCCATATAACCCTCCTTATAACTCCTATTTCTCCATGTAATCCTCCTTTATAGCTTCTCCTTTTGCCCTATAACTTATGCTATAGCAAATAATACTCCCTATAACTTCTGATATTGCTCCATATAACTCTCACTATAACTTCTGATATTGCTCTATATAATTCTCACTATAACATCTCCTACTGGTCCATATAATGCTCCCTGTAACTCCTCCTATTGGTCCATATAATGCTCCCTATAACATTTCCTATTGGTCCATATAATGCTCCCTATAACTTCTGATATTGCTCCACATAACTCTCACTATAACATCTCCTATTGGTCCATATAATGCTCCCTGTAACTCCTCCTATTGGTCCATATAATGCTCCCTATAACATTTCCTATTGGTCCATATAATGCTCTCTATAACTTCTGATATTGCTCCACATAACTCTCACTATAACATCTCCTATTGGTCCATATAATGATCCCTGTAACTCCGCCTATTGCTTCATATAACTCTCCCTATAACATCTATTGGTCCATATAACTCTCCCTGTAACTCCTCCTATTGGTCCATATAACTCTCCCTATAACATTTCCTACTGGTCCATATAATGCTCCCTATAACTCTTCCTATTGCTCCATATAACTCTCCCTATAACATCTCCTATTGGTCCATATAATGGTCCCTGTAACTCCGCTTATTGCTCCATATAACTCTCCCTATAACATCTCCTATTGCTCCATATAATGCTGTCTGTAACTTTGCCTATTGCTCCATATAACTCTCCCTATAACATTTCCTATTGCTCCATATAATGCTCCCTGTAACTCCTCCCATTGTCAATATAACCAGGACTACCACTGATGTATGAAAATGTAGTTCTGGTGAGTGTGTTGTGCTCCTTCCATGCGTGCACTAGCCAAGTTACTTTTAAGTCCTATCTAGTAGCATAAAACTTTAATATGAAGCCCTTATCTAACGCTCCTTTTAACCCCTCCTATTTCTCCATATAACTCCTCCCTCTACGCCCCATTTCTTCATATAACTCTTCTCTATAACCCTCCCTTTAACCCCTCCTATTTCTCCATATAACTCCTCCCTATACGCCCCCATTTCTTCATATTACTCTTCTCTATAACCCTCCCTTTAACTCCTCTTATTTCTCCATATAACTCCTCCCTCTACGCCCCATTTCTTCATATAACTCTTCTCTATAACCCTCCCTTTAACCCCTCCTATTTCTCCATATAACTCCTCCCTCCACGCCCCCATTTCTTCATATAACTCTTCTCTATAACCCTCCCTTTAACCCCTCCTATTTCTCATATAACTCCTCCCTCTACGCCCCATTTCTTCATATAACTCTTCTCTATAACCCTTCCTATTAATCCCAATAACCCCTCATAGCTACTCTTATTGCTGTGTAAAAATGCTCCCTAACTTTTTATTCTCCACCTCTAGCGCTTCAGAGTAGATCTAATTTTGTTGTTGTTGCTGGATCCAATTTAGTATTAATACTATTGCTAGTACATAATGTTAGCTTAGCGATCCATGGAAAATAATCTCATGACCCATTATTTAAATATAAAATAATTAGTGTTACGGTGTATGTTGCAAAACACCTTCATTACATTCTTCCTAGGGTCATTGCAGGGAAAATAATTTATTGTAGGCAGCTGTTTGACTATGATTAACATGATACCAAGAGGGACCCATTTGAAGGTCCTGACCCAGGGGTTAAAGATACTCTTCAAGCACCATAACAACTATAGCTTATTTTAGTGGTTATGTTACTAGGAAGTTGTGTGTTTAGTTCTTTACGTTTTGTCAAATTCTTTATTTTTTTTCCCCAAGAGATGCCTCCCCTATAATGAGTTTCACTTTGTGCTCGAAAACTGTTTGACTGTAAACTACACTGATAGCTTCTTAACCTTAGAATCACTACAATACGCTGTAGTAGTTATGGTGCTTGAAATGTCCCTTTAAGAACCAATGCTTTAGAGAACCTGATATTGCCCCATATAAACTCCTCCTATAATAATCAGTTGCTCTTCTCATTTGGTAGATATCCCTACAAGACCCATTAGTCTCTTTTCTCACATTATGCTCCTAATTGATTCATATGACACACTTGTTCCCATGTAAAGTTACCTCCGGTTATAAGTGTACCAGATATTTACATGTAAATGAATGTTACCTGAGCTACAAGGCTGGTTAATGGTTTAGTTTTAAAAAGAAAAACCTGGTTTGCAGTATTGACTCTTTCTCTTTCCTTTTGTTTAGGTGATTCCCAGTGACGCCTCCTAGTCACAATGTCTCAGAGACTGGGGCAAGAAGACCCCGAACGATACCTCTTTGTGGATCGGGATGTGGTTTACAACCCGGCCACGCAGGCCGACTGGACGGCCAAGAAGCTGGTTTGGATACCATCGGAGAGGCATGGCTTTGAAGCAGCCAGCATAAAAGAGGAGAGAGGGGATGAGGTAGTGGTTGAACTTGCAGAAAATGGCAAGAAGGCAATGGTGAACAAAGATGACATCCAGAAGATGAACCCACCCAAGTTTTCCAAAGTAGAGGACATGGCAGAACTTACCTGCTTGAATGAGGCTTCTGTTCTACACAACCTGAAGGACAGATACTACTCGGGACTCATCTATGTAAGTACTCTAAATTTCCGAAATTGCTTCTTCAACGTTTCTCTTTGGTTCCTGTTATTTCTCATTTACTTTTGTTTCTCTTTAGCTGGGTTTTCTTTTATGTATATATTTGCTTACTGGTTTCATGTCCTTGCCTCTCTGTTTATACTTTTGATTGTATTTGATATTTTCTACATGTAAATCATTATTCTTGGCTTGCTAAAAAACATGGGCGAGGTTGTAATTGAACAGGACTTCCTTGATAACAACCTCTTACTTCCCAGGACTCGTAATCAGACTGGTCTTGTCTTCTGGTCTGGCTAATGTAATATGGGAGCCTCCCATGTTTAATTTATTTATACCGTACTATATGGGAATAAAATGTGCAATCACCTGTGTATTGTGTCTAAAGTCTAAAGGAAGTATACTATAATTTGTTGTGTGTTTAGAACTACAAGCCCCATAATGCTTTGAAAGCCACAATTAAATGCTAAATGGGAGATAGAGTAATACTGTAGCTGAAGAGGTAGTTCTCCGCTTTTGCATCTCTGCAGAAAGAAACAGAAGCCGGGACACAAAAGTCCTGGGCACTGTAACCCCAACTTTATGGTTAAAGTGTTGCCTCTTTGATTTGGAGGTTTGGGAAAAAACGAAATAGGCTTATAGCTTCAAAGGGACAGCTCTGATTGCCCAGTAACCTGTGCGATGAGGCAATATTTTGGTGCTAAGAGCACACATTAATTGTGGAGGTGATATGCAATTGCCCATAAACCTGAATCAAGGACTACATTCATGTCTGGTGCTTATACTGTTAATTTTTTTTATTTGATATGTAGATTAACTTTAATTTGTTCCTCTGGAGCCCATCTATTTGGTGACTGTGAAAAATAATTTTTTAACTCCAGGCTGTGGACCACCAGAAACCCGGAAACCGTGCCTCTTTTCTTTTTGAGTAAATTTTAAAGAACTTGCTTAGATTTTAAATTCTTTATATTTCTCAGCCTCTGTTATAGGGGGGATTCAGGGTGTTAGTGGGTAACAGATTGTCAGTTAGTGGGGACAGAGGTATTTGCCAAACCTCTTGTCTCGGTGTTGTCCATCTCAACTGAATGGGTCCTTTGAGCAGGAACTGGTATGAATCTGTGATGTAATTTCCTGTCATGATGAATATTCATTCATTCATTCATTCTAGAATCTTGGCTCGGAGTTCTTAACTCCTGTATTATTGAGTTGGTCAAATATCACGATCATTTTTCAAAAGGGAAAATCCTGACTTTTACTTTCTATGCCAGGTGTTGAAGACGTAGCGAGTGTTCATCTAATAGAAAACCTTGGAGTGGGGAAATAGGTCCCCTTTGCCAAGTTTAAAGTCTCTAAATAGGAAACTATAAGGCTATAAAATGCAGAAGTCTGTCATCATCCTATTTTAGCCAGTGAGCACCTTCCTCTGGGATCTACAAATTGTGCAGTACTTAGCTGTGTGGAATAGCTTATAGTTGGAAAGTCCTGCGACGTTTATTAATGCATCTTGCCATGAATCAGGGATATGTTGAATGATGCCAGCTAGCAGAGGATTATGGGAGTCCTGGATCGGCAATCACTGCCTTCTGATGTAGTCTTCACATAGTAAAGCAGCACTCAATATGTATTTTTTAAAACATTTAATGAGGTAACGACTGCCAGGAGTGCAGATTCTCTGCTAAGTCCCCAAGCAGTATATTAACAGCGTGATGGAATCCTGGTGTTTTTATCAATCTGGAAATATTGTAATGCCTGGAACAATTTTGCAAGAAAAATAAAATAAAAGTAATACTTTAAATGTATAGATAATTAGTCACTTGTGTAGATTGCTGGCTCTGAGGGGAGCAACTTGCAGCTCTGAGAGCAAGAGCGATATTAAAAGATCTGTATTAACTACCCTGCACTTCCTCATGGTATTGAAGGAGCTTGTGGTCTGTACTTTGAGCGAGTGCGGAACTGGACACCTTTGCAATCCTGGAACTTCAGCGTGAATTGGAGTGCTTAGTGACACACTTAACCTCACAGTTTCCCCACACATATACATAACATCTCCAAAAACTGGAGTAGACGAGAAGAGAGGCAAGTATATAATGGAACCGCGGTAGATTAGAAAATAAGAGAGTGGGAGAAAAAATGAAGAGGAAGGATTGCTGATAGAGGACCAGTTGCCGATAGAGGACCAGATGGCAAATTATATGGGAAAAGATTCTAAAGAGAGATGTGGAATACATGAAGGAGCGGATATGTCGATTGTTTCCTACAGTGGTAATAATCCTTGCTCCGAACCAGTCTAGCTCTTTATGCCTCTCTGTTATTATTGAAAGATGTAAGTGGGATTCATGCGTTTGAGACCTTTAGGGATGTTTATTAACAGGATAAATTCAGTTGCCCCATTCATAATATGTCTGAAAAGTTAAAGGGACACTGTAGGCACTGTAACTGCTACATCCCATGGTAATGGTTTTACTGTGGGGAGTCCCCTGGGGCTGTTCCTCCATTCAGCATTAATTCGTTTTTTAATGTTTTAATGCTAAACTAGAGTCCCAGATGAGTGGCTGTGATTGACTAAGAGTGTCAGGTGACTGCTTTCAGCCTATGACAGTGCCCATGGCAGGTATGAATTGGTATAGCTAGAAGGAAGTGTGTAATGTCTTGGCCATACCTCTAGTGGGGACCGAGATGTGGACGGCCAGGGAAAATGGTTGAATACTGAATGGAGGGATAAAGCCAGAGGACTTCAAGCATTATAACCAGTTCCTTGAGATTAAATAATGTCTGCACTCTACAGTATTCCTTTAAGCTGTAGTAACCAAGCATTGAGGTAGGGAAAGGGGTAGGCGAAGATAAACTGAAGTTGATGACCAAATGCTATGACTGAACTCTGTGAGTTAGATTAATAATGGGATGATCATTGTGTAAAACATTATGCATGAGCTAAGTTTTGATGATTTCCAGGACATGTTTAATTTGAGTGCTAGAATGCGTTTTTTTTTTTGGTTTTTTTTTTTGGTTTTTTTTTATGTACTGCTCCCAGGTTTGCAAAACTTTTTAGCTCTCTGCTCTGGAGTGTGTTATGTGTCTTACCAGTCTGTCTTAAAGATAAAAAAGATAATGTGTCTCCAAAGAGTTGTAGAACTAGAGATTTTGGGTTAATCAACAACTAAAGAATGTTTTGTATGTAAGTTAGAATGTATAGTTGGAATTTAAAGGTATGGAATTCATATTCTGGGTCTCACAGTTATTTCCAAAGGTGTAAATGTATGTGGCAGTCTCATCCCAGTGTGACAGCCATGTCAGAGAATAGTTGATGAGGCTATGCCCCTTATTACATTTCTAAAGAGGTTCATCAAAAATGGTTGTTTGGGGAGATTTGGGCAATGGCATCTCCTCCGGTGGACATTCATAATAGTGGTTTATCCAATTACGGTAGAGGTTTGCTCCATTGGGTGATGCCAGTGAGTAGAGATGGATGTCATAATAAAAAGATATAGTTTGGAGAAATTGGGGGAACTCGGATTAAAATGTCATAATCCATTCATTTTCATTAGAATGGTTAATGATGGTTTTAATATAGCTCCTGATCCGATGGTAGGCAAGCAGGGGAACCACAGTCAGACCAAGTGGCCAGACTTTTGGACTGCAGCTCCCATTACAAGGGTGTACTTTTACTACATTTGACAAGCTTAAGATTCTTTTCTCCAAACAGTTAAAGGATTTGGGGGTGCAACTCAAAGAGTGATATGTAAAGTGGAAATGTAGTTCACAAATATTTGGACAGTCATGGATGTTTTTTGGCTGTGAACTACAGCACTTTGGATTTGAAATGAACCTAAGCAGGCAAAGTGCTGAATGTTCTATTTGACTTTTATGTATTTACAATCATAACCTTTGTAGAAACTGCAGCCAATTTTGTACACGCCCTTCCATTTTAAGGGTCCAAAAGTAAATTTATAAATTAATGTAATCTTAAACTATGATCTTTAATACATGCCTTCGTGATGTCCGTTATCGGTAGACCTCACTAGATACTGGGTTACTTCCCTGGTGAAGATCTGCGAGATCTGCACCCCAGCCATCTTTAATTCTTCTCTTTGTTTTGGAGAGACAATAAGATTTTTCCTTCTCACCTGAAGAAGACTGAAACGGTATTCCATTTTTTCTATCTCTGAAATACTCCTTGTGTGCTTTTGCATTGTGACTTATGATTGCCTTTCAGTAATTTTAAAGGCATGTGATTGCGTTTGAGCAGATACTAGTTTCTGGTCACTTCAGGGTCTATCGCACTCCTGCTATCAGCCTGTTAGAATGCCAGTTCTGCTGCCCAGGCATTATCACGACCTCTACCATGCTTCATAGAGGAGAGGTGACATTTTTGGTCTTGCACACGCTTTTTTGTCTCATTAACCTATAGCCCTTCACCATAAAGCACATACAAACACCGCAGGTTCAGGGAACCAATTTGGCCATTTTATATTGATGCCTACCATTGGTTTGCATCTGTGGTGAAGCCGTTGAGGCGATGCTTCTGGTAATTTCTACTACTTTTTATGGTATTCTGTGACGTGTATGGTTGCATTCTGTAAACCGTTCATGGTTTGTCTTGAAAATTGTACGCAATCTTCGTTGTCTCAGTAGATTAGAGTGGTTTACCTAGTCATTTGCTGTTTCTCAAGCTCTGCAGTTTGTTCATACTTTATAACAATGTATCACACCTAATATTTTGTCTCTAACTCTGATTCTATTATAGTTCTTCAGGCTTGTGATGTTTTGCCTTACAGTCATGAATGCCTCTTCCACACTTTATATTAAGATGCAGCAGCATCAGACTCTAGAAGCAAATGTCACACCTCTGAAAGAACAATGTAACAACAGCCACGGTCAAGAAACAGCTGACAAATCAATTACGTTTGATCTCCTAAAACCGAGAGACTATGTATAAAAATAGATATAAATCTTATGAGATTTTACTGTGCACTTAATTATGGGCATAATAAATTCAAATCCCAATGTACTGTAGTGCAGAAACAAAAATAAACAATAGTGTCCAAATACTTATGGTCTGCACTGCATATAAATAACTGGGGGTGTTAAACATGCACTTCTTCTGTGTTTTCTAAGCAAATGGTTTTACCACGAAGCAGATGCCATTTACAGTATCAAAGGGCGATGCATGCACACCTGTATTCATTGTATCTCTTAGCCATTTCGGACTATTTCCGGGGGAAATTCTCTCAGTGGGGTACCCCTGTATCCATTGTCATCCTTAAAGTCGTAACACACTGCATCCGCCTCTTCTTCCTCCTACGCTTTTGTTATTGATGGACATCAGGTATGTATCTGCAGGGACATTAGGGTTTCCTGTTGTGGGGGATCTTAAATCTCTGGCTTCCCTCCATGCTCTCTGTTTGCATTTAAAGCTCTAGCGCCCACCCCAGAATACAAACCAACCATTTTTCTGTCTCGTCCTCTCTCTCTCCCTCTATGGGAGCATCTATTGTCCTTATGGGTTCTTCACAAAAACATGGCAGCCAGCAGCCGTCCTCTCCTCTAGCATGGCTGCGGCCGTTTATGCACAGAAGTCTTGGATGCCAGCCACCTTTATTTTGCTTGCTGAGCCCTTTGAATCCTTGGGTAGCACATGTGGGATATTCTCTGCAAGCAGAGGATACATTTGAAGTAATCTTCGCTGCAATTTGCTTAACAGGAATTTGCCGGGTGGAAGAATGACATGTTTGTGTGTGTCTGTGGGTGTACATTTTATATTTCTGGCTATTTGTCTATAATTAATCTTCGAGTCAGGAGATGGTGTGTTTCATTTGTAGGCCTTCCTGGAATCTTTAAACATTACAGAGTTTGGATTGTATACAGGATGTATTCTGTTTTTCAGTGAATTTTCTATATTTGTATTTTCCATGTGGTTTAATTCAGAATTTTCGTCACTTGTACTTTTTGAAAATATTATTTTTATCTAATCCGTTCAGATTCTTTTAAATTAAGATCCTGTTGATTAAATTTGAAACAGAGCGTTCCTCCTCATGGGGCTAGTGAGTAGCTATCATGAATGCTTAATACTCTATTTTTTTAGATTAATTTCTTTTTTCAAATTTATTTATTTTAAACCTACACGGCTTTTGTCTCTTTTCACAATTGGAAAACAGAAGACACTCCTCTGTAGTGCTGTTTTGTTCTCACAGCCACGTGACGTTTAGATTGCTCGAGCAGGTTTGGACGATCCCAACACTCCCCAGCAGAGCCGTATGAAAAGCATCAGCCCTGACTCTGCAGTAGGGAAGGAGCACTAGCCAGGTGCATGCCTGTGGGCAGTGACGGCTGATGAAGGCTTAAGATTCCAGACTCCACCACTGGTATATGACTCTGCCTCGTATTCCTTTAAACTGGACCTCCTGATCTTACACTATGGTCTTGTTTTGCTCAACTCAATAAACCCATATAAACAAATGTACCAAGATCTTGCCATGTCCAGCTGCTGTAAAGTGCCTCTCCAGACAGCCCTCAGTCAGGATTGGGTAGAAACTGTTGATCTGGCTATCGTTAAAGAGTCAGATATAGTACAGTTTTTCTCTTGAAGGTGTTACTCCAGGAAGAAAAATTTAATACTCCTTATCTTTTTTTTTATATTTATTTATTTTTAAATGCAACAAAAACTGTCTGGGTGCAGCCCAAACTCTCTATGGATGAGTGTCACTACCTATGACTCCTAGTGTGAAATTACTTGCGGCACCATCACCACACCATGTGTCAATGTACAATATTTTGTGCGTCATTCTGGTCTATTTTGACGCAGGATGCTGCTACATGATGCATATTTATTCTGAGCAGATTGTGCTTCATATTCTTGGGGCACATTCACAAACCTCAATCCTGCTCTAACACACTTGTACGTTCATATGATTCAAATCAATGCTGCCCATATAAGCTGTCCACCTGTCTAAACCCATTGCTGCTATGATTTCTCTGTGCTTCCAATAGCGCGTTATGTTATATGTCTATCTTGGTTTACTGATTTAGCTCGTCTACGTTTATTCTTGGCTTCTCAATTTTGTGATTATGTATACCCCTTGACTTTGGCTTGTTCCTGGTTATTCCATCTGCTTTCTGTTACCGGTTTGCCTTTCTGTAGGCACAGTGTTGTTAAATGCTCCACATCCTGCAAAAAAACACTATTTAGTACATATACCCCAGTGAAAACATGCATGCATTTATTTATGCATGCTGTCATTGGGAGTATAGTTAAGATATTCTACCTGAAGAAGTAAAGGACACATTGACGCAGAATGGACATCTTGTTGGTGATTAAGTAAAGTAAAGCTTTGATTGTTCCTCTGCATTCCGCTGTGAAGAAGAAAATGTCATACAAACGATAACGCAGAGTCTTCCTTTAACATAATTCTTTATTGAAAGTGTGCCCTTCCATTATTTAAATCAATCGCTCAATATATAGGGCTCCCAGATGTTCATAAATGAATCATTCGATAAAACATGTTCAGCTGCAGCTCAGAGGCTGTCTGTGCCATGAAACAGTGATTCGTACACTTTGCTGGCTATACTAATCTGATATGAAAGTTTGTGCACTGAAGCCATGCTAGTTAGGGGACTTATTGATGGGTTTCCCTTTAACAGCTGCACATCAGGCCATGCACCCTCACCATCAGTTCCTGTTCTGACCACATCTCTACACCAGAACCATGGCCCTTTCCTGTTCAGCCTCAGGATTGTCAGGGTGAGGTTATATTACTTCCTCCTTGCACAGATTTGTCAGTTTACGTGGCTGCTTGTGACAGACATGGCTGGCAATGTATTCTCCTTGCATGGTGTAATGGGAACATGCGCGTCCCCCTTAATCCTGATAAGGCTGGCGCCTGTTTCCCCCCCCCTCACTTGTTGGGACACGGATACTTTTAATCTTTTGCAAACCAGAATAGGTGCACGGTGCTTCCTGAGCTATAAATATTAACTACTGAAAAGACTTGTTAGTTTGGATACCATCGAGAGCAACCTTGTAATTCTTGATGTAATTATACATGTCACAGCAGTGTTGGGAAAAGCTGGACCCTCATCTGTTGTAGAATTGCAATCCTACGGTGCTCTGTGAACCTTAAAGGAACACTCTAACGTTACAATTGAATATCTTTATTTTGAAAGCTATTGTTCCTTGTTTTTCCCATATAGTTGCCAGGCCCCTGTTTGTGAAGAAAGGAACAAAAAAAAAACCTGTTAATTATATCTGTAATTCAGCTCAGGCACATCCTAATCTCTGCAGCCTGATCTGGGCATAGTGAGATAAAAAAAACATTAACTGTAGTTCAGTTCAATTCTTCTCATACAGTGGACTTGTAGCACGTGTGATAATTGTTGCTGTCTGCCACCAATCCAATGCTTCTTCACATTAACCATGTGACGCCGAACGTGCAACTTTCCAAAATTGAAGGTCTTAAAGAGGAAATGGCTTTAGTGGCTGTCTATCTGATAGCCAAAATAGGCCAGATGTAAACATTGCTGCCTTTCAGAAGTGGCAATATTTTAAACTGTCCAAGGAATGGGCCAGCATCAATGGTTATTGTAGTGGTTTTGGTACTTGGTGTCTCTTTAAGAATGGGAGTTGCACTTCTACAAAAGCTAGGGTTCTTACTGTATAGGTCACCCCTGTGTTATGGGATTGCTGCCTTTTTGGTATCCGTGAAATTCTCACTACCTCCTCCCAATAATCTGTTGATTATTGGGGCCTATTTATAGCACTGCTAGACGAGGTCAAGTGGAGTTATCAGAGTATTGCATCGTGACTTTGACACTGTGGGAAAGGTTAAATGCTGCCATGGCGGGAGTAGCAGAGGCGGGCCTGTGGAACAGGGGTCCCCTGGTGATCAGAATGACCGAGGACAATCTTATGAATGCCCCTGTAGGAGGGACTGTTGTTTGGTTTCTGTGTGTCCCTGGAACGTGGCCAAGACACTGCATTCCTGCGCTCCTCTCGCTGATAAACCATTTCATCACATTCTGGCCAGCTGCTAGTGGCTTTCAATGTATTATCATGCTCTTATCCATTATGAGGTTCAGTGACTCTCTCTTATTTGTGTAGAGCAACGGTCAGTAATTGCAACGATGTTCACATGAAATAGAACACAAATTATGTATATAGGAGAGCTTTAGTGTTGTAGAATCTTAATTTTGTTGTTCTTTTTAATTATACAGGTATCCATGAGAAAGTAGATAGATGCAAAAACAAAAACAGAAGTGAGCCATATATTACTCTTTTGAAGTGGAAGCTATATTCTGATTGGCTGCATAGTATCTCTAGCTAATTCCAGTCCAGCTACATTTCAGATCATGGCGAGGGAATAGAAAATGTGTCCGCTGTAAAATCTATAACTTGCATGGTTAACATAATAACTTTATATATACATACATACACATATACAAACTAGAAAACAGTGCTGTCTCAAATAAATAAATCTTTAAAAGTCTTCTGAGCCACGGGCATGTTACCACTGCTACTACTACAATAGGCCAGTTTGAAGATGTTTCCAAGGAAATAACACAAGCAAAACTTTTTAACATGGTGCCCCTTGTTGGTTAGATCGGGGGTGTTCAGACTTGGCCCTTCAGCTGCTTTCAGCATTATAAAACTTGAGATCCGGTAGCTGGAGGGCCAAATGTAGACTGCCCTGTGTTAAAGAACCACTATAGTGTCAGGAAAACAAACTCGTTTTCCTGACACTATATAATCCTTAGGTCCCCCCACCCTCAGGGCCCCCCTCCCGCTGGGCTGATGGGGTTAAAAGCCCTTCAGCCACTTACCTTTATCCAGCGCTGGTGACCTCTCCTCCCTCTCTGACGTCAGTTCCCGAGTGGAGCCGAATGCACAGGCAGAGCCGCGAATGCACAGGCAGAGCCGCACGCGCATTAAAAACGCCCATAGGAACGCATTACTCGATGCTTACCTATGGACCTTCTGCGTGCTCAAGGTGATTTTCGCATTGAGCATCGCGGAAGCGCCTCTAGCGGTGGTTGTCAGGAAGACAGCCACTAGAGGCTGGTTTAACCCTGCAATGTAAACATAGCAGTTTCTCTGAAACTGCTATGTTTTCAACTGCAGGGTTAAAACCTGGGGGACCTGGCACCCAGACCACTTCATTGAGCTGAAGTGGTCTGGGTGACTATAGTGGTCCTTTAAATTTTAATATTAGCATTGTTATTAGATATTTAGATAAAACTACGTAGGCTCCTATTTAATGCTAGGTGACCTTTGTGTTTTGTTTTCAGCCATTACACACTGGTGAGAATTGTGAACAAAGTTTGTCCGTCAGTGAAAGGCAGCTGCCAGTTCTATAGTAATCCGTCCTTGGTTATATATTCATAGCAATGTGATAGTTTATAATGGTCGTTATTTAGGGGTATTTAATAATTCCATAACAGTGGCTAATTTGGGAGCAGACATACTGCAAAATTAAAGCATAGAGCAGGACCAGTTTACCACCATATGGAGCTACTTTAGATGATAGAAACTGGGATTAAGCTTTGACCCAGCTATTGAGAGGTTAATGCCACTTACTGGAAGACCCAAAGCAATGAATGCCAAGCTATGAGTTATTCTATTCTGTGTATACAAATACTTACAGAATTATTCACTCTGAATTTTCCGGTTGCTGAATTCATGTACAATGGCTGAAGTGGATTTAAAAAAAAATTACATTTCAGCTATCTGCTAAATACAAGGCTGCCTTTTCCCCAATAAACTTTCCATATTTAAGTTAACTTTCTTTTAAAAATATACAAACTAAGGTGGAGTGCTCTATTTATTTTTTGTAAACCCAATACTCTACACACAAAGATTTATTAAGTTTATTTTACATTTTCCTGCTTTTAAAACAAATACTCCTTAATTGCCTCTAACATTCCAGCAAATCAGTAAATTATCTGGTGGATTGTAGTAAGTAGTGGTTTCAGATTGATACTTGGTAAATCAAGAGTTGAGGTGTTCCCCATGGCCCAATAATGACCAGGATCCTCTCTTCATATACGCCAAGTGCATGGGGATTAGGGGTTTAAACCCCCCCAAAAACAACAAATTAAGAACACTACTAAGCTACTGCAAAGGATTCTGGATAGTTTTTGTTGCAAATTACGCTTGTTCATAGTTGTCTTCCCTCTTCCATTCCAATGTGGTTTCCTATATATTTTTTTTTGGCGAAACACAGCATGAGATAGACATGGAGCTGTGAATAAAGGGCAACGGAAGGGACCTGCGATCATTTTCCTATTTTTTTGTAAACGATGTACCTCTGAAGAAATAAAGCCAAGTTGTTCTAAACATTGCGGACATCCTCTTGCTTACAAAAAGCATCTCTCAATGTGATGTGGATGTGACAGGCATTGTTCTCAGTGAAGCACCCTGTGAGTTAGTAGCTAGCGATAACTTTGACGTGTGCTTATAGATATGAATTCCTCCCCCCAAAAAACATTAAAACGGCTAAATCTCAGCCAAAATAGCAGACGCTTAAGTTAAATGTTACTGATTTGGTAATATTTTTAAGGTGTGTTTAAACATTAGCCTGTGCCCTGAAAGGCCGCACGAAACCTGTATTAAAAAGCTTTCAGTGTTTTCTGTCACAAGCTATTTTAAAGGATCACTATAGTGTCAGGAACGCAAACATGTATTCCTGACCCTATAGTGCTAAACCCACCATTCATGTGGCTTGCCCCCTTTTAGCCCCCCTATAAAAGTATAAAACTCGCCTTATTTCCATTGCCGCATGGGTCCGCCGGTGCTGGCACCACCCCATTTGTGACATCATCGAAATGGCCGATTTTAAGCCAATCCAATGCTTTCACCATTGGGAAAGCATTGGATTGGCTCAAATCTGCACAGGGCGGGCCAAATGTCATTTAGCCAATCGGGACCTTGAATCAATGCATCTCTATGAGTAAAAGTTCAGCGTCCCCATGCAGAGTGCGGGGACGTTGAACGGCAGGGCTGCTTACTGTGCAGCCCTGAGCAAGGAAGCCAATCCAATGGCCACTTGGAGGTGACCCTAGGGATAATGTAAACATTGCCTTTTCTCTAAAAAGGCAGTGTTTGCATGAAAATGCCTGAAGGGACATATTATACTCACCAGAACAACTACATTAAGCTGTAGTTGTTCTGGTGTCTATTGTGTCCCTTTAAACAACAAAATGGCCTCTGAAACGCTCACGCAGCTGGACTAAGGTAGTTGAATAGTACCTATTAAAGAACATGTTTTCAATCTTGAGCAAGTCACTTGCTGGTCTGGAATCTTATGGGGGGTGGGGGAGGAGTAAATGTAGAGTACCAGGTAGAATGTAGAAAAAGTGATCTACACCAATGCTTTAATTTCAAATCGTTGTAAAAATGTATTGTTTTTAGATTCTTCCTGTTGCTGAGGGGCTGATGCCTCCTTGGCCACGTTGATAATATTAAAGTAACACTGCATAAGCACTGACCATTTTATCCAACCTGGGTGACATTGATTGGCTTAAAGTGCTGTGAGCAAGATAAGGGGCCAACAATATATAATTTTGAAATAAAATGTAAACTCCCCACCTGGAAACACAGTGTAAGACCTCTGGCAGCAGTAACTTGCCACAGTGGCTGTCCATGGTTTGTCATTATGGTTACCCACTGTGAATATAGCGTTCGTGGCTCCAGTAATCGTCATCCTAAAATACCAGTTCAAAACTATGACTTGGGTGAAATCTTTCTACAGCTATCGCAATGAAGTATCTTTACACAGAGGAGTGTTAGCTTAAGAGTTACCAAGGCTAAAAGTTGATTTGTGTTTTTCCTTCTAATACACTTCTCTCTTGTTTTTTGATTTATATTAATATTACATTTTATGTCATTCGTATTTTGGTTTCTGTAAAATAAAATTTGAGCCTCTAATGCTCATTGAATAAATATTTAGCACTTTCATTTGATTATTTAATTTGGTCGTAGGTAAGTCGTTATCAGAATCTGTTTATCTTGACTAGAAATTGATAAAATAGAATTATCAAGCTGTCGGCCAAAGAAGTCTTGCAGATAAGTAATACTGGAGACTGAAGAAATTCAGAAAGTAAACAAAGGAAATTAGACATCAGTTTTGTGGATGTTTTGGAAGATTGAAGAATGTATGGATCTAGCACTGTATAAACAAACTGAAATGGGAAAGGTTTTAGCTGGAAAAATTGACATTATGGACAATAAACATAAACTGCTACTGACTAAATATGTTCTGGCGATTCCAAATTGACATGCTCTATGTAAACTACATACGTATTTTTTTTTTTTCCTGAATCGTTTTTGAACGGGAAAAAAAATCAGTTTAAATTACACACACTGTATTATTGTTCTTCTTTTGTGGCTTGGTTTACTTAAAGCGGCACTGTCATGGCCGAATCCTTTTTTTTTTTTAACTCCCGACTCCACTACTACTATCTAATTGTCCCCCTACTTACCACCAAATGCCCCTAAGCCCCCCAGCTTACCTATTTTTGCATTTTTATTTTGTGTCCGGACCTAGGTCCTGGGTGCCGCCATCTTTGTGTGGGTAGATGAAGTCCCTGTGGGATACGTCATCTGCCCACACTAGATAGCGCTGTGAAATTCCCGCGCATGCCCAGTGAAACACTTGGGCGTGCGAAGGAAAATTCATCTATTCATTCATTCGTCAGAAAGACGAATAGATGAATAGAAATGTCAAACTAATGAACAAGGACCTCTTCGTTCGTTCGGTTTATTACAAGGTGGGAGCTACCGGCCCGCAGTGAGCAGCCACTGTTGTAAAACCTCCCCCCCCCCCTCTCTAACAAATGGCCCCATGGGGGGGCCTCTCTTAAGTAGCCTGGGGGGGGACATAGTGAGGGCTCGGGGGGCTTTAAAAGAAAACCAGGAGCATAAGGTCCCCCAGGAGCAGCGGGTGGGGGCCCTAAAAGAAAATGTAGGGGGGGAGACCTATTGTCACCCCCATCCATGAGCGATGGATGGGGGCCCTAAATTTAATAGGGGGGCCTACTGACCTCCCACCCATGAACGGCAGATGGGGGTCCTAAATTAAAATGAGAGGGGGGCGGGATAGGCCTAGTGGCCTCCCCTCGGCACCCACCCCTGAGCGGCATGTAGGGGCCCTAAATAAAAATGGGGGGGGGCCTATAGACCCCCCCGTCCCCTACCCATGAGAGGAGGGTGGGGGCCCTAAATGAAAATGGTGGTGGGGGGGGGAAAACTATCGTCCCATGGGTGGGGGCTAAATCTAAACCCCCTCCTCCCAGGTGACTAGGGGTCTACAAGCCCATAGTCACACCCCCCACAAAAAATTAATTCCTACCTATCCTCTCACCCTAAAAATAGTGAGGGGGGGGAACGAGACGACTAAATCCCTGTAAATAAAAAATAGCTTACCATTTGATGCAGTTTTCCTGACACTATATAATCCTTGGGGGACCCTCACCCTCAGTGTCCCCCTCCCGCAGCGCAAAGGGGTTAAAACTCCTTCAGCCACTTACCTTTATCCAGCGCCGGGCTCCCTCGGTGCTGGTGACCACTCCTCCCCCGCCGACGTCAGCTCCCGAGTGGAGCAGAATGCTTTCCTATGGACGATCTGCACGATGGATGCGAAATTCGCATCCAGCATCGCAGATGCGCCTCTAGCGGCTGTCATGAAGACAGCCACTAGAGGTTGGATTAACCCCTAATGTAAACATAGCAGTTTCTCTGAAACTGCTATGTTTACATCTGAAGGGTTAAAACCTGAGGGACCTGGCACCCAGACCACTTCATTGAGCTGAAGTGGTGATGGTGACTATAGTGTACCTAGTGTACCTTTAAAGTTTGTACAGGTCAGAGAGAAGTATAGCTTCCTCTTTGATGCCACTGAGGTTTGTGTTGGGGGTTTTGGGTCTAATCCTTGAGTGTTTCACCAACCATTATTTTGTGTCTATTTGGAACATGAATGTGGGGAGCCACTTTCTGTGCAACCTCGAGCTTGCTAGGAGCATTGTGTGGAAATTCATTCAGCTGCATTATGTCTGACTCTGGACATTTTCTTGTTAAAGTTGTAGAAATATTTCTGAAATTGAATAAAACAGATTTAAGTACGCGACCCTAGCCGTGGTCTCGAGGTCCGGGCCCAGCTTTCCCACACTTCTCCAGGGCCGTCTCTGGACGTTCGTGCTGGATAATGAATCTTTAGAATAAACACAAGCAAATTCACACCACTTTCTCCCTGTGTTATCTCAGCAGAACTGCATCCCGTTATAAATCAGTGGATCCATGTTATTGCAGAATTAATCCACCCACGTAGCTCATCTGTCGTACATACTCCAGTTTTAAGCTTGCACAGAAATGCAAAGCGTTAAGGCTTTCATACCAGTGTACTTCAAAAAACACAACTTTATTTCTTCGCACCAATACACCTCCTCTAATTCAGGCTATATAACTTGATTCCGTCACACAATTCCATCTCCCCTACGTCACACTACTACACCTCCCCTGCTTCAGACTGTGTTCCCTTGCATTATTCCACCTCCTGTACTTTAAACTGTGATTTATTTTAATTTAATTCCCTTATATTATTTTTGAGTTCTCTACTTTAACCCATGCATCTTTATTTCTTTGTGGTGTTTGTCTACAAGCAGTCTTATTCCTTTTAGACATTTCTACTTTTCTTTGCTTCATCCCACACAGCTTTATTCCCACACACTTTCCCAGCACCTGCTTTACAAAACACAGCTTAATTCTCTCGCTCTGTTCTACCTTCTGTATGTTACGCAGCAAAGCACTTTTTCTTCACATTTTATTATTTTATTATTCCTCCATTTTAAACCATGAAAATTCCCTGATACACTTTCAGATAGATATAAATGAAATCTATACACTGCCAGCTTGATCGTCTGCATATATATAGTTTCATTGATATTGATATTAACTGAAATTCACTTCTGCCACACACAATATGGCTTCCTGGAATATCAGATCAGCTGTACATGTTGTCACCCTGCCTGACATAAATTAGTTTGTAGGCTTTATATCATAGAACTGCCAAATTATGTAAATATTGATTACTTTGTATCTATAGATTTGCTAGCAATTCAGTTGGCATGGTGTATAGATTACATTTTATGATTGTAGTAATGACAGGTGTAATTTAACACATGAAACACAAAAAAACTGTAAAATAACTGTTTTACCTGCTGTATTACAAACTGAAACGTTAGCCCACCATTTATTTATTTTTTACTTCCAACAGTGCATCTTTATTCCTTTGCATTATTATTCCTCCTACACTTTGAACCATGCAGCTTTATTCTCTCACACTTCCCCCCTTTAGAGTGTATTTTGATTTTCCTCATCATATCACATCTCCTCTACTTCAAACCATGAAAATGTATAGCTTCATATGTTCGACCTCCTCTACTTCAAACTGGAAAACGATTCATTCTCTGTTCTATTACCTTGACATCAAGCCATGCAACTTTATTACTGCACACTGTTCTACCTGTATATTTAAAGCTTGCAAATCATATCCATGTATTCTAAATGTTAGTTGTTTAAGAGGAAAATATCTAATGTTCATGTGATTCTCATATGGACATCTCTATAACCTCTTAATACAGTCATGTTAATCAGCTGTGATTTATTTACCAGTATGGAGTTCCTTGTTTCACTGTTGGATAAGAATCCCTGTGACTACTTTTATTGGTCCTTGACGAGGTGTAGCCTGCATGACTGCGCATGTGATTTAAAACATTCTTAGAATATTTAATTACCCTCCCCTGATTGTAATGAAGCTGTCATAGTAATAGAAATGGATAATACCAGTGATTATACAGGATGGGGGGGGGCTTTACACTCTAATAATTATAATTTTGTTTCTTGCGGTCTAGACGTATTCTGGGCTGTTCTGCGTTGTCATCAATCCCTACAAGAACCTCCCCATCTATTCAGAAAATATAATTGAGATGTATCGAGGAAAAAAGCGCCATGAGATGCCGCCGCACATTTATGCCATTTCAGAGTCTGCCTACCGCTGCATGCTTCAAGGTAAGAAGGACACACAGGACCCCAAATTATTGAATCTGACTGAATAAGTAGAGATTTGTGGTTCATCCATCTCTGTTGTGTGCGAAAGTTCAAAGCTCTGTGGGCCATAAATGTCTATATAATTCTCACTTATTTTAGATATATATATTTTTTTTTAACAATCAGATTCAAGAGATCCCTTCTATGGTAAAACAGTAGGAGTAGTAATCCTCTGAAATGAAAGATTAAAGAAGGTGGTTATCTTTTTACTGGAAATATTCAGTGGGTATAACCACGGATAGAGGAAGTTAAAGGGTGGGGAGGAGAAAATAAAAGAAAGGAGAGAGAAAAAAAAAAAGAGAGAGAGAAATGTCCGCCCAGCAAACTCCCCGACAGGGTCCATTAAAATCAATTATTTTTTTTTAATAAATTCTTTTTAAAAATCTGATTTTTGTTTTCTTACTTAAAGGACCACTATAGTGCCAGGAAAATATACTAGCCCCCACCCTCAGGGTCCCCCTCCCGCCGCGCTCTGGGTAGAGGAAAAGGTTAAATCTTACCTTTTTTCCAGCGCCGGGCGTGGAGCACTACTCCGCCTCTCCGCCTCCGATCCTCCTCTTCGGCTGAATGCGCATGCGCGGCAGGAGCTGGGCGCGCATTCAGCCGATCTCATAGGAAAGCATTTATAATGCTTTCCTATGGACACTGGCGTGAGAAGCACGCAAACGCCTCTAGCAGCTGTCAATGAGACAGCCACTAGAGGCTGTATTAACCCTATTATAAACATAGCAGTTTCTCTGAAACTGCTATGTTTATTAAAAAAGGGGTTAATTCTAGAGGGACCTGGCACCCAGACCACTTCATTAAGCTGAAGTGGTCTGGGTGCCTAGAGTGGTCCTTTAAATAAGTTTTTTTTTTTTTTTAATGAAATACTGTTACTGACAGAATTAAATTACAAGCTTTAAAAAACAGATTGGGACAAGCACTGTCTCCAGCTCATTTTCACGCAAACACTGTCAATATCCGATACCAGGCTCAAACCTTATATGCTGAGGAAGAGGAGTTAGCCATGACATGGGTATCCAGCAATCATCCATTTCTACTGCCAACTATAATAAGCTTCAGAGCTAAGTGGAAACCATTCTAGAAATATGTTTGCTGATGATGTTTTACAGAAAGTCACACTAGTGAACAAAGCTGTATTCCTGGCACTGTAACTCCCTCTGCCTCCCTGGCCGTGGAAAATAAAGGGGTAGTAACCCTTTATTTACTTAACTGATTCGTGATTCGTTGGCTCTGCCTCCTCCAACGTCCCTGGATGAGTAGTCTCTCTGGAACTGCAATGTTTTACATTGCTGCACCCAGACCACATCAATGAGCTGAAGTGGTCTGGGTGCCTATAGAGTCAGTTTAAGCACCTGGATTCAGAAATTGTTTCAAGTAATGACTTCACTTTTAACAGCAGTGGCATCTTCTGCTGGCGTTGATAGAATATTTAATCCTTTGGACTTGTTCACTATAGTGAGAATTCGGTTGTTACCCAGCATAGCAGGAAAACTTGATTTGCTTTTCCAGATTATGAATAAACAAGAGAATTAAGATGAGTGAGCTGCAGAAGACCACGTTTTAAGTTTTTCATGTGGACCCTGCTGATGTATGCAATTTTACGTTTTTTTGTTTGTTTGATTTTTTTTTTTTAATAAAGATATTTTGTTTAATCACTTTAGTTAATAAACGTTGATGTTTAAACAGATACAAGAATATGTATGCCATATAAAGTGTTATTGTTTTGGTTAAAGTAGCTCTCCAAATATGAGTGATTAACCTATTAATCACTCATATTACCACAACCACCACCCTACTACCTCCAAAACCAACCCCCACTCCTCCTAATAATTTTTTTACCTATTAAAGTAAAATCAGTTCTGATATCTAAATATGAAATTTCATCTGGTTGCAAATATTAAAGATTATAACTACCACCAAGAAAGAGTTGTTGCATTTAAAAATCTTGCTTTAAGTCGACTTGATTCATTCTGAACAATGGCAGAGCAATCTATCCGGGGGAGGGAATGACGTCCAACCCGTGGGACCAGGTTTTTGTTTTTTTTAAACATTCCTCAGCAGTATTGTTTATTGTATGTTTTTAAAGTTCCTCCACCCCCAGTTCACCTTAATTTTCTTGACCTCAAACAATTGTTTAGATTTAGGCCCTGTACGCTATGCTCTGGCTGCTATAGTTCTAACGTGGTCTGTTGCAGTTAGTTCTATGGTTTCGCATCTATTATACAGCTTTCTGGAGTACATTGGTTCTTTGTTAGTTGTCATAAAAATAAACCCATCACCTTGTGCTCGGTATGTTTGCTAGGCCACCAGCGTGTTGACGTTCAAGAATTTCTGTTGTAACTCTTACTGGAATGCCAAGAGCCACCTGCGCTATATTAAGCTAAGCTTGATATAGCCATAGTTTGGGAATAAATCCATATGTAGGTGTTTATATAAAGCTTTTGATTAACTATAGCTTGTACACACAAGTACAGGCGTTCTCTCTTTAGTAATTATTTGAATTTTTGTTACACTTTATCTGCACAGATTAACACGGTCTTAATGTTTCACCTCCTCAACCATTTAGAATTCTTTATTCTGGTGATGGTGTGTTTACTTCTGAAGCTGGCACTCCATTCCACCCCTTGTAAATTTATCAACCACCCATACAGCTTCTCTAATCCAAGCAGCAAATCCATAGGACATATTTGTGGTGAAAAAGCATTATTATATTGTAAATATGTGTCTCCACTGGCACAGGCTACTGAATCTGTAAAATTCTTATATCTGTATAGCAGTCTACGAATCTTATATCTTTATACTAGTCGGACATTGAAAGGGTCATGTGACTTTCTAGTGCTGTATACACCTCTTTCCCCTGCCCCCTCTTTTGCAGAGAAAGGAATTGTGTGTCTCTAAAGATCAATAAGGAATTCTGGAAACGGTCGCAGTGATGGCTGCTGCTTAATTACCCTGAAACTCCGTAATTCAGTTTTGCTGAGTGGCCATGAATTTCTCATCAATATATATGAGGTCAGACAGGTGTAGGTGGAAGCCTCCCTGGTTCCTATAGGAATTTTCTAATAAAAACGTCAGCCAGACGGGGAGAAGGGCAAGTGAGTTCCAGACCTCTTGCTATTCTGCGCTGCCATCTCCAGAACCCCCTCTCTCCCGTTTCCTCCCAGACTCCCCCAGCTCAGTGTTTGTAATGTCTGGCAGGGCCTTGCTAGCAAGGAAACCATTGTCTTCTGTTTCCAGCCTCCAGGCCTGTTTAACTCCTCGGTGGCCAGCTGCCTAGCACTGTGCATGAGGTTTTGATTCCTTTACAAGAGTTTGTTCTCGTTCTTACAATCTCAACAGCTTTAGATGTGCGGTTATAGTGTACATAGAAAAACGGCACTTTAAAAATGAAAAATATATATATATATAAATGATTAACTAATTACCATATACCATTGCTTACTCATGCCATGTTGCCGTCCGTTATACTAAATGATGGGTTTATCCTTTTACTGTTGTTTTTTTGTTTTCGCTCCTTGTTAATTTTATGTATATTTATTATGTTCATATATTGATAATGATTTAGTGGTTCTGTTGCACATTTGTACTAGTGTTTGTATAGTTTGATGTGTAAAATATAATACTGATGGTTTACTGGATATGTCAGTTGAGCATATTTTATTTAGATGTTGAATATTGAATATCTCCTCCTATACCTGATAAAGCTGCATTTATTGGCTCGAGTTAAAGATATGTGATATTAGAACTAATGTAATCGCAAAGACGAATTGCGGGATGTGTCACTTGGGGAGGTTACTTATAGCTGATTTAGGTAAGTTAAGGCTGTATATGGGTGATAAAGTGTACCATTTGGTAAGGCTGTATATGGGTGATAAAGTGTACCATTTGGTAAGGCTGTATATGGGTGATAAAGTGTACCGTTTGGTAAGGCTGTATATGGGTGATAAAGTGTACCATTTGTTCAGGCTGTATATGGGTGATAAAGTGTACCATTTGGTAAGGCTGTATATGGGTGATAAAGTGTACCGTTTGGTAAGGCTGTATATGGGTGATAAAGTGTACCATTTGTTCAGGCTGTATATGGGTGATAAAGTGTACCGTTTGGAAAGGCTGTATATGGGTGATAAAGTGTACCATTTGTTAAGGCTGTATATGGGTGATAAAGTGTACCATTTGGTAAGGCTGTATATGGGTGATAAAGTGTACCATTTGGTAAGGCTGTATATGGGTGATAAAGTGTACCGTTTGGTAAGGCTGTATATGGGTGATAAAGTGTACCATTTGTTCAGGCTGTATATGGGTGATAAAGTGTACCATTTGGTAAGGCTGTATATGGGTGATAAAGTGTACCATTTGGTAAGGCTGTATATGGGTCTAAAGACATCCTTGTAAGGCTGTATAGTCAAAAAAGTGAGATTTGTTGCAGAGGGATGCAGCACTCTTAAAATTGCAAAGCTTCTGAAGCGTGATCATCGAACAATCAAGCGTTTCATTCAAAATAGTCAACAGGGTCGCAAGAAGCGTGTGGAAAAACCAAGGCGCAAAATAACTGCCCATGAACTGAGAAAAAGTCAAGCGTGCAGCTGCCACGATGCCACTTGCCACCAGTTTGGCCATATTTCAGAGCTGCAGCATCACTGGAGTGCCCAAAAGCACAAGGTGTGCAATACTCAGAGACATGGCCAAGGTAAGAAAGGCTGAAAGACGACCACCACTGAACCAGACACACAAGCTGAAACGTCAAGACTGGGCCAAGAAATATCTCAAGACTGATTTTTCTAAGGTTTTATGGACTGATGAAATGAGAGTGAGTCTTGATGGGCCAGATGGATGGGCCGTGGCTGGATTGGTAAAGGGCAGAGAGCTCCAGTCCGACTCAGACGCCAGCAAGGTGGAGGTGGAGTACTGGTTTGGGCTGTATCATCAAAGATGAGCTTGTGGGGCCTTTTCGGGTTGAGGATGGAGTCAAGCTCAACTCCCAGTCCTACTGCCAGTTCCTGGAAGACACCTTCTTCAAGCAGTGGTACAGGAAGAAGTCTGCATCCTTCAAGAAAAAACATGATTTTCATGCAGGACAATGCTCCATCACACGCGTCCAAGTACTCCACAGCGTGGCTAGCAAGAAAGGGTATAAAAGAAGAAAATCTAATGACATGGCCTCCTTGTTCACCTGATCTGAACCTCATTGAGAACCTGTGGTCCATCATCAAATGTGAGATTTACAAGGAGGGAAAACAGTACACCTCTCTGAACGGTGTCTGGGAGGCTGTGGTTGCTGCTGCACGCAATGTTGATGGTGAACAGATCAAAACACTGACAGAATCCATGGATGGCAGGCTTTTGAGTGTCCTTGCAAAGAAAGGTGGCTATATTGGTCACTGATTTGTTTTGTTTTGTTTTTGAATGTCAGAAATGTATATTTGTGAATGTTGAGATGTTATATTGGTTTCACTGGTAATAATAAATAATTGAAATGGGTATATATTTGTTTTTGTTAAGTTGCCTAATAATTATGCACAGTAATAGTCACCTGCACACACAGATATCCCCCTAACATAGCTAAAACTAAAAACAAACTAAAAACTACTTCCAAAATATTCAGCTTTGATATTAATGAGTTTTTTGGGTTCATTGAGAACATGGTTGTTGTTCAATAATAAAATTAATCCTCAAAAATACAACTTGCCTAATAATTCTGCACTCCCTGTATATGGGTGATAAAGTGTACCATTTGTTGAGGTTCTGCTTGAGCCTCTTGTCAAACTGTCCATCCGTACTGGATGTGCGCCATTGTTGCTCATCTAGTAACTCCAAGCCTGTGAATTCCATCTTAACAATGCTGACTATCAGAGAGATCCTGGCAGTGTTTAGCAGTTGGCAGTACGCAGTGTCATTGGCAAACAGATCCTTTTGACAAGTTCCCTGTTAAGATGGCACAGATCTGGGAACAGCCCTCCTAGCTTAGTTTGACCCATATGGTTCAGTATTAAGTGTCCTTCAATGTTCTTTGGTTTCTGCTGCCAGGATGTATGTCCTCTCTCACCTGGCAACCTGTGGTCCAAACACTGTCCTTTCATTTTCTGTCATAGTCTCATTCACACATACAAATAGATTAGTCATATTACCCTACACCTGCAGCTCAGTATACCAATTCATAGTTCTCTCTCTGTCATCTTCTCATTTTCTCTCATTGTGTCTTCTCAAACCTTCACACATCTTGCCAAATAACACGTTGTCAGTGTAAAATCAGCTGAGAAATGTCTTTGTAAGGAGCTGGTCATTCTCAGTAATTGCTTGAAAGTTAATCCATTTTCTATTTGTTTTTTTGTTTTTTTACCTGGCTTATCCATACAGTGCACTGAATAAAATGTTACATCAGTTTCGGATGTGCGATGTTCTAAGCGCGGCCTAAATTACTTTTCAATGATTGGGATTGTAATGGTTTTTGTGTTTCGTTTGGTAATTGATAGAGAGTGTGCTTTCAGTGGATATTGGGGTAAGGCGGAGAGAAGGGGTACTGTTTCTGGGCGTTTAGGTGAGATGGAGGAAGATGATAATTTCAATAATGAAGTGAGGTGGGAAGAAAAAGTGCTGTTGGTGGGTATTGGCATGGGGGAAAATGTTTCCAGTCCGTGTTAGGTGAAGAAGTGTGAGAATGGGCTTTTGATTGGTGATGGGCTAATGTGGTGGGAGAAAAGTTAGATTTTACTTGGCACTGGGGTAAGAGGAAGGAGGTACTTGTGGATGGCATTGGTGGTGAACAAGAAAGTTGATTGTGCTAGGTATTCATGTTAGGGGGAGATAGAAAGTGTCCTGTCTGAGACTTCGATTGTGGCTTATAGTGGTTATAAAGGAACGAGAATTTTTTATTTCTTTATATATATATATATTTATTTATTTTTACTGCTGTGCACATATTTTGGCTAAAGGGGGAAGCAGGAGACATCAGACTTAGACCTTCAAAATAATGAGTCTGTAGAACGAAAACCAAATGTTGTATTATTTGATGCATGCCCAATAACCTGTTTCTATTGACTAAAAGCAGCTTCCCAAATACAGGCTTTCACGTCGGCTTTTGAAGTCAGTCTCTCCATTTACCGATAACATTCCAGCCTGACGCGGGAATATTTCTGCCTTTTGATTTATCGCTTGTCTGCTTTGTCTTTTGGATGTCTTGTTGTTTTTCAGCCATGGAGACAATGTGTTGTTGACACTGTCAAGATGTTGAAAATGTCTACACGTATCGCCTGCTCCCTTTTCAACTTTGTTTGTCACCAGACTCCATGAAGAAAAATCTGTGAATTAGTCTGTTGAATGAATTCCAGCTGTACACCATATTTCATATGTCGGCCAGTAGAATGACATATAGCTGAGAGATAAGTAACTTTGAAATTATCCGCACAAAGATGGGAGTCGACAATTAATAACTCAGGTGCAGAACGATTCCAGGATCTCTTGAGGTCCGCCAGTTCTACACCTAACTCCTGAATTCTTTAGAGTGTATGTAATAAATGTGGAACTCTGCAACCGTGATGGCCCACCTTTTAGACTTAATGGACCCCTCTCCATATGGTTGATCTGCCAGAATTACTGACTGTTGAGGTTCTTGTGCTTTTAATACTATAATGGATACTATACTTTTATTATAGTCTTTAGTTCACAGATTACAGATATCCTGAAAATGTCCAAAAAGATCCATGATTGCCTGATTCAGATTCACTCTGATTTATAGGCGATACATTCATATCCTGGTTATTTGGATTTGTCCTACTGTTTGCTTATCAGTATCTGACCTGCCATTGCCCCTGACAGCTAGCCGATGATTAGTTATCTGATATATTAATGCTGTGCACTACATCTGTATTGTGTTTAGATGGCCGGGCCTTGTTAAGAGAAACAAGCTTTAAATCCCAGCTGGTTTACAACAGCCCCCATATGTTTGTATTTAAGGTTCTATGCTAATTTTCTGGTCTAAGAAGGCTAGTTTGAATGCAGATGCCCCTGTGCAAAATGACAAAAGACAAAAAATGACAAAAGAAGTTCCTATTTTCTGTGGACCATCTTGTAGATGTAGAGAGGCTGGGAAGGCCACGGCCCAGTCATTCCCTATTCTGCATGCAAAATGTGTTTTGGTGGATATCACACAAACAATGTTATTCAGGAAAGTGAGAATTCATAGTATATCTCACATTTAAATGGATACTATAGGCATTAAGACTACTTTAGCTTAAAGAAACACTATAGGCACCCATACACTTAATCTTATTGAAGTGGTCCGGGTACAGTGTCCCTGTTACCTTAACATTTTACATGGTGGGGAGGGGGTGGTAGAGGATTCCACTGCTCATTTCTCTGACATTTAGGAGTTAAATCACTTGGTTTATACAACCAGTCACAGTCTTCCTAAAAAAAGGGTTTCATTTTTCAACCAGACGTTAACTTGCTTTAGACGTTTTTATCTTCTACTCTGTAAATCGAACTTTAATGACGCACAAGTCTCCTGCAGATTCAAGAAGGCTGTTAACAGATTAATCAGAATGTGCAATAAAGGTACCTAGAATATCTAGGTTCATTTTCTGGAAGTGTTTAGGAGGGCTGTGTAAGTCACATCCCGGGAAATGTGACTAGTTCTGCATAAACAAAGTGATTTAACTCCTAAATGGCAAAGAACCTAGCAGTGAAACTGCAGGGTGTCCCTTTAAGGCCAAATTTAAAGCAGAGGTGAATTACATCTTTTTTTCTTTTTTTTTGCCTAATTTGACCTTAAATTGAAATTCACTTTGTTGTATATCCCTGAAAGGGGCAAATGAACCCTAAAAGTGCAATATTTAAACATTGTAGAAATATGTCAGTGAGCTGAATCCAAAACTTTAGAAACCCTTTAAGAGGGTTACTTACCTTTGACCCTAACCCTTCAGGCACTATTTGGATTTGTTGTCTGCTGAGATTTTAATTTTTATATATTTACAGTATTTTACATGTGGATTAAGATTATCATGAAAATCCCAAAGTGTGCATTTAGAATACATATTTAATGGAATATTCGAGCTTTGATATGGCCGTTTAATCTTTCATGGAGTGATTAGCACAGATTTCCACTTTTCATGTAGAATCTTGTCTTCTCAGACACATTTCCTTACTTGATTACTAAATCTAATTGTCCCCCAGCAGCTGTCTCTCTCATTTTTGATAAATGATGAGCCTTTGCATGTTAAAGTATGGAGATTAATTGTCCTCCTCAAAAAATATATGTCCATCCATTTTCTAAGCACTGCTTGTGGACATCATGTTCTAAGATTTCATGTTTAAATTTTGGGGGGTCTTTAACAAAGACATCCTCTTTGCAATTCAATAACATGTATTTATGCATACTTGGTTGTGAAGGAGTTAATGTTAGAGGGAATTAATGAACAAAAACTTTGATTTGATTTGACACCCCTACCTCTTCCAGCTCACTGCTCTTTCTGGCTTTCAGTTTCATAAACTCCCACCCAACCCCCCTCCAGACCCTCAAGTATTGCTTAATCAATCCCCTTCGTGACACAGTGAGCCACACAATTAAACAGCAACTTGGCATATTGTAAAGTTCACTTGCCTCTGAGACTGCAATTTTAGGATAATATTCTGTAATACGAGCTGAAAGTCTCCAATCTTTTAGAAATGATTTAATTTAATAAAATGTTTTGTTTTGTTGTTGTTGCTAGGCATTGTGGGACTTGTAGTTTGATCATAGCTGCCTGCTACATGTTATTTGGTTTATTGAATATCACAATTGATACATTGTTGAGATCCACTGTAACTATGTACTTGTCTACTTAGATCCTTGGGTTTGTGTAGAGGCCACAACAGTACAATCCGAACAAACTGTTTTCTAAATAGCATTTGGAGTCCGCTTGCTCTCATTGTCTCATGTTTTTGTAATGGGAAAGATCTGTTCCTTCACCAGTGGCGGAGTTAATGCTCATTGCACTAAACGCTTTCATATGACCAACATGTGGCTGTCATTACTGCAAGTAACTGGGTGGAACAGGTGCACGACAACAACCCTTTGATCAAAATACTAGATGGTTCAGGACAGCAGTCTGTGTGTTCCCTTCACTGCGGGGTGCCATTACCCCATCATTTAGCCTTTTATTTCCCAGTGCTTGTTATCGAGAGCAATGTAATCCTTTTTTAATGTGACAGATGCCATTGGTAGTTTTTATATAAAATAGTAAAGTTGCCAGTATTTATCATGATTTTGATTAGCATAAACGATCAATTCTGTGAACTGCTGGGCTGTGCATGAAAAGTGCTATCCATAGAATCCATATGTTGCCAGTATAATATATATCAATCACATGGGGTTCCTTTGGGGTTCTGTCTGTGATTGAAGGGACACTATAATTACCAGAACAATTACAGCTTGTTATATCTGTTCTGGTGAGTAGAATCAGTCCCTTCAGACTTTTTGCAGTAAATACTGTCTTTTCAGAGAAAATGCAGTGTTTACATTACAGCCTAGAATTACCTCCACTGGCCACTCCTCAGATGACTGCTAGAGGTGCTTCCTGTGGCAGTGCTGCAGAGTAAGCAGCACTGCAATTCAGTTTATCCACCCTCTGCATTAAGACACTCAACCTTCCTCATAAAGATGCATTGATTCAATGTATCTCTTCGAGGAGATGCTGATTGGCCAGGGCTGTGTTTGGCTCGTGCTTCCTTGACCGTCTCAGCCAAATCCTTGGGGCTAGATAGTGGTTTTAACACTTTAGGGTCAAGAATAAATGTTTGTGTTCGTGACCCTGTAGTGTTCATTAATTGGTATTCATATAAATTCTAGATATTGCCAGGGAGAATTTTTCAAGCACTGCTCAACAACCTGCAGAATATATTGGTGTCGGAAACATGGCGATCTGGAAACCCAACCAATGGTAGCAGGTGCTCTTTCACTGATATGGTTAGTGTCCGTGAATATCCAATTTTCAAAAAAAAATAATTGCTAAATAGTGAGGGTTTTTTTTGTTTTTGCAGAGTTATGCAATAGAAGCAAATAGAATACTAAAAAAGTCAGATTAATTGGCTATTTTGTCTGACCTAAGTTTGGCCAGATTTTGTACACTTCTTATCACTAACCAGGTAGAAATGGCGACTGCTCCCTTAGTAAGATTATCTCTGAATTCCAGCAACATGGGAATCCAATGTTGTGTATTTCTGCTATAGAAAATTCTCTACGATTGGGCATTACCTACTTTGTTCGGAAAATAAGCTCATAACTGATCAGGTCACACTCCTCCTGCCAGTGCTGTATCTCTATGCTGGAAGATTAATGACAATTGACATTGAATGACAATACACCTTCAAAGTCAAAGTACAATGCAGACTTCACTCAAATCTTACATTATAAATTAACATAACCCAAAAAAGGGGAATAAAAAGAACTAAGATGGGAGAGGACGCTTACATGGGCTGTCACACGTTGATAATGGACACAGAAAGTATATTTCAATGATGCCCAATTTAGGCATAGGCTGACAGTCCCTCCTTTACATTATTATTTTATTATTTATATAGCGCCAGCAAATTCTGTAGCGCTGTACAAGGAGTGGACTAACAGACACGTAATTGTAACCAGACAAATGGACGCACAGGAACAGAGGGGTTGAGGGCCCTGCTCAATGCGCTTACATGCTACATAACAAATAGCCATCATCTTGGGCCTTGAGCTGGGGCTTACTTATTCACCACTTCAGTTGTTAATTCACATTTATTTAGTCTATTTCCTTTGTTATAATCTTATCCCTCAGCAAATCAACAGCCTGGAGAATATGGTCTAGGTATTTCAACAGCCAGTGGCAAAGTTAAACTGTTTGAGCGTGCAGATATGTGCTCTCTATGTTTTCTCCTCTTATCTCTCACATTTCTGCTCCATACACCATCTATTTTAATTTTAATCCTAAACTTAGTGCGTTTTCTCTGAATGTCATGACACTGTATCGTACGGTCTGTTATTGCTAAGCTTGCTAATGCTGTTGTGGCCTCACAAGCTCATGTGTTAATTTTTGCACAACAAAAATAAAGAATATATATATATATATAACATTATTATTATTTTTTTTTAAAGAAATAAGATGGAGAAAGGCATTGGAAAGGGGGACATAAAGGGCAAAGGGAATAGGAAAATGCAAAATCTCCTGCTGCAAAGTGGGGCTAAAAAGAGGTCATCCCACAATGCATCCGTCATGAGTCAAATCTTAAAAGGTTTGTCACCCAGTTAAAGGACCACTCTAGGCACCCAGACCACTTCAGCTTAATGAAGTGGTCTGGGTGCCAGGTCCCTCTAGGATTAACCCTTTTTTAAATAAACATAGCAGTTTCAGAGAAACTGCTATGTTTATAAATGGGTTAATCCAGCCTCTAAAGCCTCTAGTGGCTGTCTCATTGACAGCCGCTAGAGGCGTTTGCGTGATTCTCACTGTGAAAATCACAGTGAGAACAAAGCGTCCATAGGAAAGCATTATAAATGCTTTCCTATGAGAGCTAAATGTGGCGCAGCCTTGCGCGCGCGCATTCAGCCGAAAGGGAGGAGAGGAGGAGGTTCGGAGGCAGAGAGCTCCCCGCCCAGCGCTGAAGAAAAGGTAAGTTTTAACCTTTTCCTCTCCCCAGAGCCGGGCGGGAGGGGGACCCTGAGGGTGGGGGCACCCTCAGGGCACTATAGTGCCAGGAAAACGAGTATGTTTTCCTGGCACTATAGTGGTCCTTTAAGTCTGAGCTGTTAAATTCAACTCAGGGGGTAAAAAGTTTTGGAATGAAACAGCAGTATTGATGCTAGTGTCATCAATGGTATAGTGCAGGTGTAGGCAACCTTCAGCACTCCAGATGTGGGCTACACAGATGTGGGCGTTTTTCTCATCTTTTATGAGCACTGGGCACTGGTGTCTATAGCACCATGTTTGGCACGAATTTTATGGGATTTTTCTCGGTCTAATATATTTTTCACCTAACTTACTTTTGCTCCTATGTCTATCTAGTTAGCTTACCAGGGAGAGAGGCTTTTCTAATTATAAATGGTCAGTTTCTTAGAAATCTGAACATTTGAATTACTATTTTCCCTCTCTCTCTGTGCTCTACTCTTAATCCTGTCCTGTATGTAATTGGAGGAGTTTTGTATTCTTGATATTTACTGCCCCTGCCCTAGATAGGGGGTCTCTTGGGAACTTATACAATTTAATTACAATACTCAGCCTACCAATGGTAGTCAGGTATTAGGAATGTGCACCTAGAGCCAGTCCTGTTATAGATATCTTTTATATTTATTTTTATTTTTTTACTGGACTCATCCCTACTCAGTATTTTTTTTCCAATAAAGTGTTTATAGAGATAGGGCTGTTTGTCCAGTATCTATGTACTTTAGGTATCTATCTATGGGGTTCTGTACTTTGGGTGACATGGGAGTATCAATTTTACTTTTATAGGATTATACATTATGTATGCATGTAATACTAGCTATATCTGATTTCTAGTAGTCCTTATACTATTAGCCAGTTTACCTTTAGGACTACATAGCTATATTTTGATTTCCAGGCGATGCAGCAAGCCTCAGGGGTGTTTATGCACTGAGCACTTGCAGTATCTTTTCTCTTTGTTGCTATTTTTTGTTTATTAGGGGTTAAGCCCCTTTAGGGATCCCTGGAGTCCCAGTGCGGTACACAGGTTTCTGGGTGGAACTCTGACACTGTTCCCCTCTTTTCTTTAGGGGAGAGTGCAGGGGTATACACCCAGATCCCTGTTTTTTCTCTGTTTGTTTTTTGATACATCTTCCATAATTCTCTAACAGCCATAATACTGGCCAAACATCTGGAGTGCTGAAAGTTGTCTACCCCTGGTATAGCAAATATACTGCCCATTCTCACTGTGTATTCCAAGAATGTTGCGATCTGTATGACTAATACACTTCATTTTTAAGGCACAAACCTATTCCACAGAGTTGTATATCTCCATATTTAGCTGGGCGTCTCAAGTCGCTTCATGTACTTATCAAAGTCCCTGGATTTTACTAATACAATACAGATGTGAAGGAAAAAAGTTTTATAACATCTAATATATCAAACAAGGCAGTATAACTTTCTATATAGGTAATATAATCCAGGAATAATACAATAGAGAAAATGGCATGAAAATTAACTATGCATGATTATTTTATTATATTGGTATGGGTTACACTTTGCTCAAACCTAAATAGAGAAATCACATGTATTTGGAGTGTTGAGTGTTTGAGCCATTAGGCATCCTGGGACCACAGTGGAAAACATAGTCTTTGAGAGCTGCTCTGCATGCAGCAGACTTTTCCCAAGGTTTGCTTTGAGATATATCGGCTATCGCACAACATTACATTGAAGAAATCCCTTGAAGCCAAAGCATACCACTTGTGTGAGAGAGATATCGTTGACTTAATAGGATAGGAGAGTGCTTTCTGCCCAGATAAGTGCCAAGCGCACTCAGATCACAGTGCTATGTAGATGGTGGACTCAATAAAGACATTTATAGCAGTTGTTCTTAAAGGAGAACAGTCGCTTTTATATGTGACTGAATAAATCATTGAAAACCATCTGGACCTTATATTAAAGAAATACTCCATGCACCATGACCACTGTAGATCTCCCAAGTTAGTAGTCAAACCATTTAGTAATGGTTTAGTTTATTGCCTCGGGTGCGCCAGATGCTCTAAGCTGAGCAAGTGGTGGAGGGTTTTGCTTGTTGGCTGAGAGTGATCAGCTTGGCAGTGACCGTTCCCCTTTGGACATAATGACAAATTATACAGAAGGCATTTGGATGGCTACCACTCCTTACTTTTAATATTATTTCCGGAAGCCATTATTCAGTTTATATTATATTTAACAAGGTGAATAGTGCAGAACATTTTATTAGATTCTTACCAGTTCAACAGGGTCTATAATGTAGTTATAAAAGCAGTGCAGTATGATGGGACCATTGATATAGTACAGGGACTCGGTACAGGGTCCCGACCCAGGGGTTTAGAAGCACAGATTTATATTACAGCAAGAATTAGTTCACGTTCTAGTGAGACGGACAGTTTGTGAAGATAAAAGCTCCCATATGGAAGTTATCCAAGAGTCTGCAGAGCTAGTGTGGTGAAACACAAAGCAAAGCCTTTAGTGCAATTTATTCTTAACATGAGGAGGCGAGACGTACATTGTCCCTACAGGGATGGCTCTGCTAACACTCCTGGGGATATTCATGTTTAGAATAGCTTGTCATGCCCGCTGCCTTAATGTGTGGCTACACTTAGCCAAAGAGTAAATCACTGTAGTGTTTAGACACTTTAGATCAGCTGTGGCTATTTAATCATTTTATTACAACTTGGGGCACTGGTGCAGCCAATTCAGGATCCAAGAAATACTTGCAATGACAAGTGTGCAGAACGCTTTTTTTTTTTTTTAAAAGACAAAAAGGAGAGGAAAAAACCCCAGCAAGATTCTAAGAATTTTTCCTGCCCGCGGAATTTGCAGTTTCCTCTTATATTTCTTAGGCATTCACTGTTTAGTGAATAAAGTACTGTAAGCACATATGTACATGCCTGCGTGTAAGAAGGAACTCATTTCTGTGTTTGTTTTTAATTTCAGGACTAGACTGTTAGCAGTGAAACGGTTAAAAATGCTCTTTCTATGAATGCACTCTCCTGACGGGTCGCAAATTTTAGAATGGCATTTGCGATGATTTCCAATGATAGGGCACATTGTTGTTGAGGACATTTTCTGTACAACTCCCTCTTTCACATGACCAATATCCGCAGGTTGTAAATTAGGATCAATAGTCAGTGTTTGTCGTGCCAACTGGCGACCGTTTAAAATGCCCACCCCATTCTGTCTGAGTAGAAATCCCCCTCTTTCCTGCTAACTGACATTCTTTTATCCAGTCTGGCAAAAATCCTGTGACTGCTTAGAAATGTCACTGCTTCTGGGGTGTGACATCGTTCTGGTTGACGCTCTGCGCCAAATGCCTCCTGCCCACACTATAAACCTGTGTCGGGGTAAATAATGGTTTAATCGTAAGCAAAATTCACCTATATTCTGTGCTTGATAAAAAAAAATATTGCTCTGGATTCAGTTTCATAGAAATGTATTCACAGAATTGAAATTTGAAAGGTACCGTTGAGACTAAAATAGGCAATTTGCGATTATACCTGATGTGCTAATTTTGCCGTTCAGAATCTAATTTTATACAATTCCGGTGTTAAGTGACTAAATCCCATGCTATGAGTTTTAGCAGTGCTCTGCAGGGGCTAAACAAGCAGAGCATGCTGTGATGCAAAAGTGTCTGCAAGTCTGCTAATACCACACTAGTCTGTTGTTTCTTAAAGGCATAGCAAATCCTTCTTGGAAACTGCTCAGTTTGCGCAGGCCAGCAGCTGTCTGAATGTTCTGGTTTAACCGCTACCTAAAGCAGGCAGACCGGTACTCCAATTGTATACAAGATGTTTCTGTTAAGTCTCAGACTTGGTCTCCTGAATGGAGCTTTAATGGCATTTTGCACATATGTTCTGTTTTTACAATGTGAGTTAACACATTTACACTGACCCTAACATTGGTGATAATGCTGTACTTATGCACTGGTATCAAGGGTTAATGAGGATTTACTGTCCCTTTAATAGGTTTCTGGCGGATGCTGTGTCTCCCCACAGCTGTTTGTTCACCTGTCATTGTTGGTTTGTGTCCCTGTGTCTGTTAGTGTGCGCTTCTGCCAGGGTCTATTCAGCGTTCGGAAGAGTGTTGTAGATGTTATGATCAATCATACTTACTTGAATTTGGTTAGTGTCTTCTATAAGAACCATTACTGAAAATCTGACATTTCTTGTGTAATTCATCTTCAGTGTAATAAATGGTTTTAAGGGATGCCATCACTGGCTTTTTCTTTGCTCATGGTGTTCAAGTACCTCCAAAAATGACTGCTCGGTATTTCCAAAATGTATTTTATGGCATGAAATAATGTTACCTGTTTTGTTTTCCATCACCTTAACAGCCCATGGCATCATTATTTTTAATTTGACCCCTTTTCTCTTTACATCTGTCAAGGATCAACACCATAACCTGCTAGCCAGAGGGCAACAAGTATCTTATACTATAAAGTAGCTGGGTTTAATGTATGAGAATATATAATCTCATATGAGCAGGGTCCTCATCAACCCATTGTTCCTAAATCATTTTGTAATTGTCCCTTTTATTGTTAAATTTTCCCCTTCCATAATATTGTAAAGCACTGAGGAATAAGTTGGCGCTATATAAATACCAATATTTGTAGCCAACAGTACAAACAAATTAATAAAAACAGACTAGATAGGTGCCTTGCGGTACAGGATGCACAACAAAATGTTCTCTTTGCAAGCAGACAAGAGGAAAGTGAGACCAGCTATATTCAAGGTTGCAGAAAATCAGTGGAACAAGTAAAACGAGCCAAAGTAAAGGATTCCAGAGATCAGAGTAGTTGAATATCAGAGCCAAGTCTAAACCAAAATTGCACACCACAAGTCAAAATGCAGTCTTGAGTAATAGAGAGCACGACAGAACCAAGAGGAGTGATTAGAATTGCCCTAAATAGCCCCTTGTGGACTACCATTGCGTCAAATGACACCAACACGTATTCGACCTGCATTGTTTATTTGATCTGTCATCAAAGAATGATTGGTCTTGGAGCAGAATGATGCACCGCGTCAGTGCACGTAGGATCGATTGCATCGAAATGATCCCGTAGTGACGCACAGCTTCAATAGGTGTGCACTGGTGTCCAGAGAATGCTGGAATCATGACAATCTCCATATCCTGCCATTTTCTTCTTGGAATTTTAGCATCTCCAATCTCAGTCGCTGCATCCCGCTCGTTATCTACCTCATGTGCCCAGCTTAGCCCCTTCTGATCAGCTGCTGTCACACATCATCCTTACCTGTTCATCCGTTTGAACCCTCACCCCAACCTCAAACCAACACCATTTCTCTAGGGATGTCCTACAGTTAGGAAAAGACCCAGCACAAGTATCTGTTTTTTCCTTGATCTCAAGTCCTATGGGATCTAAAAAAAAATCTAAATAAAAACAAAGCAAAAAACTTCTTCAGGTTGTCTTCTCAACTAAGAAATTCCCCTCTAGATATAGTCTCACTCCTAACACTTCTCCCTGCTGTATATTCCTTTCTTCTCTTCAACTACTGTACATTGGATAACTTTTTAGCACAGCATTTAGTCAGTATACCCATATCTCCTCTTCCAGATATAATACACTGTTACCTTTATAACCGCTCATGATACCGCACTTCGAAAGTTTGAGTAGAACATGTTTCTCCTTTTAACCCCTAGATGTATGCGTACCCACTGTACAACGCTGCGGAACATGTTGGTACTTTGGATAATAGAGGCTAATTAATTTCTCGAGTTATGCAGCCTTGTGACGCGTAAAATCTTTGTTTGGTGTTGGTCTTGGAAAAGGGCCACCTAAAATATATCACTGCCGGAGAATGCAAAGCATCTTAGGAAGAATAGGCAGAATTTTAATAGGTTACATAAAATGCCTGATTTGATGAGTAGGACCCCCCCATAGCCTGAGCAATATATCTCGCATTAGTCAGTCTGTAAAAATACACAGTAGCTAGCCGTTAGATTCCTCCCTGCTGTGTGTTTTTTAACTCTTTCAATGAGGTGTAGAATGTTATGACAGATAAGAACTATTCAGACCAAACCCTTCCCTATCTTTATTAAAACCTTTTCTTTTCATGAACACGCAGTACTCGATTTCCAAACATTGTTTAACGTGGATATGTAACGTTTTGGTTGGTAGCAATAAAAATCTGACCATACGTTTAGTTATATTTATTTTCTCATCTCTGTTGTGTTTGTTAATGGGGGAAATATTTAAAATAACGGGCTACACTTCCTGGGTTTGTCGGTCTCTCTCAAAACCTTAAGAAAGACACAGAAATGTCTGTTTTGGGATAAAGATACCATCTTGGAGATTTGTAGATTGTAAATTTGCAAGTTGTCTCCCAGCACATTTTGGGAGGTGTTGCATTCAGTGGATGAAAGCAGCTCCCTCTTCTCATTTTTTTTTTTTTAAATGTGTCTAATTACATATCCCTCTATCTGTAAACCAATCTATGTTATTTTGGCTTAATTTATAAACTGTTTTAGATAAGAGCCCTACATAAGAACAGTAATATGAAACGTGTATCCTTTGCAAAGTAACATTTACTCCTGTTTGCCCCTTTTGCTGGGCATGTCCATTTTGTCAGTGTGCGAGATGGAATCCATTTTTTAACTCAATCTGATACCGAATCCAATCTATTAACCAGATGGTTCCAGCTTGCTAACTGTCATTCATTAGTAATACCCCTCTGCTTATGACAGATGCTGCGGCTGGTCCAGGATCGTTTTATCATGTCTGGGTGTGCAAGCGTGTGCCTGCAGCTTTGCACGTGGTCCACCCGTTTCCAATCTGTCCTGTGTGATCCGGTAGACTTGATGGCAGATGTATTGTATATGCTGACTATAGGAACGTACTGGCTACTGTAGACTTGTTTAAACAACTGCTTCCCTTTATGAAGTGGTGAATAAATGATAAGTATGGTAAGGCATTCCATAACTTTTTTCTTTTTTTTTTTCGTTTTCCCAGAGCTTGCCTCTTTGGAAATTAATGAAAGGCTCTTTTTGTTTTCTGTTTTCTTCTACTTGTTCCTGTTGTATCTCATTTTTACAATCCTTGGTCAGGAAAAAGCTGGTCTCGATCTAGCCAACAGTACAAACAAATTAATAAAAACAGACTAGATAGGTGCCTTGCGGTACAGGATGCACAAAGAAATGTCCTCTTTGCTGCCAAACAGCTCTTATCACTCACAGACATCTAGGGAGTTTAGAAAAAGAACGATTCTGGGGTAAAGTGCTAAAAGTAGAGCTGTCACCATGGAAACCAATAATGTGTTCCTGGTTGTTGTTCCACCTTTAGCCCAGAATTGATCTATACAGTCTGGTTTTAAGATTTTACAAGTAGCAGGGTTATTGAATAAAGTCAGATTGTTCTGAAATTTAAAGTGAATTTAAAATTTTAGGCCACCGAGAAAAATTCTCCAAGTCAGTTATGCTTTTAATTCAGCTACTTTTACCTTTGGAACACTGTGCACCATAACAACGTAATTGAAATGATGTTGTTATGGTGCCTTGGAGTCCCAGGCGTTGACTTAACTGAAGTGGCTAAACCATGGGTGTCCAACCTTTTGACTTCCCTGGGCCGCATTGAGCACAGAGGAATTGTCTTGGGCCACACATAAAATATATAACATAGATAATGTATACAAGTAATATATATTTACATATATATTTAAAAGCCCTTTTCTTAATTTTGATATTTTAATTGTTTAGTAGATAATTCCCTTATTTGTTATCCTTGTGTGGGACTGGCATATTTAAGGATATCAAATTAGGGAGCTATCCACTAAACACATACACTTGTGAATACTTATGCACACATAACCACAGATAAACACACAATCACGGACCTTTACACACAGTCACAAATGTATTCACACATAATCACCGACACACACATACAATCAGAGACCTATATGCACAATCACACACACACACACAAAATCACAGACCCACATACCTATACACACAGTCACGTACATAACACACAATCACAAATGTACACACACAGACACACACACAATGACAGACCCATACATACACAAACAAGCAATCACAGACCCCCCACACATACACAGATTTACCGACACACAATCACAGACCTAAACATACTTTCACATAGGTACATACACCCATAATCAGACCTACACACAATCACATACATACATAGAAACAATCAATCAATCAATCAATCACAGATCCACACACATAAAATCACATACATACAAACACATAATCACTGACCCACACACAATCACAGACATGTCCACAGATCCCCCCCGTGCACACAGCCAGTCACTGACAAAATATACACAAAAATAACATGCACACACATTTAATACTAAAGCTGTCTACCCAGCCTCCCTAACTTGCTCTGGGAGCGCTGGAGTGGATCCTCTTCCTGGTGGCCAGTGGTTGCTGCTGGGATGAAGACTGGGACCTCCGTGCTCTTCATTCATAGGTCCCTCTCGCGCCCAGCAGTGATGCCAGGATGACATCATATCCCGGCGGACAGCTCACTGCCGGGCGCTGAGGAAGCTGTTCAGGAGGAGCACAGAATGTAATGGTCGCAGAGGCGTACCTAGAGCTTTTGGCAACCCCCTTTCCCAATTCAAATATAAAAAAACACCCACTATTTTTTGTATTTTTTTTTTTTTAAATGCCTACTACAACAGTAGTAGGCAATACAAAAACCTTTCTAAACCCCCCTTCTACAAAAGACCTGCCCCCTCTACAAAAACCCGTGCCCAGTCCCCCTTCTATAAATTCACTGCCCAATCCCACTTCTACAAACCCCTGCCCTCTTCCACAAAAACCCTGTCCCCCTCCATCTACGAAATCCCCTGTCCAGTACCCCCTTCTACAAAATCACCTGCCCAGTCCCCCTCTACAAAAAAACCCTGCCCCCCTGTACAAGACCTTTGCACATCTCCTGAACTCCCATTTATAAAAACTCCTGCTCCCCCTCTACAAAGATATGTCCCCCTCTACAAAGACCTCTGTCCCCCCCCTCTACAAGAGACCCCTGTCCCCCTCCCTCCCTCTACAAAAACCCTGTCCCTCCCCTCTACAAAAATCCCTGTCCACCTATATTCCCATTCACAAAAAAACCCTGCTCCCTCTTAAGACCCTTGCACAAAAAAGAAAAAAAAACTGAACTGTTTTTTAAACAAAAAAATTAAACACAAACAATATTAGCAAGCACTTACCCTGCTCTTCCGCCTGCTTGCTGATCCGGACTCCAGGCTCTCCTGCTGTGGTGCCGCCCACGCAGTGTCAGAGCACTTCTGCTCAGAACAGCGTGAGGGCAGTGCATGTGGACAGCGCGTTATTGCGCACCTCCGTAAACCTCCTCCTGCCGCCCCCTACACCACTGAATGGGCTCCCTGCCTCCCTCTCTACCCGGCAGCATGGACGGCAACCGGGCTGCACTGTTAGTGGTCCCGAGCCGCGGGTTGGACACCCATGGGCTAAACGGTTCTCTAATTATTTAACCTCAAAGGTTGCTCTCCAGTGCTAACATAGAAAAATAGAATGTGACAGCAGATAAAAGCCATTCGGACCATCTAGTCTGCCCAATTTTCTAAATACTCTCATTATTACCTGGCCTTATCTTATAGCTAGGATACCCGCTTGCTTTCCCTTTCATCATTGAGTTTCCAGAAGTGCAGAGTTGCCGCCATGCAGGGGCACCACTGATGGCTAGAGCAGACAGATGACGCTCTAAACCGTAGCTCTCCATAGTGGCTCTTCATGCAAAAAAAAGTACATGCTCTGAATTCGTAAAACTGGTCCTTTAAATTTCAAATTCACTCTGAATTCTCAGCAATTCTCACTGTAGTAAAACCCATGGAAGCTGATTATTTGACAAACAATACAGAAAGATCACATCCCTGGAGGACAGAAAGAATTGGGTCAAGCGCACACATATATTGGGACTTTGGATGATCTGAAATACATTCTTATCAGAGGCTTTTTTTAAATTTTATTTATAAATTCCCTTGGTCACAAAACAGGCTGTTTACCAAGCAGAGGCTGTTTACCCAGGGGGCAGCGTTTTTATTTATTTTTTTAAATTGTCCGCTTCTGAGAAACAGCTGCAAAATATTCCCCGAGACCAAATTGCTTTGAGAATAAACAGCTGTTTAGCTGGATCCTTTCATAAAAGTACAAAAGCATGGAGTGAGGGGAGAAGAGGAACCGCTGTGTTAATTTGTCAAAAATCCCAGTTGCATTTGTTAACTCTGTCAGACAAAAAAAAAACCTTAACGCTGCAATGAATTGGGCTAATTTGCTACGAGATCTGTGACCTGGGGGCACAGCAATACCTGTGGCAACCGTCATTCGCTTGTATTGCCCAAACCATACCAATAATTCACCCACCTTCCTCCCAAATCACTTTATACATTCATGGATATAAACCATGTATTATTGATGAAACAGAATGCTACAACGTCCATAGAGGCTATGTATAAAGGCCTATTCTGGGGTACCGCAGATACGATCAAACTCTTTGGGATGTTTCTTCTGATACACTCATTATCTTTTTGACAAAGAATAGCTTTTTATATACATAAACAGTTGACAGACTGACTGCAAAAAAGAGAGTATATATATATATAAATATATAGAACATTTTTACATACTACTATTCACTGTTTCACTGTAAAATGTGGGCTTGAATTTTTTCTACATAGCTACAAGTCGCACCTTTTTTATTTTACCTAAAAGCCGTTATTGGATTCCTTTAATGTACGGACCTGGCCAATAATATTTCATGTTCATTGTCTTTATAGGGGGTTTATATATATTAAAATGACCATGTTCTGTCACTTACAGAGAAAGAAGAAGTGATTTTTATAAGTGATATTTTTTAACTAAAGTTTGCTCTTGATTACGGTGCTTGGAGTCCTCTGGCATTGCCCCGTGGTAAGATTTGATCTGACCAGAGTACTTAAAGTGTTCCCATGTAGTTTTATCTGGCCTTGGACACCATTTCTTTGCTGAGAGTGTTAGCTCTCCTATTCAAATATTTTCAGGAGATTCCCCTTGTGAAAATACTTAAGTAGGTTCCGCACGTGATAATCTCTAATGTGTTTATTCCTTGCTCTACAAGTTGAGTGTCTGTCCAATATCTAGTGTCAGAAGCCGAGGAGAGACTCTTTGGAGGGATTGTTCCCTTTAAGAGTACGTTTAACGAGAGACAATAAATCTGCAATGTTCCTTCTAGATAAATTAGCGACTGTTTATAGTGCCTGGCATTTGCTTATAATAAAACTGTCTGGCTCTGGTGGAGGTATATACAGTAGCTGTGACATCACGCAACGGATGGAGATTAATGGGGATATAAACAGACCGAGTGTACTATTTCAGGTGTCGGCTAATAACATGCTCACTTAAGTAAAGCCAGGCCTGTAACATTACCATTTATCATTCTAATTGTGTCATTAGAATAACGGGGAAATTACCAGACAGAAATGGTACCATCTGGAATGGGAGTCGGCTGGCCTCCATGCTTTTAATTCCTCCAGCCATTCCTTTATCTGCCCAATAAATAACCCAAGGTTTTGTCTCCTGACGACTATGATAATTACGCCCTCGTAGTTATTCTGTTTGTTTGCTTTTTACCAACCTCAAAATTCTCATTTCCGTTTAGAAAGTTCTCCAGCTGTACAAAGGGAAAGATAATGTTTTGGTGGTGAGACATACAATGATAAATTCTTGCACCGATGGGGCCGTTATGAGGACATCACAACTGCAAACCCTACGCTGTCTTGGACAAGTCACTTGGGTCTGCATGCCTAGACAATTAATCACTGGCTAGGCAGCCCCCGTGCCCCAATTCACACACACACTTTCAAATTGTAACCTGCCCTGCTCTAAGCCTTCCAGGTGTTCCAGGAAGTTAAAGGTCTTAAATCTTACTGTCAAAAAAATCAAACTTACTGTCAGCAGGATTCACTTCAAATGTCCTCCATCCCAGAGTCTACTTCCTTCTTATGAGACTCTAGATATTCCTAAATGTATGATGTTTTATAATATCAAGTTACAGAGGAGATATTCAATGATTCCAGTTAGTAGAAAAATAAATAGCTAAACATATATGTTTGAATAGTTCGTTCCTGTTAAAACAGCCACGCCACTGTGCTCCAAACTAAATAATACAGCGACCCGCTATGGTGTTTAGGACAGAATGAAACAGAGTCGTGGGAATTTAATAGACAAGAGGAAAAAAAATGTATAACCTATTTTAAATAAGAGTTTTTTCCTAATTGACTTTACATATTAAAATCTTTGTTCTGGCAGTGCATGATCCGTTCACCAAGAGCCATTCATCAAAAAAGTTGGAGTTAAAATTAAATTCTTGAAACTGTAGAAGGGGTAGCTTACATTGCTCAGAACAATTTAGTGGTAGTTAGTGGGAGTAGGGGAAAATCAAGGTGACGTAAATAGAAATGATATTAAACTATTGTCCATGGTTAGGGAAGATCTTTCCATTTCACTATTAGCCTTTTTAGCAGTTAATGGCTTAAACAGAAGGTATGAAATGAATGAGCTAACAGGCCGTTTCTTTTTATGTCTTTCAGATCGCGAGGACCAATCGATTCTTTGCACGTAAGTTAAGACTTCCTCTTTCACAGAATGTGCATGCGCACTCTAATGTGTAATATCAGTGAGAACGGGAAGTAATCTAACCCAGAATAATTGCACGAGTCTTCTTTTTTTTTTTCTTCATCTTTTCTTCTTTATTTTCGTTTAAATCCGTCAAGTAAGATTTTGCTACAGTGACTGGTTACTATTGCAATTTCCCCATGACCACTGTAGATCATAAACTGGGGCTTGCTTGAGCAACCGTTCTTTAAATTTGTGGATTTCTATCAAGGTTTGTTTACCTGTAGCTTTCTGCCTGCTTGTTAAACATTAACTCTCATCATCTGTAATGTGACAGGAGCTCTAATTAAGATGTGTGGGGGGGGATGTCCAAGAATGTTTTGTGTAGCTGTTAACTCTTCTATAGCTCATTCTCCTACTGCGAGAATGTTCCAGCTCCATTTGGCAAAACAAACACCCCAAAATGTTTTAACTCTTAACTCTGTTTCATAAATAACATTGGGGCACAATTTTCTTGTTATTACTGGAAGCAAACATTCCAATGGGGAGGCGGGGTGCGGGGGGGTGAAGGGGTGGAAGAGGGGTATTTACGACTGGTAACAAGGTGGCTGAATTTTTTTTTACAATGTGGAAAAGTGTTTTTGTAATCTAGGGGTGACATGTCTTAGTCATGACGGTTCAAGATCTGTCATAAGAGAGCTTTGTGAAATGTAGAGAACCCAAGAATGGGCTTGCTGTCTCAGATACGATAGCAAGAGGCAGATGTATACCCAGCGCCAAATTCTTTTCTGCTTGTCCACATTCCAAGGTGCTTAGGTGTCCCTGTTAAACCATCCTGGCTAGCAGTGTAACCCCTTCATTCAGGGACTGGCATCCTGCTTGGGCTCCAGTTACAGTGATTTGCAACCGCTGCTTCAAAGCTCAAATAAATTCCATTTCAACTAATCTTTCAGGAATTTTTCTTTTATTATTTTCATTAAAAGGATTTTTATTTTATGCAAAAGTAGGATTTATTATCTGTTTGTTTTTGGAAAGCAGCCAAATACCTCATCCCTTTCGTCTGCTGTTCTCCTGGTCCAAATATCAATCACTTTGTTTAGCACCAAAAAAAAAGCCAAATTTGACATTTCAAGCACAAGGGCCTGACTATAAAAGGATGGTTTGTCAGCACTGGGCAGAGAAGACTGGTTGACGTGAATCTCGAAACAAGACGCCCAACCCATTATTGAAATGACTATGGCAAATACCATTCATATCCGGATTCCGGATTCCTCGTGCCAACTTCCTGACATTCCACAAGCAACTGCTTAAATATAAATGGGAGGGGTCTCTGAAATTGAATTGCGATTTAAAAATGGAAAATAGAACTGCATACACCATTTTCCAGTTTTTAAAGTCATATTGTATTAAATATAAAAATAATTTTCTGTGCTAAAAGGGGCACAGTCAGTAGGAGCATTCCCTTGATTACCATGGTTATTGCCCTGCATTTAGAACTCTGACCCAGAATTGCTATTTAGACATTTGATCCACAGGAGATGGCCAAAAGGTACTCCTGCTTTTACTACATTCTATTTAGTTGAATTGCACTTTTATGTTCAACACTAACGTTACGCTCAAATAGACAGACAAACAAAAACACACCCATATACAGTATTTCTTCCTGTCTCTACTGTATCTATCACAAACCAGATCAACCTGTCATTGTGCCAGCCTGGCTGCCTGGTTTGATTTAAAAAAACAAAATACGGTAAATAATATCAGCCCAGATCCATCCAACCTTGGACACCTTTGATAGTCTATGAGCAGATAAGCCGAGAACGTCCTCAGTCATTGTGCAAGTGGCAGACATGGTGCTTGGCTATGTACTACTGGGATAGCCCTGTTTTTTCTCAAATGTCTTAAAAAGGCCTAGAGAAAACGGGCATAGTTATAAGCAATACTGTGATTTGTAGTGGTTTTGGTACTTCTGGTGTTACCTTAATTTCTATTTTGCAAAAGAAAGCTGGTCTCCAAGAAGCAAGCCATAAAACACGTCTTTGACTTTGACTCCAGGTTTTATTTTATTTTTTTATTTGGTAACCGTGATGGAGCATCTGCCTTTTATGTGCTGTCCACTTATGTTATGTTCTGTACTTTTACCAAATTAAGACCCACAACCCTGGTAAGTTAACATACATAAGATAAATATCCCTGGATAAACAAATCTCTTGTGTATATTTTTAGGGGTGAATCCGGAGCAGGGAAGACAGAAAATACCAAGAAAGTGATTCAATATTTAGCACACGTTGCGTCCTCCCACAAGGGGAAGAAGGATCACGCCATTCCTGTAAGTTTCCATGGAATTGGGGCGCCCCGGTAGCTGTTATTCTTTATCACCTCCTCCCCAGAAGGCAAACAAATGTCTTGAAGGGAATGTACCCTCCAAGGAAGCGAAGAGCAACAGATCTGCTTCAAAAATCTAAACAGAACCGTTGGCCTTTTATGAATCCTGACCTGGAAAGGCTGATATTCTGGGAAGTTAAAGAAACAGTTTGGAACTTGGTGCCTTGAAAGAGTAGAATAATTCAGACTGTATAATAATAGAGTATTTAACTGGTAAACCTGCTGGACATAGAATCTGTGACCTAGGAGTTTGTGAGCTGACAATCAGTGCATTAACCATCTGATGTAATCTCACTGGCTGAATGATGCAATCCCAAACAGAATAAAATATAAATAAGGAATCTCCCAAGCTGTCAGGAAGTACCACTCCCATGAACTCTGGTCAGACTTTGGTAGGTTGTAGACTGGCTGAGATTCTTGGTAGTTGTAGTTCAGCAGTCAATGGAGCACTGCCGGTGGCATTCCTTATTGAGATCCTTCTCTGTACTTCTAAACCATAATTAATTCTAATATGATATGTCCTAGCACCTCATCCCATGTAGATATATTAACCTACTGTACCCTTAAACGCACTGTAAATGTTTCTATGTTAGGCGTGATAGAAACATGTACCCAGTATGCTTTTTGCCACATTAATGGTATGTGTCGCAGCCAAGAGAGGATTGAGATATTAACTGCATCCTACTAACTTGTGTTTATTTGTTTGCTGCAAACAGACCGAATCTCCTAAGCCCATCAAACATCAGGCAAGTGGATTTCCTAATACTTACAATATACATCTTTCTCTCGCTCTGCTCTGACCTAACTTCTGACTCTCTTCCCCTTTCTCTAGCTCTCCATACCCTCTGTCCTAGTCTGACCAATCGACCCACTCATTCCTAGTCTGACCTATCGTCCCGTTCTCTGTCCTAGTCTGACCTATCGTCCCGTTCTCTGTCCTAGTATGACCTATCATCCCGTTCTCTGTCCTAGTCTGACCTATCGTCCCGTTCTCTGTCCTAGTCTGACCTATTGTCCCGTTCTCTGTCCTAGTCTGACCTATCGTCCCGTTCTCTGTCCTAGTCTGACCTATCGTCCCGTTCTCTGTCCTAGTCTGACCTATCGTCCCGTTCTCTCTCCTAATCTGACCTATCGTCCTGTTCTCTGTCCTGGTCTGACCTATCGTCCCGTTCTCTGTCCTAGTCTAACCTATCGTCCCGTTCTCTGTCCTAGTCTGACCTATCGTCCCGTTCTCTGTCCTAGTATGACCCATGGTCTTACTCTCTGTCCTAGTCTGACCTATGGTCTCACTCTCTGTCCTAGTCTGACCTATGGTCTCACTCTCTGTCCTAGTCTGACCTATCGTTTCACTCTCTGTCCTAGTCTAATCCAACATCTAACCCTACCTCTGTTCTATAACCTCTGACTCTCTTCCCCTACTCTGACTGGTAATATAATTCTCCAGTCATCTATTCACATTCTCAGACTCTCTTCCACCCCACTCTGTCCTCATTTCTATCTTTAAATCTAAGACCTAAGTGACCCTCACAATGTGTACTGATTTATTTTAGAAGTTTAAAAATGTAGCATGTATCCATTGATATTATATTTTGTAGTCTACTAACTCATTTTATTTAAGAAATGTATTTTCTAAAGACTAACTCCAGGCAGTACTAATCCAATTTATGGTATGGCAGCTGATCCTTGGCACTGATTCCAGCTGCTCTTTTCGTAGATTATAACGTATGTTTTAATCGTACTTTATTCCTATATAAGGACCAGACTCATTATTTTTTTATAAAACCTGTCTTCGGGTAGCCCCCTACAGTCTTAAGTTTAAGGATTGCCCACTTATATTCCTGTGACTATTTTACTAAAGCCTGTGGTATGTTTTGGACTTATTTAAGAAGCTGTGCCCTCTTTGTCATCACGCTCATAAAGCAGAACTTTCACTTCCCTGTGACTGTTTCTCAATCCCTCACCCCAGTAAATTTTATTGAAATGCTTATTGGGATGAACAGTGCAGCAGATGTAAGACTAATAAAATAAAATACTTCTGCCCTACGTCCAGGGCGACATAATCACCCCACTAATCTCCGGGCAAGCTCGTAAACACTTGGGCATTTGCTTAAAAAAATATAATTTGCCCTTATGCATTCAGAGCATTATGGAATACATTTCTGTATGGTAGGGGGGTTGCACAAACCCTAGCTAATGGCTTGTTACCTATTTGGATTTAAAAAAAGCTAACCGGTGACTGTTCGGTTTTCAGGTAGGCCAGATAGGATGTTAAATAGAGCTTTACCCTGAGGCCATGGGATGGGAATCCTCTGCCTTTAGTTTAAGTGACAGGCTACGGACACACTGGACGTCTATCTTAGTACCTTCATACCAGGTGTTTCCCAGGCAGCTCAGTGTTGAGATTCTTCTGCTGTGCCGGAGCCTCTGTATATTATTCTAACCCCTTTTGTTGAATTTGGTATAGTGTGCTGCATAAATCATAACCATTAACTTATTTTTTTTTTCCCACTGTCATTTTGTTAAACTACAGAGTGGATCCTTGTTGTATGTGAGTAGCATGTAGCTACCCCCACCCTGCACTCCAACCCTCATTCTGTTTAATTTCTCACTACCCTGCACTCCAACCCCCATTCCATTTAATTTCTCACTACCCTGCACTCCAACCCTCATTCCATTTAATTTCTCACTACCCTGCACTCCAACCCCCATTCCATTTAATTTCTCACTACCCTGCACTCCAACCCTCATTCCGTTTAATTTCTCACTACCCTGCACTCCAACCCTCATTCCGTTTAATTTCTCACTACCCTGCACTCCAACCCTCATTCCGTTTAATTTCTCACTACCCTGCACTCCAACCCTCATTCCGTTTAATTTCTCACTACCCTGCACTCCAACCCTCATTCCATTTAATTTCTCATTACCCTGCACTCCAACCCTCATTCCATTTAATTTCTCACTACCCTGCACTCCAACCCTCATTCCGTTTAATTTCTCACTACCCTGCACTCCAACCCTCATTCCGTTTAATTTCTCACTACCCTGCACTCCAACCCTCATTCCGTTTAATTTCTCACTATCAAAGTTCACAGACCCTCATACCTTATTCCTATCTCCCACCTATCTCCCCCCATTTCTCCGCAGCCCATATTTCCATTTAATGCTTCTGCATGACTCTCCTAGGCCCCTGCCTAATGTTACCCGTGCCTTACCTTTCCTGCTGCGCAGTACCTGTTTGGGAAAGCTTTGGGCGTGGGATTTTAAGTACTAAGTGGTGCTATAGTATAACACCGGCAGACCATTTACATAAAATATATAGTAAAATAGCATTTCTTACGTTTACTATTTAATACTGGCAGCCCTTTTATTTAACTTTAGTCTATATTATTTCACTATATTGAAGAGGCCGTACTGTTTCAACTATTGTTTAATCTAAATAAATGCACACATAGAAGGAAGATCAAAGATAGAATAACAATGTAAGGAACATGACAATGTTTACTTAAAAGGGACACTATGGTCACCAAAACGTCTTTAGCTTAATTAGATGGTTTTGGTGTATAGATCATGCCCTTGAAATCTCACTGCTAACTTTTCTGCAATTTAGAAGTAAAATCAGTTTGTTTATAAAGCCCTAGTCATTCCTCCCTGCATGTGACTTGCACAGCCTTCCTTAACACGTCTTTTTAAACTTTTGTTTTATTGCACAGTCTGTTTAATTATAATGTATTATCTCCTGCTCTTTTATTAGCTTTCTGGACCTTGCAGAAGCCTCCTGTGTGTGATTAAAGTTCAATTTACACATCAGGAGATAACTTACTTTAGATGTTTTTAACATCTGATTCGAAAATCAAAAATGTGTCTGTCACAGCCAGGACAGGTGTGGATAGGGCTGCATAAACTGAAAGTAAAGTGGTTTAACGCCTAAATTATATAAAATTCAGCATTGAAACTACATGGGTTTGATCTATACAACTAGCTCATTAAGCTCATTAAGCTAGTTGTTTGGGTGACTATAGTATCCCTTTAACTCCAGGAAGTCCGTCATTTATAGCAGAGTGGCAACTGTCCTTGTTTCATCCCAATGTGTCCCTGTTCTGGTTAGTGGCCATGATGTGAAGTCTATTATCTTTTAAGATAAGCCATAGTTAAACCTAAGCTTTCTACACATCTATGTACATTGCCCCATTCTGGGGCTTTTAATACACGTACAGATTTATTTTTTGTGTGAAATCTGCATCAGTCCTAATATGTGTCCTAAGGTGTTTTATGCTGTAACCCCATTCAGGAAGCATACGCTGCTCTTTCTCTCTCTCTCTTTTTATTTTGCCCCTCTCCACAGCCCATGCTATGCCAATTATTTACCCATAATCCACAGTGCTCACCTGTATTTTAGGTCAGCACTATTGTTGCACACAAACCAATCCAGCCTGAGGGCAAGTTGGTGTCACGGCACATGGTGTTAAAGAGACAATGTTGGTTCTTCGTAGTTTTTACAGTGATTCCGGTGTTATGGTGCCTCTGTTTAACGCTACCCCGGTTTACTCATTGCCAAGAAGAGAGGGTACAAAGAAAGTCAACAACAAAAACTACTCTTAAATCTTGTCCTTCTTTTTCCACCAAAACAGGACAACGACTTGCTGTCTGGGAATGTGTAGGACATTAGTAGGGGGGCATTGATAGTCCTTTTTTAATTCTAGAAGCTTTATAGCATTTGTTAATCTGTGCTTTGCGTTATAAGCTTTGTGTCCTTTATTTTTATTTTTTTAAGATTTAGAGCATACATTTACAAGATATGGTTATATGAAGTGTTTTTGTCACTATATAACAGAATTATTTTATACAAAATGCATCTCAGTAGTCCTTTAATAAGTGCTTTAAATGGTTCCAGGCATCAGCCAGGTTAATTAAACCCTACCGTATCTAGCCGTTTAAATTGGGTTCCAAAAAACAAGATCTCTCGACCTGTAGCTGTAATTGGAATCCAGAAACTGATTGTATTAATTATAGAACTTTTTAAGCATCAGAGACTTTCTCTGCAAATCGGAGACGCTCCTACACATATTCAAGGGTCAAAGCACGGACTCACTTTAAACATTGAGCAGTATGTTCATTCCTAGGGAGGTAGACATTGGGCCGGGTAGGTACCTCTGCTCTGTCACCATTAAAGGTCTTGTCCTTTTTTGTTCTGTAGGGTGAGTTGGAACGACAGTTGCTCCAGGCCAATCCCATCCTGGAGTCCTTTGGAAACGCCAAGACTGTAAAGAATGACAATTCCTCTCGTTTTGTAAGTAAAACATTATCGTCTTGTGTCTTTATCTTCACTTGTGATGTGCCCGATCTCAGAATGGACAAACCTGACATTGAAGTCTTTTAATCTCAGTAAATTGCATCACCTGTACCATAGAGAATTCAGAATGTAATTTTCGGGTCACTAAGAAAGAGGAAATCCAGGGGACAAAGCTTAAAGGGCACCTGTTATAACTAGAATTGCTTGGTATTGTTTGAGACTAAATTAACATTTGTATATTCGTTACCTGAATTGTAAGCAAATGTATAGATGAAGTTAATCCCACAACTCTTAGCCTATTTCTAAAATAGAAATCTTGACATTGAAAAATACTCTACATTAACCATGACATACAAATAGCAGCTCTGGTCCAAAATTCTAAATATGGAACAGTGTAGTGTGAAACATTCTTTACCGTTTATGTTTTTAGGTTTGCTCCAGAGTTGCTCTTTACACAAAACCATACAAAATTTTAACACCTAAAAAACCAACGAGTATTCCCCGGCCCCCCCCCCCCTCCCCCCCCCCCCACATAGCACTAACAGGTGCTTGTCACCTTTGTTCGACAAATTTAAAACAGGTCCCACCCTCCACTTACTTTCCCCTCTTTCTCTTCTTTCTCTCTCTGTTTGCTAGTCCAGTCCAGGAACAGGACTGGTCGACGTTGTTAGATATCTGACGTAGAAAATAGCTGGCGTACAATACAGGGGGCATCTGCTGATACCCCTGAGTAGCGGCAGATGCTCCACCCTTATGCTGTGGAATGCTTTATGGTTCTGTGAAGTTATCACTGCATACTTAAACGCATGTCTGGTATTCTGGCAATGTCAATCTTATTTCAAAACCCCTTGATGACCGGCCAAATTTTAATTACTTGTGTAGAATATGCATCGTTCAAAGGCATGTTACCTTCCCCTTTTCACTAACGTGGGATATTGTATTGCACTATAACTGACTTTTGCACAAGTCATGTGGCTACTGTTATGTTCGCTGACTCTGTCAAGATGAAAAAATAAAGAATTTAAAAAAAAAATGAGTATAAAGAAAATGCCATACGTTATATATTTATACTTGAGAAAATTTAAGAATAACACTCAAAATAAAGAAAGATGTTTATGGTAACAAGAAATCTAGAAAACCATGCTTGATTTTAAAATATTGTAAGAAGCCCAAGAACAATCAGAGGTTGACAAGTTTCCCGTCTCCTTTGTTTGGTAAAAACCCCATGCATTTCTCTATTGATTAGTTGTGTGAAACATTTTGAAAGGGCTTTATGTATGTGACCATTAAAGCACAATTACATCATTTTATTCAAAGGCAAAACTCTGAATGCAGGGCTCATGTTTTGTGTTAGGAATAGCATGTTTAATTATACATCTCCCTATAGTGCAGGTTATTACTGGAACAAAGCCCTGTGTCAGCATTATCCAGCCATATATAATTCAGCAGCAAGGGCTGAGCGTAGAGCCTGGGAATCTAATTTATCCTTTTAGGTTATAATACAACTTATGAAGTTTTCCCACAAAATGGGATTTTATGTGTTTAAAAAAATCCCTTTAAGGGACACTGTAGGCACCCAGACCACTTGAGCTCATTGAAGTGGTCTGGGTGCAGTGTCCCATCACCCTTAACCCTGAGTATGTAATTATTGCAGTGTTTATAAACTGCAATAATTACATACTAGGGTGAACTCCTCCTCTAGTGGCTGTCTACCAGACAGCCACTAGACGGACTTCCGGGTGGATAGGCGACTTTTGTTCGCCTAAATGACGTTGGACATAAAGCGTCACCAGAATCCCCATAGGAAAGCAGTGAATAATGCTTTCCTGTGTGGAAATCCTAATGCTAGCATGGCCATTGCCACGCATGCGCATTAGGTCTTCTCCGCAGGCTGACGTCGGCAGGAGAGGAGTGTGGGCGGAGCCGAGCCAGCGCCGAGGGACATGGGCGCTGGACCCAGGTAAGTGACAGAAGGGGTTATTAGAGTAATGGTAATAAGTGGATCACTTGACAGAGGGCGAAGCTAAAGTTTCCCTTTAATTTCTTGTCGATGCAGCCTTGAATTAGATAATCCTGCTCTATCATAACAGGCTGCAATTCTCCTTCACCTAAAGCATTGCTCTGCACACCAGATTTTTAGGACAACCATGTGATCCATTTATTACCATTACTCTATTGGAGCAAAATAGAGTAATCCCTAAAACATTACTTATTATTCTCCAAGAGCCTTGATAAACCCCATTTTATAGGGTCAGAGGGGTCTGATATGTATAACTGTCCATTGCTCGTTGCTTTTGATGGGCATTTGACATATGTAAAATAGGCCTGTCTTTAGACAACCTTAGAGAACTGCATGTCCAAGAAATGCATCGGGTTTAAATAGACGTATACCCGTACCGGGTTGTTCATTGAAGTACGCATGCAAAGTGAGTTCAAGGTGAATTTCTAACTTAAGGCCAACTGGAAAAATTCCATCTTTGCTTTATTTCAGCTACTCCGACCTCTGAAATGCACTTTGAATTCTCATGTTAGTGAATTGCCCTTATGGTCTCTTAAATACACTGCTGAATTGATCAATTATTTACACCACTGAAAAATTATCAATGTCTGGTGGTGCACATTACAGGTCCTCTGGCTTCCAGCCCCATTTTCCGTTTTTATTTCCTCTGAGACGGGCTCTCTGGGGTGGGGAATCAGTCTAGAAATATTTTTCCTGATTTGATCCAGTGATGGTGAGTTGACCTCCATCTTGCATTAGAAAGAAAAAGGACAAGTTTCCGCATTATGGCCACAAACTGGCTGTGCTTGTAGACCTTGATCCTGATATAGAAGACACCTCCTCCCCCCAAAAATTATTTTGAATGTTGAAGTAGCAAAGTCTGACTTGAATGTTTTAAAATGTTCACACACTCAGCTTTAGAGACGTGAATAAACAAAAATAAGCTGTGCTAATTTGAACAGAGTGGAACAGAGTCCCCCCCGGCTATGCTTGATCCGGAACAGCAGGGTTAGGTGGTGTTTGTAAGCATTGGGCTTCTCACTAAGTGTTGGCTATTAATACGCTATTGTGGTTGTCTGGCTCCTCACAGGTAATCCCCCCTCACATGCTATGCCTGTCTCACTTGTCCTCACAGCACCTGATTAGCTAAATGTGTTGCAAAATGCTGGCCAGATATAGGATCTGTGGTTACGTTGCGTGTTTGTTATGAGATCAGCTTCAAGCTATGAACACAGGGTGAGATTGGTGCCCCCTAGCGGCAGACCAAGTGTAGCATTCCTGGAATTGCTAAATTAGAATTGGCCATTATTAGTATTGTGTTATTCTGTACTTTAACAAACCGTGTAATTCTGAATTCCTAAAACGGGTATCTTGAAATGAAGGTGGTCTAATATTGTTATAATATGCAGGGATTTGTTCCGTTTGGCCCCTACAGTAGTCTAGTGATGGTGTAGTATAGCATTTGCAGGCAATAATGTGGGTGATGTATATTGTGGTCTAGTGCTTTTCTGTACAGCCATTGGTAACTGGTATGAATTTTACAGTGGTACCTCACCTGCTCTGTGAATGACTGGGTGACTTTGCTACCCTGGTAGTAAATGGGAACACATGTCACCCTGGGAGTTTGGAACGTGCCTCCCCAATCCGGAGAATGAATGAAGGGTGCCCCATATGCCCTGGGAATGAATGGAGATTCAATTTTTGCCCCGGGAATGAGTGGACAATCACACAGGCAAACATGTTGTTTCAGTGTTTAGTTTAATTGCTTGCTACGTTTGACTGTGTTTTGAAACTGTCTCTTTAATTTTTCTGTTTCAGGGCAAATTCATCCGAATCAACTTTGACGTGACTGGTTACATTGTGGGGGCCAATATAGAGACCTGTATCCTTGCGTAATCCTCTGGCCACAGTCCCATCATACACCCTGTCCACCACCTCTAACGTGGCCTCTGAGCCCCGTGGAATTCAGGAAATAGCAGTGGGGAGCAGAGGCAGATTTCAGGCATTGGATAAACTCTGATTTCCTGTTCTCTTAACTTTGTTTAAACACACAGCTGCCAAATTGGGCTGGCCTTCCAGATCTGTGGAATCTGTACAAAAGATACCTATTTTATTGGAGGCCCCTCTGGCACGAATAAGGGTGATTTAGTCAGAATCCATTTATCAGCCCACTGATATGACTCATTGTGAAACTTCCCAGTCTTATTTTATAATTTCTCATATTTTTAGATGTGCTTGCCTTGCAAGAATTTTGAGGTTAGTAATTGCTGTGCTCCAATGCTCAAAGGCAATATTTGTATTCTCTTATTTCCAGATCATATGCATGACTGTGTGTCTTTAGTTACCCAACGCGTTTCTTTGTTGTTGCTTGTTCCTGTGTAAAGTTCCAGTATGGTCAGAGTTCAGTTTCATTTTGAATTTTACATTTGATTACAGGTAAAAAGGTATAGGTGGGTGTAGGATCAACTGGAACTATACAAAAAACCATTATTAAAAAATACATAAGATACACAATGGGAAACTGGATTGGAAGAACATTTTAAAGTGGAACTATCATCTGAAAAATTACATCAGTTTGAAAGAACAGTAAATTCATAACAATTATTTTCTTGTAAGAACAACGTAGTAGCTTATCCAGAATTAACACGTGAAGATCTGTTGTTTTGTTGTTTTTTTAGCATAGACACAGTTATCTTTGAATTTCATCTCACTTTTCAAACCATCAATATCATTTACTTATGGGGGAAATATTTTTAAAAAAAATCAAGGCTGCAAAAAGCATGTGATATTAAAGAGCACCCCCCTTGCCTTTGGGCCTTTGGTTCTTTAAACTAACTATACCCAATCTATACCCAATATTAGATGCAAATTTTTATTTTTTATAAAACCAAATCATTTTAGAAATAATCACCCCAAGTTATAGGCAACTTTTAAAATGGTAAAATACTGTATGATGGTAGATAGACTTTTTTCTCTAATGACAAAACCACATCTCTATGAGAATTCATAAATAATTCCGGGCTGATAATTCATACTAACTGAGAAAGTTATTGAGAAATTGGTTTTATTAATACTAGAAATTAAATATCCTTTTTAATAAATACGTTCAGAGCTAAATATTGAACTTCTGTCTTGCGTGTAAAGATGAATGTTATCTGCTGCTTCACATTGCTGCACAGCCTGTGAAAGATCCTTAACCACAATTTGCAGATCTGTTGGAAAAGTCTCGAGCGATAAGACAAGCCAAGGATGAAAGGACCTTTCATATCTTTTACCAGCTGCTGGCTGGTTCAGGGGAACACCTAAAATGTGAGTATTCAGACTACCCCCTAAGCAAGTATCCGAGAACCATTCTGTGCACACTTTTCTGTTGCTGATGAGAACCTAGACATCCTTCTGTCTATAAAATAAACTCTTTCATTTTTCTTGGGGTAACTATTACAGAGAAACCAGGTTCCTCCCAGTGCTTCTCTTTTAACTCAGAAATTTGCCTTAATGTTATTGTCATTGCCTGTCCTTCTCTAGCCTGATATTAGAGAGGTTATAGAATAGTCATAAGACATGCATTTATTCATAGTGTGTCTCAAACGGAGCTGTGATTTGTGTAACTAATCACAGTAAAGCAGGAACTGTAATATTATATAATCCAGTCACTTATGAGACAGCCTTCAAAATTGCACAGTTCAAGTGCTGATTGATACCCTTACAAATGGCAGGTCAGCAAAGAGCATTCAAGGATATGCTGTTGTCAAGCGGAGAATCTGACATTAAGACCGGAATTGCTGGGGGAGGGACCTGTTACTCTGCTTCAGTTCCCTAATGAACCGTGAAAAAGATTAATTGAATAAAAAATATTGGAGTTTCTTTGAAATCTTGTGTTTCTGTAGATGTTTGCAATTTAAGTGATTGCAGAGGAGGACTCCAGTAAGGTGGCATCGTTTATCTCGTTAACAGATAATACGACCGTTAGATTTAATCAGCTTCCTTGTAAAATGGAGTGTAAGGAAGATTATGGTAATTTAAACTCCCATTTATACATTTCCTAATAAAATAATCGGACTTCCTGTTCAAGTATCCAGTGCATCCAGTCTGTATTCTGAAGCCTCACATGTTGTACTAGTGGTCCAACACATTCAGGAACTGAGAATGTAAAGAATAACTAGGGCCTAACACTTTTGTTGCCTACTAAAGGTGTAAAAGGCAGCAAATCTATGTGTCAGACAGAACATTCCAATGTACCCTGTAAATCTTCTTAATAATCCATCTACAACTGTTTTCATATGACCTTAATCACTCATTAAACAGCATTTTGTTTTTTTTTATATCTGTTTATACAAAATGGGATGATCTCATGATTGTGTCTGTGCCAGGCGCAGAGCAAGGCAGAGAACTGGGTGAGTTTGCATTACCCTGTCCGATTCTCCCTGCATGACTCGCTCACAAATCAGTGGTGCTCCCTTCCCCTTCCCCCATGCTTTGCCTGGCAGAGCCATTTACGGTGGCAGCCATCGGGGCAAAGAATGGGTTGTTTCGTCATTGTATGTATCGTTGGTCTCCCACATCTTAATTCCCGCGAAAGTTGTGTCCCTCATCGTATTATTCTCACCAGCATTAAAGGAATACTGGTCTTAAAGAATTTAGTGTTTTTTTGCTTTCTTCCTCCTCAGCCAGTAGGTGTGTATGTGCTGCTAAAGCCTTTCTGCGTTGTCACTTTGGGAAATATTTAACACAGCACATAAAACCAGATTAAGGGGTCAATTATTGCTCGATGAGCAGGAGATACCCATGTCATGGTGTTTTACTCCCGTGTATGTACAAGAGTATAGTAGCGATCTGTTTCCGGGCAAATGAAGCCACCAAAAGCTCAAAACCTAAATATGGTAACACTTAGCCAAAGCGTGAGAGTTTTAGGTAAGTAGATCTACTGTTCTCTCTCTCCATCCAGGCACTACCTTGTATAGAATGAGAATGTTTTGGGGTGCAGGGACCTCAAAAGTGCCATTGCCACTTTAAAGGAGCACTCTAAGCCCAACTATAACCACCGTAGCTCATTGTATTTCCAAGAGATCTACCTGTTTGGTATCTGCAAGGAGTGTTATCGAGTATTACATACGATATGAGTGGAGGTAAATGTTATGAGTTTATCAGCTCCCACAAATGTTAGAATTAATAACATAGAATGTGAGCTGACTGCAAGTTAACAGCTTGGCCCATCATGGTCTGCACACTGTACTCATTAAGGCTTGGTAAAATGCCTAGCTAGACACCTGTAAGAAGTGACAGAAAGGACTAGTATTAGACTGGACAGTAAGGCAGGATTAAACATTTTATCCAACACATAAGCTAATTCACAGTGATTAAAGTCAGATGATTGGAATGGGGGTTACATTATCAGAGTTGGGATGTGATGATGAAAGTTTCAGGCAATGTGGTTCGGGGTTCTACAGGACATGTCTGAATAAGTGGATACAGTGATTGTTGTGAGAAGTAAATTGTGGCTATTTCACACACCAAACAATTTGTAGATTGTTTTTTTTAATTATTATTCTTTGCAGGTAAGAGTCCTCAGCTTAGACTGATGTTGCTGAAGGGGGAGGAAAGACATAAAACACTAATACATTTTGACATCAGTAGCCCTTGTAAGGATCCCCAATGTAGTATATTATAATCAGTCCTGTATGTTCCCATGAAAGTGAGCATCCAGCAGCTATATACAGAGCGTCTGTTAAAGATTAACCGCTGCTAGGGTTTTACGTGCCAAACAATGTCACAAGTGTTTGTCATCGCCATCTGTCTTGACCTTGTTGTACATATTAATTATATTAACTTATCCTAAACCTAAGGTTTTCACAGCAGATATATTTCCGTTGTGACTCACCCGACCCGGAATCTGTTTGATCACCCCCTTGCAACATGTGGATGGCCACATTGTCACCTGACCTGTGATGGGCAAGCGGAGAGCTTCGTGCCCTCAGACAGAGGGAGGAAGTCATTTTGTATTAATGCCTGTTTTTGTTTTGTTTTCTCTTTCCACAGCTGATTTGCTGCTTGAAGGATTTAGCAACTACAAGTTTGTCTCCAATGGGTATATCCCCATCCCAGGGCAGCAGGACAAGGAGAACTTCCAAGAGACCATGGAGGCCATGCATATCATGGGCTTCTCGCATGAAGAGATCTTGTGTGAGTAACAACCGGGCACGGCTCTCTCTGGGGGATAACAAGGAGTACAAACTTTAAAACTTGGATCCAAACACCATTGAGTTCTCATAGCAGTATGTTTACTAAAGAAACAAAACTCCAGTTCTAGAGAAAACAGAGGTGGTTAGATAGATCTGGAAGTCATTGATTGTAGAGCAAACATAAGCTAACGGAACATTTAATGTCTGGGTTATCACATAATGTACATGAGAAATGCAAAATAATCTCGGAAACTATAGATACCTCCCCCATTTTTTAGCCCCATTAATTAAAGTGATGGTCATATGCCACAAACTCATGTCTGGGTATAGAGTAAGGAATTTAACACTTGGCAATATTTTCATACGTGAATGAACCTACTACACATGCATATAATACGTTTTTTGATGGATGAACATAGTGACACCAGCACAGACGTCCTCATAGTAATCTAGTAGTCTTTCACAGGAAGTGGGGAATTTGTAAAGAATGTAGGGAAGTGTAGATTTCCCCAGAAAGGCGATTGTGTATAGTTCCAGTGTTTTTTTGCAGATCTGATAAGGCACAGACTAGTGGTAAGGCCAGTAGTAGCTCATTTGACCATAACCAATGCAAGGAGCATATTATCCCAGTTACTGGTCCACAGTGCAGACTCATCATACAGTAGGGCATCCATGATTTTACTCTAATGTTGCCCAGTTTTTCATGCTTGTCCCACAGAACGTACAACTCTAATAGGACGTGTTCCGGAGAGCTTGCTCATGACCTGATCTAATGTACAGATGTAGTTCTAGAACCTGGCCTTAGTGGTCGATTCTTTTATATGAGATGAGCCTATGTCTGGTATTTTAATATTAATTTTCCCACATGCACAAAAATGACCAAATTTACATTGGGGTCTCGCAACAGACTCTAGGCCTCAGAATATTGTGGTAGTATGTTTCCTCTCACATGTCTCATCCTGTGGACCTCAAAAGAACTGCGCATGCATAACCATGGATACTAGGCAGATATCACATGGGCCATCTTATCAATACTCTCCCACCTTTCATATTTTCAATCAAAGGGATCTAAAAACAGGAGCAAGTTCTCTAGGATTAAATTAAGATCTATACATAGTGTTCTGCCAGAGCCTAGATGAGTGCTACCAAGTACATGTTGGGTCTTGCATCATCTCCTATGTGCACCCAACATCCAAGTGGACTTTGAGCTACATTACCATATAATTTGTTTCTAGGGCAAAGTATAATAAAAAAAATTGCAGTGAGGTTGTCCATAACACTAATGGTTCCATTTTCATTCTTACAGCCATGCTTAAAGTGGTGTCTTCCGTCCTGCAATTTGGCAACGTTATTTTCAAGAAAGAGAGAAACACAGATCAGGCTTCTATGCCAGAGAACACAGGTGCGTCCCATATCACATGATTCCTAACGGCATCAAATGACAGATCATGACCTCTATTGTTTGGTTCTGTGAAATTCAGCTCGTTAGAAGAGGATGAACTACATGTCCCACGATTCTTCATCAACTTTTGTTTGGAAGACCATTATGGGATATGTTTTATGTTCATTGCGGGCACAGTGTGCAGGCTATGTGCACTGACTGTCACTCTAAGTGCACTTCTCTCTGCAGTGGATACCAACTAATCCCGCAGAATGAGGAGTAGTACAGCTTATTTACACATTCTCCTTAAATCAAGATCAGGCGAGTCTGCATTATTGTTCCTCTGTCCTTAAGTCCATTAGGACACTCATTAGCCCCACAGTACATACCATTCCGTATCCACAAGAGCAGCCCACGTGTAGATTTCTCGCTGCAGATGATTTGCATCTAATCAAGCTCTGGGAGTGTGGAGGGCAGAGTACATAGCATGTTCTAAAAGTGTTTATTTTCATTGGGTTCGGACTAGGGGGAACAGGGCTGGAGCCAACATTCGGCAGCCAAATGTGCACAATCCCAAGGGAAATGTCTGAGCCAGGAAGAGAATGTTGCACTTTCTAACCTATTGTTTGCTTCTAAGCAGGCACGGTTCTCAGACTAACCCTTTCTCTACCAGAGGCGTAGGCTGGGAGGAATCTCTCTAAATGATGGCTTGTAAGCTTCTCAGCCAGCGGTCCTTTTTCTGTTACCTGAAGACAGAGCAAAGAAACCTGTTCCAGGTTTAGTATGATGAACAGGTTTTCAGCAATCTGCAGCTTGGGTACACCGAGGCATTCATTGGTCTGTGCCAAGAGTAGCATCAGGCAGCACAAATTAAAGTTTAGGCTTTGATGGAAGGAACAAATTTAAACACAGACCCTGGAGACTGTACTGAAACGATGGATCTCCTGCCATAAATCTTTATGCTAACAATAATTATACGCACAGGATGGAAATGCATCCTTCGACTGTACTCGTTTGGCATCGCTACATCTGTCTTTTTTTGTCCTTAGTTCTAGTATGTACAGGTTTTTTGGGTTCTCTGCAGAAAAAAAGTCAGTAATTTAATATTGGTTACCTCAGTCCTGCGCTATGCGCATTTTCCCCAGAGACCGACATTGCCAAACATATCACAAAATTAGAAGAGCGTTCAGCCATGGCTTACATTCCTTCTTTCTCTTTTTTTTTTTTTTTTCTTAAATTTTTTTTTATTTCAAATACCAGAACAAGCTGCTTGTCTCTGGAGGGGGTGAGCACTGCAGCGATGGAGCTTATTAAAAAGGCACGATCTCAGTATATTTCATTCAATGGGTACAAAGGCAGTTTTACCTGTTTGAAGCAATCATGTGTAAAAGGACAAATATCGGAGAGGCCAGTGTTAACCCTTAGTTTACTGGTGTGGACTGTGAAACCTTATAAGGCTGATCTTTTAGGCAGAATGCAGGCGATGCTGGCTGTTCTCAGATATTAACAGGCATTAAAATAAAGTAACAGAACTGGGAAATGACTTACACAATGGAGGATCATGTTAACACAAAGAAGCCTGTTTACTAAACCATGAATTGGCAAGGAGATTGCACATTTTTGGAACAGAGTTGAGAAGTTGGAAAAATAGCTCAAATAGAGAACTTTTCCACTTGTTCAAAGTTCCTTGTTTAATGAAAAACCCTGCAGTGTTATGTCCTGAGGATATTTATGTTCGTGCATACATGTGCCAAAAGAAAATGATTGGACCACTGATTAATTAACCTATGGTAAAGCAATTACAGCATGAAGTTCTGGTTTGCTTTGTGGCTGCAAATGATAACCTATGATAAGTGTCTGTTCCTGTAGAGTATTTAGCAGAATACTGAATAGCTGGGCCTCTGTCATTGGGTATCAGGCTTCATACAATTGGAGTTATAGTCACTGTCTCACATGATATTCTTATCTCAGCCGCACAGAAACTCTGCCACCTGCTGGGCCTCAACGTCATGGAGTTTACCCGAGCCATCCTCACCCCACGCATCAAAGTGGGCAGGGACTATGTACAAAAGGCACAGACAAAAGAACAGGTGAGCACAGACCCCACTAGGGGCAGTCACACCACAAGATGTTTTGCATTCGTATTAGTATGGTTTTCTTTGGGAATACATCCTTGCTGATGGCCTCCTTGCATCGGCAGGAGCTGAGATGGCTTCCAAAACATGCTGTTTGGCAGTGCTCCATGTAAACTGTATATGGAATAAGTTTAGTATAAATATCGTGTCACCACATTCCATTCAATTATTTAAATCCCAAACAGACAATAATCTCCTTACAAGTGGCAGGAGTGTCAAAGTTTCCTCTGCTTCATTCAAACACACACTTCCACTCCCAGTGTCCAATGGGTTAATCCACTAAACAGTGAGTTTTGCAAGGCTGTTGCCAACTGACCATAATTCTCTGTTTGTTAGTGACTATTTTTTAAACAAACCTACCTCTGACCATAACTCTTGGTGATGACATTAAATCTGGGCTGCGGACTAATGTCACTGGGTGATCTGCAAATATTTGTTTAGGGATTGGGTGCGCCTTCCCATCAGTCTGATATTAATGTAGTTGTACATGTGTTTTCTAGGCAGATTTTGCAGTGGAAGCCCTGGCAAAAGCCACGTACGAGAGACTGTTCCGCTGGCTGGTCCATCGGATAAATAAGGCCTTGGACCGCACAAAACGTCAAGGAGCGTCCTTTATTGGCATCCTGGATATTGCCGGATTTGAAATCTTTGAGGTTTGTTCTTCAGCCCAGTTTTGGGTACTTGCATTGTTATTGGCGTCAAGAATATTTCTGCAGCTGACATCACGTGTGACATTCATATTTCCCATGATACTTAATATACAGAGCCTGGCACGGCTCTGCAATCTGTGAGTTGTACTTAATATACAGAGCCTGGCACGGCTCTGCAATCTGTGAGTTGTACTTAATATACAGAGCCTGGCACGGCTCTGCAATCTGTGAGTTGTACTTAATATACAGAGCCTGGCACGGCTCTGCAATCTGTGAGTTGTTACTTATTCCTTTTTAATTGTTTATATAAACAGTATACACTATGTTCTGTATTATTTTTTTGCAGACATTGTGAAGATTTTTCTATTTATATACATAAGTATACTTGTATTGTATTACTATATCCAGTCTGAAGGGTTCACCTCTACTTGGTGTGATTGTTTTCACTTTGTTGTAGGTGTTGTTTTGGTCTATATTTCCCATGATGCTCTATTAGCCATATCGTTGGCAGAATATCACGGCAGAGATTGTCTATCTCTGCCTTTAGTGCTATAACACTCTCGATGAAAGACTCATTTACTTACCAGGTTTTTTTTAGTAAACCAATCACAATATGGATAAAAAAGAAAATATATACTAAGTTGTTAACTATCTACGTACCAGTTGAAAGACTAATCAGATGACATGATGCAGGTGATCAAAAATATATGGAGTACGATGGTCCGCCCTCACGGTGTCTTTATAAACTACATTCAACGTGATATGTGTGCATGATGAGATAAGATGTGAAGAAAAGTGTCAATTGACGCTTTCTAAAGGGACACAACAGATAGTGTCTAATGCAGAAATATTCTATGGTTCTGAGTTTTCCCTCTGAAACCACCAAGCCTCACCCCCTTTTCTTAAAACATATTTTACTTCTTAGTGACCTGCCAAAGACCACAGATCTTACCACCAATTTTTATTTCATTTTATTTTTGGCATATTTACAGAGTTCTGCCTCAACTGACGATTTAGAATGAGCTGGTGGTTAAGTAATGGGTTGCATCTGGGAAAGAGGACTCACTCTGCATTTTAGTTGTTTTGATGGGGCTGCTTGGAACTAACCCTTGGCAGAGAAGAACAGGAAGTCAGTCTGTTAAAGGACACTTCTGGCTGGAGCTGACCCTTTCTTTTTTCAAATACATTTTTATAAACTATAATGTAAAAATAATCATGGGCGGCAGCGATGACTGTAGTATGCAAAAGCCCAAAGAAAATTACCTGAGTATTATTCCAAATCCCTACGCACAAAATAACAACAAGAGAGGTTTATAGTACCACTAAAATGGCTCTTAAAGAGTAAGCTCATCTGCCGCGTCAAGGCAAACATCTTAGTTGAGTCCTACACTAACAATTCAATTTAGGATGATGAACGCTATAGCCATTGTTGCCCCCCCCCAAAAAACTAAAGATTAATATAAAAAGACCAGCATAACTAACTTAATGTCTATGTTGCACCTGACGTGGCTTTCTGGAGGTGCCCTTTAAATGATTTTTTGTTGTTTCCTGTAACATTGCTTTCTAAGTGTTAAAGGCTCATCTGTCCTGTCTGTATAGCTGAATTCATTCGAGCAACTCTGCATCAACTACACAAACGAGAAGCTCCAACAGCTCTTCAATCACACCATGTTCATCCTGGAGCAGGAGGAGTACCAACGCGAGGGAATTGAGTGGAACTTCATAGACTTCGGCTTAGATCTGCAGCCCTGTATTGATCTCATTGAGAGGCCGGTAAGTAAAACAGGCAAAGTTCTACTGTGAGTATGTCAATTTCAATGTTACTTTTATTGGTGAAGGGAACCTACTTAGTGTGAGATTATAATTACCTGGGAAGATCAGTTATTAACAGTTTGGCTGCTGGGTGTAACAGTGAGGTTATTCAACTGAATATCACGTTTAATTTCAATATAACCAAAACGTAAAAAAGAAATCTCCAAATCAGCCGTCTTTCAAGGATATTTTGTTATTCGCATTAAACTTCCATCAGTTCACAATTTGGTGAATTAGCCTCTCTGTATTTCCTACTTGCTCTTCTCCGTCTCTTGTGAGAGGTGAGGAGGGATGTTATAGGACACATTCTAAACACAAACAACTTGCAAAGAAAATAGTCATACGATGCAATTGGAATCTGATGCTATATTGCTCAGATTGTGCTTGAAGTTAAACAGGATTGGAAGTGTAAGTTGTATTAATGGTTGACATTCTACTGCCTCCTGCTGGTGAAATTTAGATATTTCTAGTCTATTTATGCTTTCTCCGTCATTAAACCCCTACACGATGAATGCAGTGCTGGGACCATCATAAAAATAAATTAAAATCTTTCCCTACATGTTGATATTTACCAAAAAATAGTTAAACCCCTGATATTTTAGACTGTCAGCCTTCATCCTCTCTCTGCCAACACTTCCTAAAGGGGCTCTGTGTGTGGCCCTGGCAGGGTTAGCATGCAGCAACTGAAACTGTTGGACCTTTTGAAAGAGAGACTATGTTTAGAGCAGGAACCATCTCGACTGACCACATTACTGGTGGAATAAACCAGCATGTGCGACCTTCTCATAATCCAGGATTTGTATTCATCTTGATTGGGACATTTCTGGGTCTTTCTCTGTTTTACAGCACACTTATAACTTCTTTGTCACTATTCCGCAGTTATTGATGAACCCTTCAAACCTAATTTGCTTGATAATTGTCTTAAGGCTTGGCTGGGGTCTAGGGAAAGCAGGTTGTACAAGGTGCAGGGCAACAATTGAGGAAATGGATTTGGGGTAGCTGCATTCTGATTGGAGGCTCTATTTTGAAACCAACTAGTCTTCAATCTATGGTCACACATTGGATCCATAGCCACCCCCATTTGTTACTAATGGCTGGCTCACAGAACTAATGTATATATAGAATAATATTTCTTAACTTATACATAGATTAAGATAATTTCTTAACGTGATTTACATAAACTGTTACAAGTTAAGGTGAAGCAATGCCCTGTAATTTAGCTCAGATCCGCACTGTTTCCTTAGGAGAAGTAGTTCATAATAGTCATTATTTATATAGCGCCAACATAGTCCACAGCGCATTACAGTAATAATTACATTGTTTGGCCCAAGGACACTTACTGGTAAGGTGGGTTTCTCAGTTCTAAAGCAGTGATATTACCACTGCTCTAGCCAGGTGAAACCACAGTAGTGATAAAACCAAAGATATTACTTGCAGGATCCTCACTTTTGTTATGCTGTTGCCCTGGATGCTGAAGTTTGGTCTTCTGATAACATCTGGACCAATGTTTGACCTGTGTGATTTGTCTTTATCCATGTCTCAGGCCAATCCTCCCGGAGTGCTGGCTCTGCTTGACGAGGAGTGCTGGTTTCCCAAGGCAACAGACAAATCCTTTGTGGATAAGCTGGTCCAGGAGCAAGGCACCCATTCCAAGTTTCAGAAACCCAGGCAGCTGAAGGACAAGGCTGATTTCTGCATTATCCACTATGCCGGCAGGGTGAGAACATTGTAATAAATGTAATACAGGAAGGTGCTGTGGTTTGTTTATTGGTCCAGACACGTTAGAGCACCAATTTAAATTGCCAGTGACTCTCGTGCAGGTGGATTACAAAGCGGATGAGTGGCTCATGAAGAACATGGATCCGCTAAATGACAATGTTGCAACCCTACTTCACCAGTCATCAGACAAGTTTGTTGCCGAGCTGTGGAAAGATGGTAAGAAAACCCTGAACTTGTCTTTCTCGTACAGTGATTGTAATTTCCCATGATCCAGCTTGGTAAGCCATATGCTGAGGAGCCCTTATGTTTAAGGAGCTCTTCAACACCATAACCACTACAACTGGAAGTAAAGGTTATGGTGTTCAAAGTGTCCCGGCGCCCACCTATGCAATGCTGAGCTGAGCTAATTCGCTAAGATCGATCAGCTGATGCCTTACAATGGTGTTGAGCGCCAGGGCACTCCTGGCACAATAACCACTTCAGTGAGCATTCCTTTACGTAAGTATATTTCTCACACAGTTTTGTGAATAGGGAGCTAGTTGTAGGCCGAAAGTGTCAGCTGACACTCTTGGCCTATTGGTAGCACCAAGTCCGACGCTTCCTCATTGAAATATCATCCATCGTCGGAAACCAGGGGGCAGAATGGAGGGGCACAGTCTTTTTGGGATTAAACTGTTTGTAAATGGTTTAACCCCTTAAGGTAAAACCAGGACCTCCTGACACCATAGCAGATTCAGTGAGATATAGTTGCTATGGTGCCCGGAGTGTTCTTTCAAGTGAATAATTCTGATTTGGGTGCATAAACCAGAGATCACTGTGCTGGAGTAACTCCCATAATAACAGAACTGGTTAGCTCAGTTATGGGGTGTCAAACACCTACTCACTCTGTGCAACAAATAGATTCGGACAGTGCTTAGTTCAACGAGACCCTTTGCAGACGCCATATTCTTGCCTAGTTTTTACTAACCTTTGTTTCTCTTGTTCTGTCCCTTCACCCACTCCCTTTTGGATACCTCTGATCCTAGACATACAGACTGTTCAGCGAGCCTCATTTTATGATCATATATGCGGAGGTGAATTGATAGTGAGCTTGTAGATTTAGTATCGCATCTGAAAGTAGAGCTTGCTTGACGCCAGGCTTTGGAGAGCATGCAAATTGACATATATAGAGTGCGTAGCTAAATCCCTATCAAAGATATAGATTGCAGCTGATAGATGTTCTAATGGTGGAGTGCTTATACGGTACTACGTTTGTGGCATTTGACTTGCATGTGCCGTTCCGTGTATTCCCACAATGGTCAGTGTGTGCGTTACGGTGCAAGGAGCCTTCAGATGCACACATAGTAGGATGTATATTTCATGGTGACTATGTAAGCACAGTTTGTAGATTTTTTCTTATACCTCTACATTTTAGCATTCTTAGCAAATTGCTTTTCAGACAGAATCTGATGGCTGAAGAACACTAGATATCTCAGGAGCTTGCACGCTAGTTTTGTTTCTGTCATTAATTTAACACTTAAAGTCAAATCTTTAAAAGTCTAAGTGAATGACCGGTTTTACGAGTTGGAAATGATAGCGGCCAGCTGGTAATGCCTTTGTAAAATTGATTTAGCCCCTGTGATATTACAGATTTTGTCCCCTCTACTTTTTATTCCTTCAATTTTCTGCCTTCGTTTTTGGCATTGAGGGTGGGTTTCAGGGCGCCCTGTGTGTTTCACCTGGTGGCCAGCTCTGCGGATTATTGCACTCTTTCTTTCCGTTACAGCTAAATGTCTGCATCATAAGTTTGTGTATTTAAATATTGTTAAATCTGGGGGAACCAATTCCCTTCCATTAACATATAAGAAAAATGTACCTTTATTTAATTCAGACTGGAAATCTTTATTTAGCAAGTCCTACTACTAGATGTGTCCACAGTGCCTTTGATCTATATATATAGAATGGGTGGTACCAGCATACAATTATTTATATAGTGGCAACATATTCATAGGTAAAATGAGACAATTTTGTTCTAACAATACATGTATGACGTACGGTAACAGTAGGTGAAGAAGGACCAAACAAGCTTGCAATCACTGAGTCTTTCATGCCCTTATTGTGATAGTTGAGACATAGGCAGTCAAGAGTCTTTTTTGGCAATAAATCCCCTACATAGTATGTTGTATGTGCTAGAAGGTTCTGTGGTTCTAATGAATGTGTGTCCCTCTCTGCAGTGGATCGCATTGTGGGTCTGGACCAGGTGGCAGGAATGGCTGAAACCGCCTTTGGCTCTGCGTACAAGACCAAGAAGGGCATGTTTCGCACGGTGGGGCAGCTTTACAAAGAGTCCCTGACCAAGCTAATGGCGACTCTGCGCAACACCAACCCTAACTTTGTGCGCTGTATCATCCCGAACCATGAAAAACGGGTACGTAAAGGGGGGTAGAGTGATGATATGAGCTTAAAGCTATAGCAACTTAGTAAGAGAGGTTTTTTGATTGATGGTGGAGGATGCAGGTGTCTAAAAGAAGAGGGTATATATCGAGTCAAAGGAAACCTGAAACCTAGATGAGAGTAGAATAAAGCTAACTTTCCTTCAAAAGATCATTTGTGGTAGAATTAGCTTGAAATAATTGTAACCATCTATTCTGTTTTGGCTCTAAAACCTCACTGTACACTACGTCCCCGAAGTATGTTTAGAACTACATCCTAGTTTTTGGAACTTTGTTGATACATTGTTCTAGATGTGTAACGAATGTTCCTCACAGGCCGGCAAACTGGATCCTCACTTGGTGCTGGATCAGCTGAGATGTAACGGTGTCTTGGAGGGTATTCGAATCTGCCGTCAGGGATTCCCTAACCGGATTATCTTTCAGGAGTTCCGCCAGAGGTAATTTTATGCAGTTCTGATTTGTTGCTAATTAAAGAGGGAGAAATATTTCAACACATGGACTAAACTATATAAGTATTTAAGTATGAATATCCCCATGGCTATTCTCCACGATTAACAGTTTCATACATAATGCTGTTTGTGCTATTCAAGTCAAGCCAAATTTGTGGCTGTTCCTACTGCAAGGATGTGCAACATTTCTGTATTAGGCTGTTTATATTTATGGTGAAATGCATTTCTATCTAGCTATGTTATGTTCTATCCTTGCTACAGGTATGAGATTCTCACCCCTAACGCCATTCCAAAGGGATTTATGGACGGAAAGCAAGCGTGTGAGCGAATGGTACGGTAAAGTGGATATTAAACTCTCACTGTAATCGTATGTACCATTAATTTGACTTACAAGAACCCACTTTTTACCCACAGATTAGAGCTCTGGAGTTGGACCCCAATTTATTCCGTATTGGCCAGAGCAAGATTTTCTTCCGCGCTGGCGTCCTGGCACACCTGGAAGAGGAGAGAGACCTGAAGATCACAGACATCATCATTTTCTTCCAGGCCATTTGCAGGGGTTACCTGGCCAGAAAGTAAGTCTCTTCCAATCTTACCCATCTTTGCAATTCTGACCGGAAACCAGCAAATTCTAGAACCAAGGACATGTATGTTCTGCTGTATTGATATAAAAGGGTTGTTGCTACATGGAAAGTAATTAAAGTAAAGACAAGTGAGGAGGAAGGAGAGGAGGAGGTTCCTGGGATACACTTGGCTCTCAGCAGGTTCTGAGATCGGGAATTGAGTTTGGGCTTGGGAAGATTATTTGGGTCACCTGGTTGTTAGTTTGTCTATGCATTAAGGTACGGGTGCTTGTGATTTCATTATCTGCCCTCCAGGAGGTGTCATTATTTACTTGCCACTCCTTTTATTCCAAGGGCTTTTGCAAAGAAACAGCAGCAGCTGAGTGCCCTGAAGGTTCTCCAAAGGAACTGTGCTGCCTACCTGAAATTAAGGCATTGGCAATGGTGGCGACTTTTCACCAAGGTGAGTCCTGCATGTTGTTCATCTCGGTAGATCACATCTATAAATAATGAATAGAATGTAACCCCTCGTACTATTTACAGCATGCATTGCACACCCTTCCTCTTAATCTGTTTTTGTATATTATTTGAAATATATCGTCTCTGCTAGATTACAAGGGTTTATCGACAAATGACCAGATTCAGAAAGATTTCACTTAAACCACCCATTACTATCGTAGCCAGGGGCTGATTAGGTGTACTTTTGAATCAGATGTCTGTTTTGTAGGTGAAACCTCTTCTACAAGTTACTCGACAAGAAGAGGAACTTCTAGCGAAGGATGAAGAACTGCTGAAGGTGAAGGAGAAACAGTCCAAAGTGGAAGGAGAACTCGTGGAGATGGAGAGAAAGCACCAGCAGGTGAGAGCAGGCAAACAAGCCGACGGGTATAGCCAATAACTTTAGCCGGGGATTAATAGTCTTTCCCAGAGCCTCAGTAGGCACTTGGTGCATTTTGCTTTATATATCCCGTACTAGGAAAATCAGAGCAGTCTCAGGAAGCACAGTGACCAAGTTGTACTAAAACCATGCAGCTGTTTGAAATGTAGACAAAAGATGTAACGCCTTGAGTTGAGTAACGCCCATATACTCTGCTGCTAACATACTAAAGGCTACAAAGTATTTGATGAAAAATATCTGTTTCTTGTGTATTTCTTTCCTCTGCAAATGGACTCAAAATGTTTAGCACAGAATGATCAGTGATCCAGTGTAGGCATGGAATAATGGCGCTCGGTTAAAGAACATTTATTGAGTTTTCAGCTCCGAGTTTGGGCATACTTTCCCTCTCCATGTCTTAGAGGAAACAGGGAGCATGAGGTGTTAAGGAATCCACATAAAGAATGACTGGTTAAACTGTAAGGGTAATCTGAGAAGGTCTGGTAAACTATTTTAGTTCCTGTTAACAGCTGATGGCATTTTAACAATTAATAGTTAAATGTCATCCACTGGTAAATGCCTTCTCCCTTTTATCCCCCAGTTGACTTACAAATTCATGGGGATCTAGTATTTGGATTTTGGGGAGTTTTCTGTTCCCAATATTGGCTTTTAAACATTTTTTGGTAACTGTCCCTCAGTTGGTGGAAGAGAAAAATATTCTCGCTGAGCAGCTACAAGCGGAGACAGAGCTGTTTGCAGAGGCTGAGGAAATGAGGGCCCGTCTAGCAGTCAAGAAGCAGGAGCTGGAAGAAATCCTGAGAGATCTGGAGATACGTATGGAGGAGGAAGAGGAGAGGAACCAAGTCTTACAGAATGAGAAGAAAAAGATGCAGACACACATACAGGTGACTAAGGCCACTTCCCAGCCGCTTCCTTAATGTCCCAGGCTCTAAAACAATAGTTGCTTAGTCCTGAACACAGCCATACATGCTGTACAGAAAACAGGTGCTTATGGTGGGATGGTGGGAGGCCCTCAAAGTGTAAAGAATGGCTGTGATGTAACTTTCGAAGAGGTGTTCTCCTGCTTACATTACTTGGTTCCAGTATTTGGTGTTTCTGATTCAATTTAGGATTTAGAAGAACAGCTAGATGAGGAGGAGGCAGCACGACAGAAGCTGCAGTTGGAGAAAGTAACAGCAGAAGCCAAAATTAAAAAGATGGAAGAGGATATTCTTCTCCTGGAGGACCAGAACTCAAAGTTCATCAAGGTGGGAGGCAGAGCCATGTCGAGACCATGTATAGTGCAAATGCACTTTTTTTTGCGTCTTCGTTGCTTGATTGTTCATGGATTTAGAAGATCTGCTTTGTGAGTATTTACTTTGTATTTATTTTAATAGGAGAAGAAACTGATGGATGAACGGATTGCAGAGTGCACTTCGCAGCTGGCAGAGGAGGAAGAGAAAGCAAAGAACCTGGCCAAGCTAAAGAACAAGCAGGAAATGATGATCAGCGATTTGGAAGGTATGTTCCAGATAGGTGTCCATGTTAATAACTACCAGTCAGTGTGCCTTAAGATAAGGAGTTACCATAGCAACCACAGCTTATTTCCTGTGTGTGCTATGTGTGAAAAGGACCGCCTGTGGGAGTTTTTTTTTCTACTCTGCTATATCAGTCAATTCTTTGGCATAGAGTCTATGCCGAATAATTAACTGACCGGTAGGATAAAGAGCTATTTTTTTTTTTTTTTCATATCTATACCTTTGCTAGCAAATCTGCTAGCACAAAATATAGATGAAATTTGATGCTCTTTAAAAAACAGAGTATACTTTGTAGGTACCTTTTAATCTCATCTCATAAGTCTCCCTGGATAAATGCTGAGGATGTTTTAGGAAACACAGGACACCTTCCTTCACTTACATTGTCATTTTAACATTATTCTAATTGCTTGTGATTTGCATGTCTGTTCTTCCACTTTGTTATATCACTCCTCTGACACACTACGCGTTCTTTCCATCATCTGTAGAAAGGCTAAAGAAAGAGGAGAAGACACGTCAAGAGCTGGAAAAAGCCAAGAGGAAGCTCGATGGAGAGACCACTGACCTCCAGGACCAAATAGCTGAGCTGCAGGCTCAGATCGAGGAACTTAAGTTGCAACTAGCCAAAAAAGAAGAGGAACTGCAGGCTGCACTGGCCAGGTGAGTTGTGAGCCAGGTTTTGCGGAGACACTAGCCAAGTAAATGACTAGATTAAGAAACCATTAGCTGGTCTAGCACAACAGATTGCTCTGGCTGGATTTCTGACTAACTTTGTATTCTCCTGTAGAGGTGATGAGGAGGTGGTACAGAAGAATAATGTTTTGAAGCTGGTGAGGGAGCTGCAGGCACAGATTGCTGAGCTTCAGGAAGACCTGGAGTCTGAGAAAGCTTCACGCAACAAAGCAGAGAAGCAGAAGAGGGACCTTAGCGAGGAGCTAGAGGCGCTGAAAACTGAACTGGAGGACACTTTAGACACCACTGCGGCACAGCAGGAACTGAGGTATATCAAAAGTTTTTACTTAATTTAACTGTTTTGAGAATGGAGATTTGCACACATCATTGAGTGTCAATATATGTATGAATGTAGGGTTTATTTGTGTTTATGGTTAGTGAAAGCAGGTTGGTTGTGTAGAGTATTATGGTGTATGATGGTTAGTGTGTGAGAATAGTTATTGTATGGTGCAATTGAGGCAATTTTACGGACATGCAGCTGTATGTTTATTTATTCATGGTAAGTAACGGTGAAGCAGAGAAAAATATAGATGCCTGTTTGTACATCTGGTGGGGTTTCTACATGTGTGGAATCTACATTGTTACTAAGCTTTGTCAATCCTTTTTAGGACCAAGAGGGAACAGGAAGTGGCCGAACTGAAGAAGAACATTGAAGAAGAGACCAAGAACCATGAGGCACAAATCCAGGAAATGAGACAGCGGCAGGCCACAGCCCTGGAGGAGATCTCAGAGCAACTGGAGCAAGCCAAAAGGGTAAGGAGGGTACCAGGAAAATGGGTAATAGGACATGGGGTAACCGCTTGGTATTAGGAGGGCTTTGGATGAGAGCAACTTAAGAAAGTGAGGAGAACCCTCGAGGAGTTCTGAAAGCGTTGGAGAATGATAGGGCAAGAATGAGAACGCTTGAGGAAGAGTGTGGACCACTCTGTGAGCAGTTGGAACAAGCCGGAAGGACCATGGGGGCAATGAGTGAGTGCAGGATGCACAAACCGCTTTGGCTGAGCATGGTTGCATTTTTACCAGATTAGCCTGTATCTATTTGTTGGCTTCCTAACTTTTTAAACCTTGTATCTCTTCAGCTGAAAGTGAATTTGGAGAAGAACAAGCAGAGCTTGGAATCCGATAATAAGGAGCTCTCTGGAGAGGTGAAAACCTTGCAGCAACAGAAGGCAGAGTCTGAGTACAAGAGGAAGAAACTGGAGGGACAGGTGCAGGAGCTGCATGCCAAATCGTCCGAGGGAGACCGACAGCGAGCAGAGCTGGGGGAGAAGATCAGTAAGCTTCAGGTACTCGTCCTCTTGACACACAATGTACAGCTTGCACCAAAAACATACACTATACATATAGAAGGTTCAGCTAACCTATAACATGCATAAAATGCCATCTGACGGATTGACTGGAGCTGGTAAAGAACTAGATCTCTCATGGTTCTTTGCTCGTCTATAGAGAAAGCATGATCTGAGTTGTAACTTTACATTCTTCCTTTTAACATAACATTACTACTGCTTGTAAATCTGCCATCGGCTTGAATAACAAGCGAGGTATACAGAGTGTTTGTTTCCCTTTGTCTGACTATACTCTGCATATTCTAGAATGAACTTGAGAATGTCTCCTGTCTCCTTGAAGAAGCTGAGAAAAAAGGGATCAAACTGGCCAAAGATGCTTCCGGCTTGGAGTCCCAGCTGCAGGACACTCAGGTGAGTGCAGGTCTATGTTCAATTAATGGTCTTTCTAATGGCCACCATTTATTCCTGTATGTAGCTTTAAAGGAGAAGTTAAAAACTGTTGCCCCTTAGAAAGCTGCGCCACTCTGGCTCCCAATAATGGATTGGTTAATTGTTAAAAATTCAAACCTTATACTAACAGCACGTTTTATAGAGGATTGACAGTAACCATGGTAACCGCTATCAAAAGTACATTTAATGTAGCTAGTAGTCTCTTTGGTTTTGCTATTTGCACAGCATCCAGACAGAAACTGTGTGTGCATTCATTGTAGTGTTGCTGATGTGTTTTTTCCCCTCAATATACTCGAATAGAAAAAAGGCCTAATATTATTTTTGCCACCTAAGATCTATAAAAAGGCACTTCCCAGTTCAAAGCCAAATGACCTGTTTACGTTAATAAGACTGGGAAATTGTATTCCAAATAGACTTACCTTAACCCAATCCATGCAGTTTATATTAAAGGAACCCTCCGGCAGGGAATTTAGCCCCCAAAACAACGTCATCTCAATGTAATAGTACATACGTTTACTTGCATTGAGCAGCCAGTGATGGGTATAGATCCTAAGCTGTAGCTCTCAGCCATTCCTCTTCTGTATGGTGCCCGAGCAGAGTAGAGGGGTGGCAGTGCTAATAGGTCCCCAGGCACCCACCTTCGGAGTTTAATAGGGAGCACCCTTGGACTCCAGTATAAAGAAACAACTTCATTGAGATGGCATTTCTCCGAGGGTGCCTTTAGGACCCAAGAGTACTCACGAATGTCATGTAAACATTTTGACAAAGGACAGATTTTGAAATGTGAAAACAAGAGAACTACATTGCCATTTTTCAGGTTTTCTTTAAACTGTAGTTCTAACGCTGGTAAATAAACAAACTAGCAGTGCACTAGATCTCGGTACCAGTAAAGTGTTTATTCAGGTGTAATATGAATAAACCAAAAAGGTTGAATGATTATTTTTCTTCCTCCCCCATTATAGCCTAAATGTGATTTTTTTTTTTTTTCTGTTGATGATAGTTCACTCTGTAGTCAGTAACCCCCCTTGACCAGAGGTGTATTTGCTTTCAAGCACCTTTCTGGTTTTACCCAAAGGATAAATGCAATACGATTAAAATCCACCGCTGAGTTGCAAACTATTGTCGAAATAGGGCTGTGTAGCAGACTGTGGGTTCGTTACATAGGGTGTGTTAAACAGTCCATGGGAGCACCTGCTTTTGTCCGTCAGTGTAATGCTATCTTCATCCACTACAGGAGCTGCTCCAGGAGGAGACTCGGCAGAAGCTGAACATGAGCAGTCGCATTCGCCAACTAGAGGAAGAGAAAAATAATCTGCAAGAGCAGCAGGAGGAAGAGGAGGAGGCCAGGAAAAGCTTGGAGAAGCAGATCCTCACGTTGCAGGCACAGGTCAGGAGCAGTTATTTTACCTGTGTACAAGTTAACCCTCAACTGACAGCAGCCTCTGTCGGAGAGAGACTTTCAGGGAGAGACACTGTACTAATGGCAGGTCCTTGTCACTAGTAGCTGAGAACCAGTTTGTAAGAATCACATGTGTTCTGTGGTGTAGACAGACCTCCTGTACTGTTGTTACTTACGTAGCTTATTGACTGTTCCTCTATCCTTGTCTAGCTTGCGGATGCTAAGAAAAGGGTAGAGGATGATGTGGGAATGATAGAAAACCTGGAAGAAGTAAAAAAGAAGTTGCTGAAAGATATGGAGGGATTGGGTCAGCGACTGGAGGAGAAAGGACTGGCCTTTGAGAAGATGGAGAAGACGAAAAACCGATTGCAGCAAGAGCTAGATGACTTGATAGTGGATCTAGATCACCAGCGACAGATCGTGTCTAACCTGGAGAAGAAGCAGAAAAAGTTTGATCAGGTAATTCCATCAGTCTTTCCAATATGTGTAACAAATGCTGTTTTCTGGTAGACTTTGATAATGGATTCATAGTAATTATCTTTTTTTTCTTTTTCCCCAGCTATTGGCTGAAGAGAAGAATATCTCTGCCCGATATGCTGATGAGCGTGATCGTGCTGAGGCCGATGCCCGAGAAAAGGAGACCAAAGCCCTGTCATTGGCTCGGGCACTAGAGGAAGCCCTGGAGTCCAGAGATGAGTTTGAGAGACTGAACAAACAACTCAGGGCAGAGATGGAGGACCTAATGAGCTCCAAGGATGACGTAGGAAAAAATGTAAGTATTGTAAGAAACCACCCTGAACATGAACATGTCTCCTTCTAGAAGTTTTGGTCTGTTAAAGTGATTTCAGGTGTCACCCCAAATGACAAGGTTCATGTTCTTTATAGACCCACTCTCACTCTGACTTCATAGGTAGTATTCCGTTTTCTTGGATAGATTTTTTTTTTCAGTTACATGAGTTGCGTTTTGTTGCGTCTTTTCTTCTTGTAGGTGCATGAGCTGGAAAAGTCAAAGCGGGCGTTGGAGCAGCAGGTTGAGGAGATGAGGACACAGCTGGAGGAACTGGAGGATGAGTTACAGGGCACAGAGGATGCCAAGCTACGATTGGAAGTGAACATGCAAGCAATGAAGGCACAGTTTGATCGTGACTTGCAGTCACGTGATGAACAGAATGAAGAAAAGAAACGAATGCTGGTGAAACAGGTGAATCTTTTTATTTTCCATTTTGTCTTTTAGATGGGAACCTCTGTCCACTTTTTTTTTAACCACAAGTCATGTTACCTAATGTCTTATTTGATGGTGGGTTGGGGTCCTGCTTGGTGTAAAATATCATTTTGGCCCTTCATTTTCCTTGACGTTTTGTACTCTGTGACACCTTGAAATGGTACAGGTCCTTTCCCCTTCTATAACAGCAAATAGATTCCACAGATCCCATGGAGAATAAACCACCATAACCACCATTAACATTGTGTGTCAACCTCCTCTTTGTATGTTAAAAGGTGCGCGAACTGGAGGCTGAACTTGAGGATGAACGAAAGCAAAGGGCACTTGCTGTTGCTTCCAAGAAGAAATTGGAGATGGATTTGAAAGATCTGGAGTCACAGATAGAGGCTGCAAATAAGGGACGGGAGGATGCAATCAAACAGCTTCGTAAATTGCAGGTAAATAAAGTAGCACGTTCAGAAAATATACTCAAGACTGCTTGATTTATTAAGGACTTTCTCTTTAACTGTGTCCGGTGAAACTTCTTTTGTACTCTGAGAGTTGAGTGCTGTATGTTAAGGTTTAATTTTTCAGTGTGTTAGACCTTGTATCTAGGATGTTAGCTTACATTTTATTCATGTTAATGCCACCTAATTAAGTGGAGCTTATATATCTTGTTGCCGACTGCTATGGCTCTCATTTCCAAGGCCAAAGAAATAATAGCCTCACTTGGTCTTCTCTATGAACAGGCCCAAATGAAGGATTACCAACGGGAGCTTGAGGATGCCCGGGCATCACGAGATGATATCTTTGCACAGTCCAAAGAGAATGAGAAGAAGCTGAAGAGTTTGGAAGCAGAAATTCTCCAGCTGCAAGAGGTATGCGTGAGCCCACATGTTAAACCTGTAGAGAGAAGTTAGTTGACGTCTACAGGCAGGAAACCAACTATTGGGTGAGTGGTAACCTACAGGGATAGTGACCCGGAATGTGGTGAGTGGCATGCTACAGGTTGATTGAGACCCATTTATTGGGTGAGAGAAGTCTTACAAGGAGGGACTCACTGATTGATTAAGCAGGTTATTCCAGGGTTCATAGATCAGAGTGATAAAATGCAACCCCATCATTTCACTACAACAAAGTAATCTTGTGGACCACAATGACATAATCTATTTGCAGATAAACCTTATTAAACCATGTAATACGTGAAAACAATGTATGAAGAACATGTAGTGAAGCAGAAAGACCTTTCTAGGCTCCAGCTCAGATTCTGGCACTTCGAGTTCTAACTTGTATTTTTTTTTTTACATATATATTCCATGATTGGTTATGTGTCACGAAGAAAGCACACTGGTGGTTACACACGTCTGTTTTCTTCACAAAAAATTAAAAAGGATTTCTTTTTCCTGCTTTATGTGTGATATAGTTCTTTGCTTCGGGTTACTACTCCAAAGTTATATCATTTATGGTTCTAACACCACAAGGTTTTAACTTGAACATTACCTGACCATTAAATTGAGCAGATTGTAGAACTTTATGCAGGGTTTCACATTACTTGAGTGTGTGCTTATTATCCAATTGGAACCAGACCATAGTGTCTGTCACAGGGCAGAGTGATACAACCACATTTTCATGATGTGCGTGTAACCAAAACTTGTCTTTCTACCCCAAAGGAACTGGCAGCTTCTGAACGTGGTCGTCGTCACGCGGAGCAGGAGAGAGACGAGCTTGCAGATGAGATCTCGAATAGTACGTCAGGAAAGTGAGTTTGAAAACTTGACCCATGTTACTTGGTTAATTTCGTGTTGGCCTTTTTGTGTCAAGGGTTGCTGTAGTGTCATGTCGCCAGCTGGAGGCATGGAAGGAGGTGGCAGAGAATGGTTTTAGGTATTGTGGATTGGCTGATGGTGTGTGTTATAGCCTTTAATTACCGGGTCTTGAATTTGATTGCCAGATCTGCTCTCCTGGATGAGAAAAGACGCCTGGAAGCTAGAATTGCCCAGCTTGAAGAGGAACTTGAGGAAGAGCAAAGCAATATGGAACTTCTCAATGACCGGTTCCGTAAAACCACCCTGCAGGTAAGTTGGCCACAGAGCTACCATCTACCCAAGGTGTGCTTTGGAATCTGCTGTGGGTAGAAAGAAAAATACTGTCATTGGTGTTGCACCAGGTTTGCCCATGTCTTTGATTGGTTTCTAGAATATATTTAGTGCAAATTTGTAGATCATGATTTCATGTTATAAGTCATGTTCGTTCCGCTGCACGTTTGGCAGTTACAGATTTGGAATCAATAAAAGAGTTGCTTTTGTAACATTCAGGGCAATTAGCTGCTGTTTCAGGCAGTTGGTACATACATAAACTACAAAGCACTGGGAAATAAGTTGGAGCTGTATAAATACCAAAAACTTATAATAATAATGGGACGCTTGTAGAAATGTTAAGTCTGCTGGACAGGGATTCGTCAAAGCATGCAAACAAACCTAACATTAATTAGTGGTTTGGTTACAAAAAGGGTTTTGACACTATACGGAGTTTTTCCTCAATGAAATCTAGAAGTGGTTAATAACTCAGAGTTAAAAAAATACCCATACCCAAGCACAGTCAAGGAATACACATATAGGGTCCCAGTAGAGACACCTGATGTCACTGGTGCCATTGAGCAGTTCTACAGAGTTAGGACATTACAATTTCTAGCTGACCTAATATTCCTCTTCTTGACACACCAGGTGGACACATTGAATTCAGAGCTGGCTGGAGAGAGGAGCTCTGCCCAAAAGAGTGAAAATGCACGACAACAACTGGAGAGGCAGAACAAAGAGCTAAAGGCCAAACTACAGGAACTCGAAGGCTCCGTCAAGTCAAAGTTTAAAGCAACCATTGCCACGCTGGAGTCCAAGATTGGTCAGCTGGAGGAGCAGCTGGAGCAGGAGGCAAAGTGCGCAATCTAGGGGATTAGGGGTTAAGGGTTTCATGAGCTTAACTAGCATGCCATGGCAATCCAGAACTGGAGACTGACATGGAAAACTATGGTTTTATAGACTGCATGTGAGGATTAGTACAATACAATGCATAAAAGGAAACTTTACAAGTTTGGCAAAACGCTCCCCCATGGGAACTCTGTGCCTTTAAAAAGTCTATTAATCTTTTCCGAATACCATAATTATTTACCATGTGTACACACTATGCACCTTTTAATTAGACTCTTCGCATTTAAGAAGAGTCAGTCGCTATAGTGCACTGTAAATTGCCAATGGTTCGACATATATCCTTCTCCATTCTCAGGGAACGAGCAGCTTCTAACAAGTTAGTTCGCCGGACAGAGAAGAAGCTGAAGGAGGTTTTCATGCAGGTGGAGGATGAGCGCAGACACGCTGACCAGTACAAGGAGCAGGTAAAATACCCGACTTTAATTTATGTTCCAATCTGTGTGAATAAAATGTATTCTGCCAGCTCTGTATATAAACACGTTGTACACGCTGTCTTCTCCACAGATGGAGAAAGCCAACACTCGAATGAAACAGCTGAAGAGGCAGCTGGAGGAAGCAGAAGAGGAGGCAACTCGCGCCAATGCCTCCCGGCGCAAGCTGCAACGAGAGCTTGATGACTCTTCAGAAGCCAATGAGGTTTTGGTCCGGGAAGTGTCCACTCTCAAGAATCGTCTGAGGTAAGTGGTAAATGGTGTGTGTGATCAGTCAATTCCTAACTTCCATCAGGTACAAAGATGGTTCAAATTTATTAAAGTGACACAATGTTTCGACTTTGTGGATATATAAATGGAATAAATGTGTTAGGTTAAAATTTCCATACTAGTTTGATGATCCAAGACTAAATTCGGCTAAATTAACGGCTAGTTGCAAGTCTATGAAAAGCTGTAGATTGGTCAATCACATAGATGGCCACTTATTCATAGTTGGTCCACAATACTTTTGTATGAGAAAAACGTGATTGGACTCTGCCCAACACGAACAAGTAAATAAGTCTGTGCTGGACGAAAAATGGGACAGATCAACATTAGTGCCAATTTTTCAACTAAGGTAAGGTTTTTAACACTCACCTCAGAAATTCTTGCAATTAAGTTTTCAATTCAATACAATGCAATGTTTAGTGAATAAAACATACATACGTGCACACACTCAACAGATGCCATAGCGTGTGTGCCATCTGCCTCACCTTTTTTTTTTTCTTCTTTCCAACAGGAGGGGAGGACCAATTTCCTTCTCTTCCAGCTCCAGTCGCTCCGGCCGCCGACAGCTTCAGATAGAGGGCACTTCCTTGGATCTCTCTGATGACGAGCTGGAGACTAAACCACCTGAGGTCAACGAGACTCCTGCACCTGCTCCTGCTCCTGTCCCTACCCCGGCTGAATGATCTCCCACCTACAGCATTCCTCTGCCCCCATGCAGAGGGACCAGGAACCAGGGGCAGATAACTGCACACCGAAGCACGTCCGCACAGATATCCTGGGTGTCCGGAGGGGAGCCTCTCCTCGCAGGCTAAAGTGCTTTAAAGTGGTTTTTTTTTTTTTTAATTTTTTTTTAACGCTAAGATACAAATCTTTTGAACCACGTTCCTGCTGAAACTACATTTAATTTCTGCAGGGATGCGGTTTGCAGCCCTAGTCCCTCCTTCACCCCCATATTCTCGAACAACATCAGAGGGGTTCAATATTCTTTTACTTGCATCTGTTTTACATCAATCTTAAGACTTTTATTTTTTCTTCTTTGCTTTATTTTTTTAGCATCATGTGGAAAAATAGAAACAAAATTCTTTGTCCCCGTCTCCTGTGGGCAATGGACTGAGACTGTAGGGGGGGGGAGGGTGTTATATACTCCTCCCCTTGCATGTTATAGTTGGTACAAACCTCACCTATTTTGCATTGGGAGCAGCTGTGCGCCCCTTGTCCCAGCTCTAATCTATGGTAATTCTAGATCTGCAACGCTAAACTGTGAATCACACCTGTGGGGTTTTTGCTCACCCATGTCCTCCCTAAGGAAGGAGCTAGGACAGGGACCCAGGGGCACAGAGACTGTATATCGAGGAGCTGCCCGCTATAACTTTCCTGAAAGCTGGCGGTGAGAGGGTTAAAATTAGTCAGCCGCCAAGTTAACTAGGGGAGTAGCACGATCCTTAAAATTATGAAAATCAAACTGTTCCTATTCCATAACCGGAAGGGGAAAGAATCCGTATACATTTAAGACAAAAATGGTGCCTTAGACACTTAGAAAATTGAGAATATTAAAAAATATTGACATATCTCTACACCCCCCTGCAGATTTTAATGTGATTTCATTGTGCTTTATATCATGTATAAAAAATCTGAACATCCATCAGTCAGTATTATCCTGAACACATGCTCATGTGCTGGAAACAATAGTTATTTTTTGTTGTTGTTTTTTTTTTAATTATAATTATTATTATTGTTTTTTTTTAATTTCTTCAAACCTTTTCTGCGCTAGATGGATGTGCTTGAGCGCCACTCCTCTGGCACTGCAAGGGTTAAATAGTTTATAAAAAGTTATCTTCTCTCTGTGCATACTTGTCTATGTTCATTATTATTATTATATATATTATTATTTTATTTTTGTTTGAAGCATAAGAGCTGCTGTCTCCCTATTGGCCGAAATTGCCTCCCCACCACCACTACCAGAACCTCTCATTCATGTCCTCCCCCCCCATATATCTCATATTTCTAGACAATGATTTTTGTAAGACAATAAACTTATTCATTATAGAATCCTGCAGGGTTGGATCATCTTATTGGATGCAAATATCTGCCAGTTGCCGTGGTATGAGAAGGGTTAAAGTAGACCTGTCAACTAAACTATTCTTTTAATAAATGTGGCTGCCTATGAATTTGAATTAAAATGGAATAAAACATTGATGGGAGCATGTGACATAATCAGCCAATCACAACATCAGATTCAATTAGATGCACTGTCATAATTCTACGTTCGCTATAAATCCTTTATTCAATGTAATTAAATAAAAACTAGCTAATTTTAAAGACATCAGCACAAGAGAGCAGTCTTTATAATGCTGGATGGCCACTTTGTAGGGAATCTACGGGAGAGAAGTGACCGCCTATCCCTTGAATGCAAAATATATATACTCCTATTAGACTTTCCAAACGAATCACTGTTTGTGTCTGCCTGCAGATAAAGGCCTCCAAACAGGAGCCTCTCATTCAGGTCTATAGGGTCAATCCAATAACCCACTGTGGTGCAGGAGTTTACGGGACCAGTCATTCATACCCCAGGAGCACCCCCAAACTGCTCTGAAAATTGACAGCAGCCGTATCGCAGCTACTAATACATTGCCCAGTTCACTGTTGAATTGGACTATGTTCAGTTCTTGGCAGAACCATGCCACAGGTCAAGTTGTGTTATTCTGGACTTATTTACAGCATTGAGAGGCCTAGACGTCCTGTGACTTGTTTAAATTGGAGTATTAGAGCTGAGGGTCAACACAGGGTATTGTAATGCAAAGTTGTGATGGTGCTTAGAGTGACACTTTTAATTTATGATAATTTTGTACACAGTAACCTCAAATTCTCAAGAAATGAAGGCGGGGGGCTGTATTTTTTACATCATGTTGTATCTGGAAGTTACGGTTGATGCAGTTATCACAGAGGTTTATTCATTGAATACGGAAGTTGAACTGAAAACAAAATTGCATCATTTAGGCTCCAGCTAATCTAGATAAAAAATTCCCACTTGGCTGTAGTCAAAGATTTGTAACTTTTTTTTTTTTTGTCTAAATTTTGCAATTCAGTTTCCAAGTCATCACCTTTCCCTGTTTACTAAATAAAGCCCACAGTGTATACTTTGCAGGGTTCCAAAGATCTGAACAATTTTATTTAAGAACATAAGCGATTGTAACCAGAACCACATAATGGGATTGCTCCATCTGATTTATACCTTCCCATAATGTGCTATAACAAGCAGAGAATGATTACCCACCTTGGCTGCTGTGAGGGTAGAGGATGGAGAGAACGTGGCTCCCGGAACGAAAGGTACCAAACTCAATAGGAGCACTCCATAAATTAATTCTTAGCATAATTTTATAAAAGCAAAATTAGCGAGAAATAGACAGGAGATTGCAGATTTATAGGCCAGAAAAGAAATCCTTTGACGAAGTTCAAAAAGTTAAAATATTCAAGAACACTTAAATATCTTTCTTGGCAGCTTACACCACCCTAGCAGTCTATATAATTAATGGGAGGTGCTGGGTTAGAGGTAGAAACGCAGAAAATATATTACGGCCTATATATCCTAGTTCAGGCATAGGCAACCTTCGGCACTCCAGATGTTTTGGACTACACCTCCCATGATGCTTTGCCAGCATTATGGGGGATGTAGTCCACAACATCTGGAGTGCTGAAGGTTGCCTGTCCCTGTCCTAGTTCATGAATGTAAGAATTGTAATCCCAATACCTGGCCACTAGGTGGCTCTAGTGATTCACTCTTATGAAAAAGGGAATATGGCTGCTGGATCAATGTGCAAGTATCAACATTCCGTTATCTGATCACTACTAAGAGCCCATGCATGTATTAAGCATTATCGCATTTAACTGTAATGTGAATAGCAATCAAGGAATGTGTATGTACGATTCCTGTGTTAGTGGGGTCTGGTTAAAATGATTTTATAATCTTACAAACCATCATTTAGAAACGTGTTTAACACAAAAGGTTGGTTTAGTGAATTGTATTGAATGGAGCAAAGTTAATGATTTTCCCCCTAATTTAATTATCATAGACCAAAAGGTTAATCCATTAAAAGTATGGCTTCATTTAGGAAGCTTTAATATGTAATGACGGTGGCCTTTCAGATGTTTTGGATCCCTCGAGTAGAGACGATGAACCTCACTGTATTGATTTTAATTCCGACAGGTAGTAAGATTATTGAAGACTAACACATCCCAGAGTGCTGTACAATGTTTGCACGAGACATACCAGTAGTTTGACGTAAACGAGATGGCAAGATTTCTACTCAAACAAGCTTATATGGACAAATATTAAAGGGACACTATAGTCACCTGAACAACTTTAGCTTAATGAAGCAGTTTTGGTGTATAGAACATGCCCCTGCAGCCTCACTGCTCAATCCTCTGCCATTTAGGAGTTAAATCCCTTTGTTTATGAACCCTAGTCACACCTCCCTGCATGTGACTTGCACAGCCTTCCATAAACACTTCCTGTAAAGAGAGCCCTATTTAGGCTTTCTTTATTGCAAGTTCTGTTTAATTAAGATTTTCTTATCCCCTGCTATGTTAATAGCTTGCTAGACCCTGCAAGAGCCTCCTGTATGTGATTAAAGTTCAATTTAGAGATTGAGATACAATTATTTAAGGTAAATTACATCTGTTTGAAGGTGAAAGCAGTTTTTTTTTTCATGCAGGCTCTGTTAATCATAGCCAGGGGAGGTGTGGCTAGGGCTGCATAAACAGAAACAAAGTGATTTAACTCCTAAATTACAGTGAATTGAGCAGTGAAATTGCAGGGGAATGATCTATACCAGGGGTAGGCAACCTATGGCACTAGTGCCATGCATGGCACTCAAGGCTGCTAGAGCCAAACAGGCTCTGGCCTATCAGGAGTCTCAGTGAAACTTCAGATATCTGCTGATACGAAAAGGTGGTGAAGGAAAATCCTCAATTTATGCATTGCAGAACGTAGAGGAAGTGATCTCAGATCAGTTCCTCCCAGCACTTGTGAATGGGAATCTACACTGTAGTAGAGCAGCCTGCAGCTGCGGTTGCAGCTCCTGCCCTTGACCTGTACCAGGCCAGCCTGGTCCCCACTGGAACTCAGGGAAGCCACCCACACTGCTAGATATACACAGAAATGCAGAATAACCCTCCCCTCATACAAATAATACGAACAGCCCACACACAAACATACACACAATCCCCACTAACGCAACACCACTAACAATCCACATACATGCACACAATCCCACATGCAATACCCCAAACAGCCCCCAACACACAATGTGACATATCCATCCACACACACAATTCCACAAGCAGCCCTCATACACAGCCCACATTCATGTGTATACAATATAATAGCTCCTATACGCACAAATACAACGATAAAAAGCAATTACAGTAAAAATAACACAAGCAGAATACGGCAGCATACACACCTCAATTTAAAAAAATAGGATCGGCACGCTACGGGACATCACAATTGTATATCGGCACAGCGCTGCTAAAAGATTGCCTACCCCTGATCTATACACTAAAACTGCTTTATTTAGCTAAAGTAATTTAGGTGACTATAGTGTTCCTTTAACCCACCCACCCCAAGTAGGCATTGGGGAACTACATATATAACAAAGTATTTAGAAAACAATAATCTTAGGGTTTTATTGTATGTATTAAGGCTGATGTATACTGTAGTCATTGCTGCTGCCAAGGAGTAGCGGGTGTTTGAGCACAGGACTTAGTTTTGCATTGTATTTGCCTTTATATTGCACAGTTATTATAATCCTACCGCCCATCCCATGAGCTCCCTATTAAGGGTTAATAAGTATGTAGAGGTTTAGAAAAATATCCCTCTGTCTCATTAAAAAACATTTTTAATTGTTAGTGCAAGACTTACCTAAGACGTTTGCCTTGATGTGGCAGTTGAGCTTACACTTGAGTGGCCACTGGAGTGATAGTAAAAACCTCCACTACCCTTTCAGTATAGTAATACTTCCTGATATTATTTTTAAACCTTTGCCCCTCTAATTTAAAACTATGTCCTCTTGTTGTGGTAGTTTTTCTTCTTTTATAAATAGTCTCCTCCTTTACTGTGTTGATTCCCTTTATGTAACATTTAAATACATAAAGGGAATCAACACAGTAAAGGAGGAGACTATATTTAAAAGTAGGAAAACAACCACAACAAGAGGACATAGTCTTAAATTAGAGGGGCAAAGGTTTAAAAATAATATCTGGAAGTATTACTTTACTGAGAGGGTAGTGGATGCATGGAATAGCCTTCCAGCTGAAGTGGTAGAGGTTAACACAGTAAAGGAGTTTAAGCATGTGTGGGATAGACATAAGGCTATCCTAACTATAAGATAAGGCTAGGGACTAATGAAAGTATTTAGAGAATTGGGCAGAATAGATGGGCTGAATGGTTCTTATCTGCCGTCACATTCTTTGTTTCTCCGATATAAATGTGCACAGAGATGTGGATTAAAGCTGCATGGATCAGACTGATTTTAACCCCCTTAAGAAGCTCTAAACGCCGACGGGTGTAATTGTACGCCCTCCGGTCTTTCATTACTTAACCAGTGGGACCGCCGGCGATCACGGTGGGGGGGACTCCCAGGGAGCCCCCCCGCGGCAGATCCTCCTCCTCCGGTGCCCCCCGGCCATGTGAGAGTGAGGTCCTTGCGAGGACCTCACAATCACATGGCCGGGATAGCTGCCTCTTGCATTGCCAGCAGGGGGAGTGCCTGTAATGACAGGTGGTCCCCCTGCTGGCTGAAAATAAAAATAAAATAAATTAAAAAGTATAAAAAAAAATGTATACTTAGATCATAAGTATATATATATATATACACATACACACTCATACACTGTCTAGGTGTATTTTACTATTAATATATATAATTATATATATATTATCAAATTACACGTAGACTGATACTGATTAAAAATATATATAATTATTGTTATATATATTTGTATCTAATATAAAAAAATTAAATATGTAAATATGTTAAAAAATAAAATTAAAAAAATTAAATTAAAAAAATTAAAAAATATATAGATGTGTGTTATATCATTCTAACTGTATTGTGATATTAATATATATATATCAAAATACACGTAGAACGAAATAATATATATATCTACATACATAAATATATACGTATATATCACTATATATATACCTATATATAAAAATAAAAATATTTTTAAAAAATTATATATATATATACACATAGATTCACATACGTATATATACATATATAAATTCTACATATATATTTATGTAATATTTTTACATACTTAGGTATCTTAATTAATTACAATTAAAGGGAATTTAATTTGCTAGCACTATATTTAACCCTATAACTTTCCAAGACACCATAAAACCTGTACATGGGGGGTACTGTTCTACTCGGGAGACTTCGCTGAACACAAATATTAGTGTTTCAAAACAGTAAAATGTATTACAACGATGATATCGCCAGTAAAAGTGAAGTTTTTTGCCTTTTTTTATGCACAAACAGCACTTACACGGATGATATTATTGCTGTGATACTTTTTACTGTTTTGAAACACAAATATTTGTGTTCAGCGAAGTCTCCTGAGTACAACAGTACCCCTCATGTACAGGTTTTATGGTGTTTTCAAAAGTTATAGAGTCAAATATAAGGCTTGCGTTTCATTTTTCTCACATTAAAATTCGCCAGATTGGTTACGGTGCCTTTGAGATCCTATGGTAGCCCAAGAATTAAAATTACCCCTATGATGGCATACGATTTGCAATAGTAGACAACCCAAGGTATTGCAAACGGGGTATGTCCAGTCTTTTTTAGTAGCCACTTAGTCACAAACACTGGCCAAAATTGGCATTTTTTACATTTTTCACACAAACAAATACTAACTTCGGCCAGTGTTTGTGACCAAATGGCTACTAAAAAAGACTGGACATACCCCTTTTGCAACACCTTGGGTTGTCTACTATTGCAAATGGTATGCCATTATGGGTGTAAATTTCATTCCTGGGCTACTATAAAGTCCCAAAGGCAACGTAACCAATCTGGCGAATTTCAATTTCAAATGTAACGTGCTATATTTGACCCTGTTACTTCCCAAAACGCCATAAAACCTGTACATGGGGGGTACTGTTTTACACGTGAGACTTTGCTGAATACAAATATGTGTATTTTATTGCAGTAAAAGCAAACAGTATTATGACATTGACAGTTAACATAGCATGTAGAACTAAAAAAAATCTTATTTTCTCCCATTTTTTTTCATATTAAATTATGTTTCATAGCTAAATATTTGATATTAAATGAAAGCCTGTTTCCCCTGAATAAAATGATATATAATAAGAGTGGGTGCATTTAATATGAAAGAGGTGAATTACAGTTGGACAGACATGTAGCACAAATGCCAGGTTTTGTTTACATTTTGTTTCATTCACAACGTGTACATTTGGCTCAGTCCTTAAGGGGTTAAGGGATTGAAAGTTCTCCTTTAAAGTTACTCTTTAATTCCAATCTCTCACTCCCCACATCTCCAAATCCAGCTGCTTCTTAGCACCCGATACAATTAAACTGCTTATCTCACACCTTGACTATTGAAACTTGCTCCTTGATGGTCTGGCTCCAGCTCAGACTGTCCCCTTAAAACCCAGTACCTTCCCTGTACTGTTTACAAACAATGCTGTCTACGCACATGCAGTACATTTGACTTTGAATTTAAGTTACTCTACCACTGATTTTTACGCAGTGTTTACTGAATTTCATTTGAGCAGAACCCATACTTACTGTAAGTCAAACTTATGTTGTTGAATTTACTTGTATGCCTTATGTACAGCGCTGCATAAAATGATTGGCACTATATAAATAATAATATAGTCTGCTTTCATAGTTTGAAATTCTGTCTTGAGTAAATGGTTGTGGGTCTAGAAATCACTTTATTTTATGCAATATGTACAAAATGCCAACACAGGATAAACGACTCAATATGTAATCCATTAAAATTATTTCCACAATATGGATTTAAGAACAAAAACAATATCTACATCTTAGATAAACTGGACAATGCTACAGTAGCCTTGAAACCAAACTCTTGAGGGAGAGAATAGGTTTCCCATTTGGGGTAGAAGAATTTGGAACAGTTCCTCTTGTTCCTTGGATGTGGGTTGATCATTTAGAATTGAGAAAGGGGTCACATGACAAAGTAATAAAACTTAAAATGTTTCTTTGATTAAAGGGACACTCCAGGCACCCAGACCACTTCTGCCCATTGGAGTGGTCTGGGAGCCAACTCCCATAACCCTGCAAGTCTAAAAATTGCAGTTTGCACATTAGGTCTTCCCCACCGGCTAATGGCGGGGGAGGAGCGTGGGCAAAGCCTGACCCAGCGCCGATGGACATCGGCCCTGGATTTAGTAAGTGTCCCCTTCAGCAACATGGGATGGGGGCACTGCAGGATTCTGTAGTGCCAGGAAAACTGATTTGTTTTCCTGGCACTGGAGAGTCCCTTTAAGAATAGTTGCAAGGCTGGTGTACCCAGCAGGTTTCAGATCTGAAGGATTGTTTTACATCCCACTGCTGTAATAATAGTTAAGAATAGTTTGTGAGGTATAGGGATATCTTGTAGGGGCCCTAACAGCAGCAAACAAGGATTGAGCAGTAAGGGGGCATGTTATTAGTGTCTAGGTACTCAAACAGACGGTGACATAGGTCTGCTTTTGTATGTGTTCATTTGAAGCAAGTCGATGTGTCTTTCCTAGCCATTCGATGCAGTCTGTGAGGGTAATAATAAGCATAATGTGGTTTTCAGGAACCTTTCTTGATAGGAAACCATGGGGAGCAAGACACTCTGGGTATAATGGTCAACTAGGATATCTTCTGAAATTAGGAAATTGCACCTTCTACTATCCCAGATCCGAATGGACCATGATCAGGGGTGTATCGCAAGCGTGCATAGAATTTTGATATGGAATAGAAAGCAGGGTTAGAGGTACATAAGTTTGTCCATGGGATTATATCAATCATCTGGCATAAAGTATTGTGGTATAGTTTGAAAATAACGTTCCTCAGGTATGCACACCATGGAAGTCCTGGGAAATGTTTCTTGAGGTAGTCAATAGAGAGAACACACAGTTTCTTAGTGGACTGTAATGCCCCTCAAATTTCTAACACAGTGTGTTGGTCATGTTGTGAGTTGATCATTGGCGAGCTGCAGCGAACAGTTTAATCCATTGAGGTAAAAGTGCGCCCAGGGGCGTCCTGGCACCTTAACTTTTATTTTGATTTAAAAAAAAAAAAAAAAAAGGAATTACTGGAGTGTTCCTTTAATCCATTTTCTATAGGTATATTCTAATCACAGTAAATAATATGAAGTAAGGAAAAGCTATGAAGCCCTGCAACATTAAGTGCCTGGAATACAGTATTCTCTTGGTTATCTCGACGATAAATCGGTCAAAGAATAGAATTCGCTCTACTGATCCATTCAGAGCACTCGGATTTAACACAGTGGGCTTATTCAATAAAATGCAAATTGTAGTGAACCGAGAGCCAACATTTAGACGAGGATGTGGAAAACCTGTAATTCAACTATACTTGGCAGTTTTCATTTCACTACAATTAACGATTTTTATATAAATCTCAGCATAAAATTAAGTGTCGTTTCACACTGAGGCAATTTAAGTGAAAAGTGGAGGATGAATTAAGTTCTCTTCTGCTAGAGATTATTACTGGGGAGGATGTTAAAACTGTCAATCTCTAACAAAGGCCAGTGTCTGCAAGCCAGAAGATATCTCTAAGAGGAGATACTTTACCCCTTTCCTACGTGTGCTCAGATTATGAAATTGCTCACTACAGAATTATTTTATAGAAAGATTTAAAGTGCTCCACTGTATAATTCCGTACTCGTGATACACCTCTGCCTGTTTCAGATGCTGCAAAGCAGAATCAATTTGATGTAAGGGTTTGAAAAGCTGGAAAACCTAAAAAGAGAATTTTAAATGAAAAGGAGAAAAGTCTATTGTAGCAACATAGAAAGTCACAGTCTGTTCACTTACCTGGAAATGTTAGAAAACATGCGATGACTCTTAAATTCTACTATTTTCCAGATATATTAACCTGTGAGTAGATGTAGCAGCTTGTGCTTATAGGTTTTTTGGCAAATAAGCTGTAATTACAAATATTAGCCACTAGAGAGCATTTATCACAATTGAGCAAAATAAGATCAATGTAACAATGAACAATTTTATATATAAATGTACAGAAGTCCAAAATTAAAGGGACATTCCAAGCTGGAGCTGGGCCCACTATTTGTATGCATTATATAGATGGTACATTGAAATCACTGCAGAACTCCAGTGAGCTCCTGCCAAACTAAGGCCTCGATTTACAATTGTTTGAATAAGCTTTTCATCTGAAGACAATTTGTTAAAAAAATAAAATCGTTTTTAAAAATAAATCAGATCTGCTGTAGATAAAGGATTTGAAATGTTTTTCTAAGAGATTGTAATAAGCTGAAAACCTTTTCCAACTTTATTAAAGCTAGGCCTAAAGTGTTTAGTTGTCTCCAGAGCACATCTGAGCTGATCTCATCAAAGTAGCACAATAGGGTCAGGAACACAAACATGTATTCCTGACCATCTAGTGTTAAACCACCATTAAGTCCCCCTAAATATAGTAAAATCTCACTTGTATTCCAGTCTGCAGCTGCTGGCTCTGCCCCTGTCTGCCTGCATGCCTGATGTCATCAGAAGTGATTCTGTGAGCCAATGACAATGCTTCCCCATAGGATTGGCTGAGACTGTCATGGAGACAGAGCAGGGGGCAGAGCCAGCACAAGCCAAACACAGCCTTGACCAATCAGCATCTCCTTATAGAGATGACCTGAATCAATGCATCTCTATGAGGAACGTTCAGTGTCTGCATGCAGAGGGGGGGTGACACTGAATGTCAGTCACAATGTGCAGCACTGCCCCAGGAAGCATCTCTAGCAGCCATCTGAGGAGTGGCGAGAGGATTTATCTCAAGGCTGTAATGTATACACTGCATTTTCTCTGAAAAGACAGTGTTTACTGCAAAAAGACTGATGGGAATGAGTCTACTCACCAGAACAAGTACAATAAGCTGTAGTTGTTCTGGTGTCTATACTGGTGTCTGGGAATTGCAGTTAATATACCAGTTATCTATAGTGGAAAGTGGATGGCTGGACTACAACTCATTGATACCAGTCCTATGACTTTACATGCAAATGGTATTTCTGGAACAAACAATGAAACATTGCAGGTTTTGATGGAGGAGTAGAAAAAAGGTACCGTATATACTCGAGTATAAGCAGAGTTTTTCAGCACATTTTTTGTGCTGAAAAACCCCAACTCGGCTTATACTCGAGTCACTGTCTGTATTATGGCAATTTACATTGCCATAATACAGACTGGGGGCTGGCAGAGCTGTTGCTTACCTCTCCTGCAGCTCCTGTCAGCTCTCTCCTCCTCCGCGCCGGTCCGGTCAGCACCTCGGTCAGCTCCCAGTGTAAGTCTCGCGAGAGCCGCGGGGTCATAGTGCGGCTCTCGCGAGACTTACAGTGTGAGCTGAGAGAAGAGCTGCACGGACCGGCGCGGAGGAGGAGAGAGCTGGCAGGAGCTGCAGGAGAGGTAAGTAACAGCTCTGCCAGCCCCACTCCTCCCCCCACTGAACTGCCAATGCCACTGGACCACCAGGGAAGGAGAGCCCCCCTCCCTGCCATGTATCAAGCAGGGAGGGGGGACAAAACATAAATAAAATAATACATAAATAAAAATAATAATAAATACATTTATAATATATAAATATAAATAATAATTAAAAAAATAATTAAAAAAATTAAAATAATTTTTTTTTAATAAAAATGCCCACCCCCCACCAAGGCTCTGCAACACAAACACACACTGCATCACACACACACACACACACACACACACTGCACACTCATATACACACTGCATTTATGCACACACACTGCACTCATACACACTGCACTCACACACAAACACGGCACTGATACACACACTGCATTCATACACACACACTGCATTCATCATATACACACACACTGTAAATATTCAATATAATTTTTTTAGGATCTAATTTTATTTAGAAATTTACCAGTAGCTGCTGCATTTCCCACCCTAGTCTTATACTCGAGTCAATACGTTTTCCCGGTTTTTTGGGGTAAAATTAGGGGCCTCGGCTTATATTCGGGTCGGCTTATACTCGAGTATATACGGTATTAAGCTATATTAAAAACAAACAGGAAAACGAACTTAACATATACATTGCACTGCAAGTGTTCTTTTAACAAACATTGGTATAATAGAGCTACATTAAATGGGTCGTTCTATTTAATGCAATGTAGTATGGCTCATGTAGTCTTATTGCATATGAAAACGCGTCCTGTGAAAATGTAAAATCCTTGGTTGAAATATTAAAGAGAAGCAATGGAATATTTAATTTATAGTTAGGTAAATATGGCAATTAGGCTTTCATTTCAACCTCAGCCTGTGACTATAGGAAGCTTTTATTATTTTGCTACAGGTAATTAATCCATTTTACCTGTGACATGCGACTGAGATATTAATGATGTAGATCGCAGGGTATTTTAAGACCAGTTTAATGCTAGATATTAATGGTATCAAAATATGTTACAAGGGTGAACCGCATCTTCCAACAGATTGCACAAGAATCCAGGTCTACCCTCAAAGGATCCACATACAGAAAAATGTTTCAATATTTCTAGCAATGGTTTGGGTCATAGAGCTTCTCCTATTGTGTGTGTTCTAGATTTTAGTCTGTCAATTAAAAGCAGATAATGTTTTCACATCCTATACTGCATATTGTGTCGGCCACACCATGAAGCATGGGGGTCACTAAGCTCAGGGATGTATATATCCTGGTCTGTCTTACGTTGTTGGGAGTTATGCTTGTGGCTGCTGCCTTTTTCAGCCCTTTCATTATTTCACAATAATACTGCAGAGAATTGCTTGGGAGAAAACGAGCTCAGTTCTGTCTCCCCAGCTCCTCTGCCACCATATCATTATCGGGAGAGGAGCTCAACTAATGCTGCATACATGTTTTGGTGTTGCCCTTAAAATATATATAAATGCATGCAAATTAATGCAATTTCAGGGTTGTAGACGAGTTCATTTGACATTAGGCCATTGGCCTCATGGGTTGATGATGAAGTCTCCAGAATCCCTTCACAGCGTTACTCATACACGGTTTAGCATTATTCATCCTCTACCGAGCAATAAAACTAGATGAACATTTGGACTTGGTTTGACTGGAAATGCAAGTCATATTATTGTACAGTGATTCCCAGATTACTTTTCCTAACCCAATCCAAGTTTGCTGGTCTCTGAAACGTCAGACGAGTCTGAGAAGACGATCCGAGATGTCCAGTATATACCAAGAGGCAGGTAAGCTCTCACGCAGGTGTCTAATGAAATGATCTGAAGGAAGCATGCCTTCTATTTAGTCTACTTGATTCACCACTTGTCTAGACTGGAGAGTAAATAGCTGGCTTTGTTGGGAGACTGTGTAAACAGAACCTGTTCTGACCTTTCACACGATTCATGTGCAGGTAAGTCTATTGACAGCTGAATGGGATACAGTCTGTTTAAATCCTAACTGGGATTATATTTCGGTCTTCATAAATTGCATTCAGTCATGAAATAAATTGCAAGGTGCACGGACAGAAAGCTTCTGCGTACTATTCTTATTTTTAAATTCTACAAAAGCAGCAACTATATACCCTTGCTTATTTTAGCAATAATCCCTCCACTGTTCCACATTGCCTCTCTTTATTTTTGTCCTTAAAGATTAAAGCCATTTAAAGGGACACCTGCTTGTCATAATATGATAAACTACCAAACCTATAATGGGGGGGTGGGGGGACCATATAGCCTGAAGGACATGGGCGTGGTTTCCTTTTTTATTGTTAGTATTTAGAATGGGTGGGAAGATTTCTAGCAAACTGACAGATCATTGACTTGATCTCACTTTTTCCCCAATTACTAAATCAGAACAAGAAATGAGACATATAGCAAGTAAGGGTCTGTACCCCATTTATGCAGCAGATCTGGAACTTGTTATGAATGAGCTACAATTAGATGAATCACCTCTGCAGCTTGATGGGTAGGGGAGAGGATATAACACACATTGTATTTCCACTAATCCAGACCCACAATATCCCTGATGCTCTACAACCGTGGTTATTCAGTAAAAACCACATTGCAGTTAACTGTAATCTTTAAACTGCACTGTCATGGCGTGCTTACCTTTCTCCCCTCCCCAATCTCTTCCTCTTTCCTACTTTCCCATTTATTATCCATTTCTAACAAAACTTTTCTACTACTTTGTCTCATGTTTTTCATTAGAAATAGATTCATGGTATTTTTCCAGCACCTGATACTTCTGGACACTGGGCAGAGCTACCGCTGTCTAGAAGTGTCAGTCCCCCCCAGCCGTCGCCAGTGGCAGCTGTAGGGAATTGGCTCTGTCTATAGAGGGTCTTGTGGGATCCTCCATAGACCTTAATGCTGTACTCCAACGTAAGCGCGAGAGTACAGCAGTGACGTTGACTTCTGGCACTGCCGCTGAAGGGGACCGGCCGGAAGAAGATGGCAGCGCCTGTGAAGGGCAGGTTCCAGTAAGTAAAACTCACCTTTCCCTGAACCAGCAACTGGACACTCAGTGGCAATGTCAAACTGCAAAGCCCCCAGACGGTGACATTGCTGCTTTAATTGTAGACTGTGCCTAAAACTACTGAAGAGTTTCCCAGGTCAGCTATTCTTAATCACATTTTGCTATAATAAGTGTTTTAGAGGACAACCCTGAAAGCACATGCAAGGGGTCACAGGTCACATCACATGCAAAGAATCACAGGACATTTGTCAGAACAAGCACGAATAAAAACCACCCCAAAAAAATAAAAAAACGAAGGATAACATTTTGTAGGCTGTTAAAATGTGCCCTTATCTCCAAGGTGACCATTCAGAAATATTAACTCTTGCAAGCGGCTAAATTTAGAGCGAGTGCTTGTGAGCAGGTTTCCCAGTGTAGGTATAGGGGTAGATTTGGATATATTGAATAAGACTACACTGTCTGAGGCCACTCAAGGGGCAGCGATTAGAGAATGACAATAGACAATCACTCACTCAAGGAGTCAATGGGAACTTTCAAGAATCTCTGAGACTCTGAAAAGTAAAATATTCTCACAGCCATTCTTACAAGAATGGGCAATAGCCTGCATTGTGTACACTGGCCCATTGTACCCGCAATAACAAGGAACAGGAGCATAACAGACTGCTATGCTGGTATAGACACTTCAGTAATGAGAGAGTGAAAACAACAATTACTAGTTCTGGTATTTACTAAACATGCCAATGCTGTACAAGGCAGGGGGGTTATGTCTCTGCAATCTATTACGTTCATCTCCATGCGCAAATGTTAGACAACAATTTGAAGAAAAATCAAATGGCTTTTGTGGCCAAAATTCGCCAAATTTTTGGTTAAAACTCCACATCCCACATCACTGAATAAACCCTGCTAAAATAACTATAGCCGGTTTCATAGTTTCTCTTTGAGGGTATTTAAAGGGATTTAAGTACATCTAATTATACCTTAATGAGGTCTCTACCTTTTATGAGAAAAACACAAAATGGAAATATCCTGATTAGCCGCATAGTTATTTGATTGCAATGCGTTGATAAATATATCAAGTTTAGTTTTATTCTCTCTAACACTTATTTTTGCATTTTCCTTTTCAAACACTTGTTTTTAAAAAAAAAATAAAAAAAAATAAAAAAAAAAATAAAAATAAAAAAAATGAATATTTACAACTTTGGTTGAACACACACACACAATATTCATTTTTACTAAATTTATACGTTATCCATCCGGCCACTAGATAGGGTAACTTTTGTACATAATGTTAAAGTGAAGGAGAAATTGTTGCGATGGGGTAATAGCAAACCATGTCTACATTCCGACAGTGTATATACCGTATAAACCACAAACTAGAATAGCAATTCCGTGTACTTTTACAATAATAAAAAAAAAACTAAACAAAAAAAAAAAACACCCCCTCCCATCCCCCCTAAGAAACAAAACAAAACAAAAAACTTTGAAAACGATAGATGCAAGACAGAAAAACTTGATGCATGTAATAACCTATAAGGATGTGGCTAATAGAAGCCTGCATTTTTCCTTTATTTATTTGCAGTGAATCATAATCTATTGGGGGTAAAATACCCGTGTGAAAATGTTTAGAAACTGGACATGAAATACCACGGGGTAAATGTATTTTGTAAATTTTAAAATGGTGGGTTGCTAATCTACGTGAGACTCGTGGCCTTTGACTTCTGGAAAGTGTAATGCCCATGTCTCATATGAGAATTCTAAGCATATGCATTTAGAGCACCTATTATCCTAGTCCAAAAATCCACAGCCACAACAATGTTTTATAAGGGGAGGGGGACCATAGCAGGAAACACTTCACCACTGGAAAAATGAGTGGCAAATGGTTGCACGAAATCACATTGACTTTCCACTTTTTGTAAACAACCCATGAGGGCCACAGGCTCAGTACAGATTAAAAATGGTTTCATACCCCAAATTAGACCCTCTATCTTGAACAAAGAATGAGAATGAGTATTGCTGAACTCTAGGCCTGCTGTTCAAAAAACAAGTCCACAAGACACCCTGGTTCCCAGGATGCTTCAATGGGAATACCTACAAACCGGGACTGCTGGTGTACGCTTTGATGTCTGGACTGGAAACCACTGTTCCTGTAATAGGGTGGAACCTTCTTACAGAATCACAGCTAAGCACTCTGCACTTCACACAAGATGTAGGAATTGTAGGAATGCAAGGACACACACTCCAGGTAAGTTTAAACATTTAAACAGTACATTTGCTGTTAATTTCATAGGCACAATGTACAGATTAAATATATAATTAATGAATCAGGAATTTCAAACAACGGCAAATTCTTTTTCACGTTGAAGGTTTTTATTCTTTCAAAACTGTTGAGTTCAGAGAGCCATTTGCAATCCTGATGCAGAGACTTCTGTTTGTGTAGCGATTATCAGATTTTAAACTGCCCTTCGTTAAACATGCCATATAGAATTTTCAATAAATAGAGCTACAGACGCCCAAGTTATGTACAAATATCTTAGGCAAAAAAAATATTATGTTTACAAATCTATATACAATAAAAACAAAAATAACTGTAAACCGTCTTCACAACTTCAACAAGTAAGAACAGAGGGAGGGGACGAAAATATATATATATTTCAACCATTTAAACTTTGCTAAAGTGTTAAAATTAAGTGTGCTTAAAAATAATGTGCGGGAGAAGGGTATGCCAGATTAATGCATTGTTAGGAGAAAGAGCAACCGTTTAGTGGCCTAGTACACACCTGGTGTGTCAGAGGGAGAAGTTAAATGATTTTGCGCTGAAACTCTAAAGGAAAAGGAGAACTCATGGTCAGAATTAACATGGAAAAATGACATATGTACAAACACAAGAACCTTGAACTGATCATCAATGTGTACTTTGTATGGAGGAAGGGATTTTAGATTGGTTTTAAGTAACAGGAGGTACATATAGAGGCACATCAAAGGAGGGAAACGTTTGAGGAGATTTGTATGTAAACACACAGTTTGAAGAATCAGTCACAATGTACCAAGAGCCCTGTTCGACCACAGTGGTCACATCATCAACACTGTTTAACAAAACAAAAATACATAAAAAAAAAAAAAATAAAAAAAAAAAAGTCTGACGAAGTCAGCAGCAACCCTGTAACTTAGCTTGGTGGTTTGAGGGGAGGATTTTCTGGGGTGAGATTCCTACATTCGGTGCATCCTTGGCAGGTGAGGGACAATTTATTGTCCTCTGGGTCCACCTGCTGCGTCAAAGCCTTTTTCAGGTCTGGTGTGGGAGGCGGTGGATATAGTATTCTCAATGAGCAGACTGTGGAACACGTTGGCTCAGTATGAAACCTCTGCTGATTAACAGCCCACAGCACAATACAGAGAGAACTCGAAGAAGAGGGTGTCAGATCCACATGGTGGCAGAGGCGGTGGCAGCAGTGAATATATTGTGCGGTCTCAGATCCAGCTTGAAAAAAATAGTTTAACCCCTCTGATGCCAAGGGGCAGCACTGCCAGCCCCTCAAGACAGTGAAGTTAATGTGAAGCATGTATTGTCCTCCGCATTTCGCAGAACATCCACAAAGAATATTGCAAGTCCTTCCGTTACATCCCTTGTTCATACGCTCAGGGGGAGCAAGCCTGGAGGAGACGGTGGTCGTGATCCTAAAACCCCAGGTGGTTCGTACCCATTCATTGCCCTAGGAAAAGATGGCAGAAAAATACACAATATAAAAACACATATCATTAACAAAGTTAAAGCTAGATTTCAGTTAAGAAATCCCCAAAGCCTTTTTTTGTTTTTTGCTCAGTTGGTGATTAAAGACTACACAGAAATCCCAGCGTATGGGGATTATTCAGAAATTAGCTTATATAATGATTCTGCCAACTGAGCAAAGAAAAGTAAGAAAATCCAAAGTAAAGATTGTCACAAACTTTCTGCATACAGGAATTTATACCAGACCATTAGGTAGATGAGAACATGTACCAGGGGTTTGTGATATACAAAAAGGGAAAAACCAGTAAGTGAGTAAGGCCAGGATCTGAAAAGGTTAATAGAATTTTTTTTTTTTTTATTATTTTTTTTTTTTTACAAACTCTTGGAATGCAAATGCAGGGCTGCACATGAAGATAGAAACGATGTCATCGTTTAGCCACTCGCAGCACTGCAACACAGGGGTAAAAAGACAGACTGAGAACAAGGGGCAACATGCACCAATACTGGGCACTGAGACTGGGTAATCGGGAGAAGTAATTTATTAATAGCATTAGCTAGCTGCCCTGAACACAGAAGGCTTGCATTACAGACAATTAGTAAGTGGTAATTCAACAAAAACACTTTGTGCCCCATTCCTCATAATTAAGATTCTCTTAGACATGCACTAGCTTTCAAACATGTATACAGATACGAATATCCCTAAGGGAAAGTAAAATGCGATATATGTTAAATGATCACTGCACCTCTAAACCTGGTCAGAGAACCAGGAGGAACATTGTAGAGAGATTGAATCACTAAACTGGGAATTTTGGATAACTGACCAGGGGGACATTTGGATCTCAGCGAGTTTGGCATAAATTGACACTTTTTTTAATACTTAAAACTAAAACGCTTTAATCTCCTTGTTAATTCTTCACAATTCACAGTTTAGTAAATAAAACTTAATGGATAAAGATGCTGTTAATGAAACAATGAAATGTTTAGAATGGCAACGTGATCACGTGACTCAGGTTACATAGGCTATGTGGCTTCTGTACACTGCCTGGTCTTAACGGATGTTAAATGGACAACAAAAGAAGGAGGTTTATCATTTCTACCAAACTATCTAACAAACTGTCAGTTCTCAATTTCCATGAATTCTATGACTGAAGACATGCCTCAGATTAGGATAACAGGTTTTCAGGACAGACAGAACATCTGAGAGGAAGTTCCTACCCCAGAGAGCTTACACTCTTCATCACACACCCTCCTTATAAATTCCATCCATTGTTTAGAAGGTTTATCTCGGTTCTGAAAGTTCAGGGTTACACAAACATTAAATTCCTGGTATGGCAGAGTCCTGACAACAGACATTTGTCACAAATAAGGAATTCCGAACATACCCTTTCCTAAAATTGAATGCGAGCTCCTTTGCGCTCTGTCTCGTCTAGCGGAAAAATTAAAGTGCTTGGCAAGTATCCTAAGGATTGATCCATTGATCTCAAGGCCTCAAGTCTGTAACAATCCACTTTACAGAAATGCATATATACAGTTTTACAAAGAAAAGAAAAACAAGGAGAAAAAAAAAAAAACTGTGATCATGGGGCATAGATAGAATATTATATATATATATATGCAATAAAACAACCTCCACCCAGAACTGGCAGGCAGACCACACCGTCACCCACGAACCACAAGATACAACTAGATGTCAAGTGTTTAGGCAGTAAAGAACAGTCATATACTAAAGTACATATGGTTATATATAAATAAGATTAAATACCTACGTAAATGTTGAAATAGTGGTTTAAACTGTGCTAGAAACAAGAAACAAGTCTTGCGGTTATAAAAAAAGTGGGCATGGTGAAGGTAAATGTTTAAATAAACACTTCAACCACCATAACCACACATTATTGGAGAAATTTGTACATACATAGAGAGGGATAGACTACAAAACATCTGTAAGAAGTGTGTCGGTTGCCTGGGCGACTAATAGTCGTTCACAGCAACCAACACAGAGTGACTTAACGAGAGCCTCGTTCTGCACTCTGAAGCCCATGCCACCGATGGACTGGGGGCGTACAGTGATGCAGACAGGACATGCACCCAGCCTTGTCGGCTCTCTTAAAATAATATACTAACAGTTGCTAAATACTGTTCCTTGCATAAAGCCTGTTTGTTGTGGGGAGTAATGTAACAATTTTCTGTGACAAGATAGATTATCACAATATTCCCAATAGTATCAAGCACTCCCCAAAGCAACATGTGTAAATGTACCAGAAATCGCTTCACAGCTATCCAGCTGCCTTGCTTATATAAAAATATCACTGTATTCCACATCTTGTTAAAACACTTGAATATAAAACGAGAAAAGAAAAAAGGGGGTTGGATAGAACTGACAGAGAAGTGGTGTTAAAACAAGGTGCACGCATTTTATGTGCAGAACATGTACTTCTTTAAGTATAATTAAGTGGAATAAAGTGATTATTATTTTAAGCAATGCAAATAAAACACCTTGAAGGGATTCCTGATCGTTTCTCTTAACTTACCACTGGCAGTGATAAGGACTGTCACTGTAAAACAATATGTATCTTTAAAGATTTGGGTTTTTTACCGAGTGCTGGTAGCAATACTATTTTACATTTTGGCTTTTACGTAGGAGGCAAAAAGTCAACAAAAAGTACGTTGTCATTGTAACCCGTGACTGCTATAAGGTGTTCTGAGAAATACACTGCAATCAGTCCAGTTAAACCCACCTTACCTCATTCTGATTACAATGGTCTCTGGATGTACCGTGTGAAGTATAGTAACAGAGTTAAATAACGGGGCAGCGGGGGAGGGCAATACAAAGACCACTAATGCTCAATCATCTCAGGGTCCTGTAACTCTAATTTCAGGAAAACCAGACAGCTATTCTCTAAAACAACAAGTTGGGGTGAGCAAGCAACCAAACTGCAAACAGCAGAATACAACAAGCCAAATCCCCCACTCTGTCACTGTGGTCAAACATCTGCAACTCTACTCACCGTCTAGTGAATTAGCCAGAGTTTGTCTGAAACAGGTAAAAAGTTTCTTCTAGACTTCAAATATTATAAACATGTAGTCGAAACAAAATTGAATAAAACTACCCTAATAAATAATGAGGCTTTGTAAACTATCTAGCCCCACATGACATCATATAAATGAAAACACCATAAACCTTTCAAGGCCATTAAACCACTGATCAGAGAGCTCCCCATGCAGTTAGTCTAGCGGACGGAAGAGAAGAAGGGGTTATGATAGTTCGCACCCACAGGGTAAACCCTCAGAGCATGCAGCCTTATCACTAAAGTTCAATTACCCATAAACAACGTGGGGAAAATGACCTTTTCCTGCCTATTCGGGGGAAAGAAAACAGAAATTATATCATTCACTGCCACAGCTGGAAGGCAATACAATTACAATCAATTAAACTTTAAGTCCATCTCATTAACAGCGCACTTATAGGACTTCGGTGAGAGAACCGACTCTTCCTTGATAGTTTTAAATTACCCAGCAGCATCTATATAAACCCTGTTTAATCATGATGGGGTACTCTGAAATAAGATCTGGCCAAATCATAATTTAAACATACATTACCATTATGTCTACACACAATTCAATGAGAAATGTGTTATGTCATTTTTTGTTGTGATAACTTACTTTGCCAAAACAGTAAGCAAATGGTTCTAAATTCTGAAAGCAAACAAAACCAAAGCCCTGGGTAATACCTTGACAGTACCAAAGCCATAAGCAGCAGTTATTATACTTAATACGGAATTTTGTTTGCTGTATAAAAATTGCTAAAAGCAAATATTTTGGTAATATTTCCAGGTCACAGATCCCTTGTTGGCAGGGGTTCAACCAAAATAGTGATAGAATTTATGTCCACATTGATACATGTTTTGCCACATACAGTCTGAGGTCTCTCCAACAGGCTTTGTATGGCCCTCAATGCATAGATGTGGAGGGAAAGAGGTGTAGAATATTTGGTTAATTATATGAATGTACATTTTAAGGCTCAATACAGAGAAAGCAATTCCTTGTATAGTGTAGTGTTCACTATAACTGACACAGTGAAGGATGTCCCTGTTAAATTAAGAAGCTGACCTAATTAAAACTTATCACATTTTCCAGAAGAAAAAAAAAAAAGTATTCTTAATTAAACCAGGTTTTGGGGAAAAGCAACAAAGAAATTGCAAATTGACAGTGAGGTAGCTCAGTTAGTAAATTCCCTGATTACAATGGCTGTCAAAATGCAAGATCACAGTTTCAAATCCCAGCAGGTTCAACTCAGCCTTCCGAGGTCGATAAATTGAGTATCATCAATTCGGTAATAACAACATTTATTACTATTCAGCTGCTGATTTGGTTAATTCCAAAAGCGTGCACTGAAAAGCCCTTTGAGTCCCACTGGGAGAAAGGCGCTATATAAATACTAGTTATTATTATAATAATTGTAGATCAAAATAGCCAACCTGGAAATAATAGCGGAATTCAGCTTATTTTTTACAATTTCTGGTTTAGCAAGTAACAGTTGTCATATTATATTTATTATCCAGGAGATATTTTACAAGATGCATTAAAGTCTTGAAAGTGTTTTTCATAGCAGATGATGAGAGCAAATAGGTCCAGGCTAAATGTCATGTCATCAGCCCGCCCGGGACTAGTTCTGAGCCGACTAAAGTGAATTCTGTGCAACTTTGAGGAACAGTAAATCATTAGATTTAGGAACGGTTTGTGTAGGATTGCTAGTACTGATATACACAGAATAATATATATGTTTTAATGTGTTATATTGTTTTTGCGGTTACGTCCTCATCACATGTAGGGCTAAACACGTTAGCACTGCAACTGTTTGAAAATGCATTTAAACTTCAAGCTATCTGAGCACCATGGCAAAGGTAGTTCACAAACAAAGTAGCTGTGCCAAGGCTTACTTGCACGGTTCAAGAGTTCTATAAAGGTTACCACTCTCTCTCTCTTCTGGCAACAACTGCGTTTGATCTTACCCTTTGTCGAAAAATGACGTGTGCCCAGGATGGGGGTATTTTGCACCACTGTTGTTTAGTAAACTACTGCTGCTGCTGTTTAAGTTTCCTGGGACGTAGGATTTACGAGAGGCCTGGTCCTTTGCAAAGTTCCTGCATGCCGCTAGCTTGGATTCCAAGGCCTGAAAAGAAAGTACAAGGATAAAGATCTGGCAGATACACGCAGCAGGCCAGGAAAGGGTTATAACCGATACACTTTCGCCTTTAGAAATAAACTGGATTACACGTGTTCATATACATTAAGGTTGCTAGGATAACTAACAGCCCCTGCACATATTCAATATTAACCTATAAGAAACATACGTACTCCAACTTTTCTCAACAGGTCTCCCACAATGTTAAGTGCAGATATCCTGGCGGAAGGAGCGAGTGGTGTGGTTCCAAAACCATTTGGTATACCTGGAAGGGAAAAAAAATATATATATATATATATATATAGATTTTAGATCCTGAAGAGCTCCAAAAACACACACACACAAAATAAATTATGTATGCAGTTCACTCCCTTCTACAATAATGGGGAGACTGCAGTGCATTAAGGTAGGTAATGGGCAGAGAATTATGGGAGTGGTAGTCAGTTATCGGGTGGGTCAGAATGCGAACATGTTAGCAATAATTACCTCCAGTTATGTTCACCCTTTAGGACCAGAGTTAAATAATCCATGTTACAGTTAAGACTTTAGTTAGAAATTAGAGTTTCTGAAACACACTGAAGGACAGCTACTGCAGAGGTGCCTAAACGAATTAGATGTCGTAGAACTAGAATGGTTATGATTCTTTGCCAGCCTTTAAAATTTCCAAAGCATCATGAACGTTTTAGTTTGAACATTTCTAGGGCAGCTTATGCCAAGTTCCTAAAATGCTCCAGATGCAGAATGTTAATAGGGAAGACATGTGTCCAGTAGGCCAGCTCTTGGCAAGTGGAGACTAACCTTTCGGGGAGGTAAAACTGTTGTCTGATATTTTGCCCACTGGTGTGGCAGGTAGGGAGAGAGAGGCCTGTACCGCAGAGTCCATTTTCTCACAGTCTAGTGTAGGGGAGCTCGGTGCAGACTTTCTTGTTCCATCTGTCTGCCGCTCTCGTACTGCTAATTCCTGTCTTAAATCTGCCAATACAAACAATAATATTAAATATATGAATTGCCCAAATTCAATACATTGTGGGGCAGTAGATCATCTGGCATGTCAGGGATAGCAGATCATTATGGGAAATAAAAAATATATCTGGTTTGCCAAAATTAGCAATCAGTGTGATAGGGTTAACGCATATATCCACAGATGCAGGAAGAGAATATTAAAAGATTCTCTTTTGTCTATGTGTTTACAGCTAGCTAGAAAATAATAAAGTTAACCGCCAGCTTCCTTGTTTTTACTTTACATATAAAACAGTTCCTGTTTTGCCTGCATGGAAAAGTACATTTAAAGTAAAAACGTTAGAATGGGTGATGGGAAATTTAGCATTCCAATAGATATTGTCATGTTTCAGCTTTGAGGGAGGCGGAATACTGACATTTCACTGAATAAAGTATTTTGGTGAAAATGTGGCCTACGCGTACTGTAAAAGTGACATCACCCTGTGCGTGCACGGAATGGCGCTTTGTCAACATTACCTCGCGCTTCGTCTTTTAGCCTCTGCACGGAGACCAACAGAGACTCCTTTTCGTCCAGTTCGCTCTCTAAGAATGCGTTCCTTTCAATCGCCTGATTCAACCTTTGTTCAAAGTCTTCCAGAGAAACAATTGTTGCTCTAGACACAAGACAGAAAACAATAGCTCTATTTCAGTCAACAGATTAAAGTTTAAAATAGTATGACATCCGGCAGAAGGGACTGAGTGGGAGCATGATTTGTTCGCTTCTAAACTGCAATGTCCTTGTACTGCACGAAAGGGTATCGGGGTTTTATTGCCTGGAAAATTGCACGAATGGTGTCCTACAATAAAATGAAACTCTCACATAATACAGAAACATGACACCCCTGAACAAGAGTGAAGATTTTAATGTTACCCAAAGAAAAGGACTCAGATTGACTTTTATTATAGTAAATAGCACAATTCCAGGTTTATAATAAAACGCGTTATACGGTTATCAACTGTTTTCTATTAGGACATTCATACTAAAATTGCAGCATTCTCTCTGTAAAACACACAGATTTGCTGCCAATGGATCTATGTCACATACATCATGGCAGTAACTGCTCTGCTTGCCCAGTAGCTACTGAACTAAACCTGCGTATGTGTGTTAATAACAGGCTTCTGAAGAGAAGTGCTTATTATGGTTCTTTCAAAACTGACTCATAGCATTAGCTTGACACTGAAACCATTTGCAGTGAACTAGAGTGTTTTAACAACTGATTTCAGAGTTACGCCTTCTAAACAGTAACTACAAGGCAGTAAACCGACAGCCCTGACTTGTGGTTAGTAATCTGCCAATAAAAGGCATTTACACATTATAAGAGCCACTAGCCTTTTTGTTTTCAGCCTTTGTTTTGAACTATATAGGTACATTTAACTTCATAAGGATCAACAAGGGCATAATTCAAATATTACAAACTAGTTTTAAAAATCCGCTATGAAAATGAAATGTTACGCTCATTTAAAAGCTACCAGGATTGCATACAGATGCTAATGCTTAATAAGGAGGACATTTCATACTGACAGGACATTTAGAGACCAAACTTTGATAAATGCATTCTTAAGGGGTTAAAAGCAGAATGCATCCAGAATGTATAAAATGATATGTACAATATTTAAGATACAAATCATTTTATCTTGAGCAAGGCACATTCCTGTAAACTGACCTAATCCCTATTAACTCTAGTAAGTGACTGTTTCATATGGAATCAATGGTGGAGACTCAAATGAAAAACCTTGTTGACAAATCACTTGTTACTGACAGGAGACAGGCTGATGTGGCCAGTGACCTCCCATCGTCTGATCTGCCGTCAGGTAACAGAAAAAGGAAAACAGTGTTGATCGCACAGCAGCATTACTCAGAGTCTAAAGTTTGCTTCTTATTAATGCATTAATGAAACTCCAATGTGAGTTTATGTTGACCGACCAACGTGCTTAAACATGCTTATTTCATGAGCACATTGGAATCAGAACACTCACTGTGTAGAACAAGAAGGAATCAAAAGACAGATGTGATGTCAGTTGCGATCTACTTTTCCTAACTAATGAAGGGTTCTGAGGAATTTGGAGTTTAAACAGGACTAATCTGACAGCTATTTAATTCAGAGCAATGGAGGGTTTAGGGTTTAAACAGAAGCACGGACCCAAAGCAATCAGAACAAAAACCAAAAAAAAGGCAAAAGGTATACAAAAGTGTATTTAGGGATGTCGTATCCAGTGGTGTATCCTGGTTTTGTGCTGCCCTAGGCAGGACAAAACTCAGGCACCCCCCTATCCCCGCGCCACCCCCACCCAACCCTTCCCCCCGCCCCACCTTCTAAATACACATACACACACACATACAGTCAGACACATACACACACACACACACACATACACACACACACACAGTCAGACACAAACACACACACAGACACAAACACACACACAGTCATACACACACACAGTCAGACACAAACACACACACACAGTCATACACACACACATACACAGACAGAGTCAGGCACAAACACACACACATACACACACAGTCAGGCACAAACACATACAAACACACACACTCAGTCAGACACACACACACACACACTCAGTCAGACACACACACACACACACTCAGTCAGACACACACACACACACTCACAAACACACGCGCAGACACAAACACACACACAGACACAACACACACACAGACACAAACACACACACAGACACACACGTCATACACAGTGGTGTATCCTGGTTTTGTGCTGCCCTAGGCAGGACAAAACTCAGGCACCCCCTTGCACCCCCACCCAACCCTTCCCCCGCCCCACCTTCTAAATACACATACACACACACACAGTCAGACATACACACACAGTCAGACACATACACACACACTCACACACACACAGTCAGACACAAACACACACACAGACACAGTCATACACACACACAGTCAGACACAAACACACACACACAGTCATACACACACACATACACAGAGTCAGGCACAAACACACACACACATACACACACAGTCAGGCACAAACACACACAAACACACACACAGTCAGAGACATACACAGACACACACACACACACTCAGTCAGACACACACACACACACTCAGTCAGACACACACACACACACACTCAGTCAGACACACACACAGACACAAACACACACACAGTCAGACACAAACACACACACACAGACACAAACACACACACACAGACACAAACACACACACTCAGTCAGACACACACACAGACACAAACACACACACAGTCAGACACAAACACACACACACAGACACAAACACACACACACAGTCAGACACATACACAGACACAGTCAGACACAAACACACACACACACATACACAAACAAAGTCAGTCACACACAGTCAGACACACACACAGATTAACTTTTTTTTTAATTTAAATCCCCCCCCCAACCTCCTTACCTATGGGAGTGCTGGGGGGGGGGAGGTCTCTCTCTCCCTGGTGGTCCAGTGGCTGCAGGTCGGGCGGGCGGCGCTGGCAGGCGGGCGGCTGGCGAGGGAGCACTTCCTATGAGCTGTCTGCTCAGCTCCAGAGTGAGGCTGGGAGCCGGAAGATGACGTCATCTTCCAGCTCCCAGCCTCACTGTGCGGCGCGCGAGGGAGCTGAGCAGACAGCTCATAGGAAGTGCTCCCTCGCCAGCCGCCCGCCTGCCAGCGCCGCCCGCCCGGGATGTCAGTTAGCCGCAAGGCTAACTAGGCATTTGCCCTGGGCATTTGGGGGGCGGCGTTTTTTGCCGCCCCCTGAAAAATGCCGCCCAAGGCAAATGCCTTGTTTGCCTCGCGGCTAATACGTCCCTGGTCGTATCCACTATGTTTTCCAGGACACACAACTTGCCCTGCAATATATAGGATTCATACGTTTCAGGTAGAACCAAGTCATTAAGCAGCATATTAATTCTGCATACTTGAGGGCAGCACTTTTCAAAGAGTGATACTTGTCTACAAGAAAAGAAAAAAACAAAACAATTGATCTGGGAACCCTATACAAAGCTTAACCTACTAGTAGTAGAACTCCAGAGGCCCCTAATAAAAGTGGGATGAAACTCCTCGGGCAACATAAAAAAAAACCATTCAATAGAAAAGTCAAAGGATTCAACGTTTAAAAGCATTTCTGTCTCAATTGACCAACTCAAGTGATGTTTATACATTGCCTTAGGCCCTGCAAGTTTGACCCCAACAGAGATTATGAAAGATTGACAAACGGTAGAACTTTCACTTTCAGAAAATTAATAGCTTAAAGTCATATTTAAATTCTTTTCTGCCCTCAAGCGCAATAAACTGGGTCAGTTATATCCCAAAGGAGTTGGGTGGGGGAAGTTCAAGTGTCAGAAGATGTATCTCCATTTGACAGATATTCTTTAACATACATGTGTTCATTAACCTAATCACGGGTTATTAAGTAGCTGGCAAACACAAAAGGCATTTGCATTTGTATCTAAAAAAAAACAGAACAATAAGTTCTAGTAAGGAGATTTCACATGCATTTCACAGTCCATTTAGTAATGGAATTATCACCAGACCAGCAAAAATTGACGACTACTTTTGTCTCTACTAGATGGTGAAGATAAAACTACAATAGCTACCAAGATAGTGGTACCCATGAGTTACCTCTAGCAAGTGTTAAACTTACTGCTTATAATTTTATTTTTTGAAAAACCATGACATACAATATCTTTTCAATGTTAAAATGTACATGCACAGGAAACTCAGACCATATAGTTAATGTAACAACTGGTAAGAAGCCATACGACTACTGGTTATCATACCTAATGCCAAGCTCCTCTTTTACATGCTATATACGTTATTGCCGCTCATGTACACTGTTTTTGAATGCAACAAAGAATTATAAAAAAAAAGTGTAATGGAATTCTAACATTAACCCTTAAGTTCTCTCCAGAGAGTCTGGGAGATCATTGCAGTAATGATGTTGTAACTACCAACTAACAAAGGAAATTTAAATCCAATATCCAAGTTCTGGACTCACCGTTTTGCTCTTTCCAAGTCATCGTTGGCCTGTTCTAACTCTCGAACGTACTTATGGAGTTGATCCTTAATGCTTCGAGCCCGACCCAGCTCATCCTCCAGGAGAGAAACCTGTTTATAGCTCTGAGAATACTGATGCTCAAGCTTTTCCTAAAGGGGAATTAATCATACCACATGTTAATTATGGAATGCAGTCATTTCAAAGTACTAGAAGCTTGAGTCAGGTTAAGTTTAAATGCGGGAGGTTAGTATATACCTTTAAGGTTTCCGCTTCGTATTTAAGTCTTTGGTTATCAGCTAACAAGTCTCTATTCCTCTGCTCGGCCTGCACCAGCTGTGTCTCCAGCTCAGCTTCCAGCTCTCTGCTGCCTTCCTGGAATTCCACAAGTTCATCACGGGCCTCCTGATAACTTAATGAGTTAAAACACAGATGATTTAGGTCAGGTCATTCATAAAACTCATTCCAACACACTGGAAAGATTACATAAATTAAAACATGAACTGCAAGGAAAATAATCACATAGTCCAATGTAAATCTGAATTTTTCACAGTCAGAAAATCAGGTCTACCTGGCTAGATACCTTGCTGACCATTGCTTTGTGATTGGTACAGTTACACTGTCCCGGTGGCACACTGAGCCACCATCCATCACAAGCATCAGCTTCAGTCAGTCCCCCGTGAGTGGCGGGTAACATAAAACATCATGTAGCGGTAAAAATACATTTGTTTCATGCAGCTCATTTGACAGATTGATTTAAACTTTTGTTTCCATTAAAGAGATATGTATAAAAATCAAAATGTAAAGTTGCATTAATCCTCAATAGAAGTATATTTATACCCACCTATGTTTATGTAAATTACCAAAAACGCACAGACATATAAAGCCCCCAAAAAGATCAAACAAATTCTATAATAAGTCAAAGTAGGAACTATTTGTCTTCTGTAATTACTGCATTATTGGCAAAATGTGGAGCTAAAAGCCGCTTCTGTCACCACATCTTGCCATCGCTTAAGCAACTGCTGATGAGAGCCAGCATCTCCTCATGTGATGCAGACTATATGCCAATTGCCCGTCATTGAGCAGGCTTGAGATCACCTATAGAAGATCTTGTGGTCTCATACACCTCTGTTTTGTACTCTTGCACATGAGTGGCGCGGGCCCTGGTAGATTTTGCCACCAGGAGCTGAAGACCAGTAGGTAGAAGAAAATGCCACAGTAGAAGAATGTAAGAGAGTGGTTCAGGTAAGTATCTATACCACAATGATCCTACAAAGTGACTGTTTTACTATTACTTCAAAAAGCTTTTTGTTTGTATTGTATATATTTCCATTTGTAATCCTGTAAGACAATCACTGGATTGCTTGCACTTTTTATTTATTTATTTTTTTTACTCATAATACGCCATCTAAGCAAATAAGTAAAATCTTAATATTTGTCCTGAAACTTTTTATTTTTTAAATAATATAATTTCTCAAAACTGGCCCTTCAGTTATAGCCAACTTGCAGCTCCTAGAATTCTCAAGTAAACACTGGCTTGCTGACAATTCTGGGACTTGTAGTACAAAAAGCGCTGTCAGATCAAGGTTGGACACCCTATATTTAGAACGCAACACTATAATCTGTGCATTTTTTTTTTTTTAGGAATAACTATGAAAAAAATGAATGGGGCTGGGAAAGTGGGACAGGTGTACACATGATACGAACCTCTGTTTAAACGTCTTGCACAGTTCTCTCCAATAAACAATTTCTTCTTTCGGGCTTAAAAACTCAGGAATGTCTTCAGATTCCATGTTTCAATAAATCTCTAAAGGAGAAGAACGAACATTATTAGAGAATGAGGAGAGGCATCAAACTAAAAGCATTGATATACAATTTCTTTCCAATGTATTTGAAAGGATAGAACATTCTTAAACCCTTCAGAGTTTTCTAACTTATACATAATCATATTGCAGATAAAGAAAAGGGATTTTACATAAATTTCTCTCAGCTTTTTTCTCTGGGAAAGGGATAGTCAAATCAGTTTCGCCTTCAGGGTCACATTTTTTTGGCAATAACTGGATGACTTTGGACATTAATATAAGCAGCTTTAATGTGCACCAGAGAAAGCTGTCCAGTGCCTAGAGCATCCATTTAAAACTTTCACACCCTACAATATGACAAGACTTTCCATGCTCAGAACTTATCACAGATAATAGCTTGCCTCGACCTGTTATAAATGCACATTATAATTTCAAATTCAGCAACTGATAACGGATAAAAATGTCTGAGCTCACAAGTGTTGTGTAATATATTAGATAAGATAAAAGTCCCATCTTTATATCTGCGAATACATTTTGCTCACAGATATACAACCTGTCCAACTCCTCTCCCAGTGGCTGAACACTTATATTGAACACTAACCTGCACAAGGGAAACTCTCGCAATGATTCATACACTGCTATATGTGACTAGTTCTAGTATCGATAAGTACTGATCTCTACTTAAACTGGTAGGCAATGGTGACACTGCGTTAACTATTACCAGAGATAGCTGCTATACAAAGTCACCAAGTTAACCTTTCCTCCTATGCAACCCAATAGAAACTGCACATTTGCAACAATGAAGCTTTTTTGCCATGTTTGAATCTAGAATGAGACCTTTGGCTCCCATTAGAAGACTTTCCAGCAATAACGGCACTCACAGACAGAAAATAAAAAAGAAAGACGCCAAAAGCCTGTTACTGCAAGAAGCCCAATTTAGGCATTCCCCAGTAGTAAGCCCCGGGCTGACCCATTAGCAGCGACGTTACAAACACACAGAGCGCGCACATTCCTACCTAGCAAAACGAGCCTTGCGGGATTCTGAGCTAAAAATATTGCAGCGTGTAGACAGTACAGGAAACTGGCAACGATTGTGTGAATTTCCAAAGCAGGCGTTTTTACATACACCGCTGGTAAGCAAATTATGGCAGCTTACACTTTCAGATTCTGTTTAGTATCAAGAACCAATAATCCAGTAAAAAAAAAAATATATATATATATCCACATGGGACAATATTTAGCAAAAATTTAAAAAAAACAAGGTTTGAAACTGGTCAAACGATCATTTTACTTGACTAATAAACTCATAATGTAGTTTTTGAAAAGAGAACAGAGACAAATCATTGGCGATTTCAAAAAGCGTACTATGAGGTCATTACAACATACAGCCTTCCCAGGCTCCAACAATGTCACGTGCAAATCTCTGCCAAAGAAATCAGCATTGCTATTTTAACACAGGCACACATGGAATTTGAAAGCCAGTTCACTGTCCCTCCTTTTCCTTTTCCAGAGTCCCTGTCTCTGTATTACATCACCCACATGGAATGTAGGAAACTTTGTAAACCAAGGCTGATGTAACCAGAGACTAGTCAAGCTGCAGCACAGCCAGGCTAATATGGCCAAAACAAGAGACAAAACAAGCACAACATTTTAGTAAAATAAAATAACGCGTCAGATATGGTTATGCAGGAAATCTATTTGTCAGGAATTCACAAGGAAATGTAAAAATGTAGGCCACAATAGCAAAAGTGGGAAAAGTCTCCAATCCAGATAATCTTATCTCAGCTATTTTGGTCTTATATTTACAATTTCCCTGGGAATTACAAGCAATTCAGTTTAGGAAATTGCCCTGAAGGTCCACAAGCTATAATTGATATAAAATAATCTGATCCAAGAGCTGCAAATTCACAGAATTATTATGGAACAGAGAGATCTTTCGAAAGGGCTTTTTAAAAAAAAAAAAAAAATGTAATACTTTATTTTTGCAGTGCATAAAAACATATCTTGCGTGCGGTACCCCAGCGGCATTCCTCTCGCTTAGTTCCAACAATTATAGTAGGGTGTTCAGGAGTATATGCACAGAATTTTTTATATATGAACAAAATGAAGCTGGAAGTGTGGCAATGTAAACAACTCTTTTTTATAACATGAAAATAACTATGAGTCCACATTAGTGTGTAATAATCATGCTGGGCTAGATACACGGTGTGTATAAACATGGTAAAGGCTAATCTATGTTTTGTAAGAAACTCCAGGCAGTCTAGTGGGTTAGTTAAGCCTGGCTCTTGACTGTCTAGTCAGGCATTAAGTGTTTGCTGGTTGTGCCGAGCTGACACTTAAGCTTGATGGATAGTTGCTAGATTACAGTGGTGACAAAACTACAAAACGTTATAACTAAAAGAGGCAACGGAGGGAGTCTGCCAGGCATATAGATTACCCTCCCGGGGAGCTAGCTTTATGTTCGTTTGGGCGGCAGTTGGGCTCGGTGTCCATGGCAATAGCATTAAACCGGCTGACCTTTAGTTCTAAGTGTAGGCTGTACAGATTGTGTTTATGAAAGGCGAGGAAGGTTTATAACCGTTATGATGTACATGTGTGCGAAGAGTGTTGTTGCTGTGTCTGATAGTACGCTCCGCTATATGCCGGCAACTATCGGTGTGGCTACTTGCGGGACAGAGGGGTGAAAAGACGTGTCTAATTCAAAATATAGCAGTAGTTCTGAAGTATTGTGGCCTCTGGGCCTCGGCCTAGGAAGGCGGCTGGGGATAGAGAAACCTGTTACAAACATTAATACATGCAGAAACATATCGTAAGTATCTGACTTGGCTACTTGGGAAGAGTCACTTCATCCTATTATGGTTGTATGTTCGCCAGTCTCTGTTTATGTAGTGACCGCTACGTAAGGGTCGGGTGTTAGTCCCTGAGGTATGAATGGGACAGTTCTCGTCGGGTCCCAGGAGTGCATTGGCGAGTTAGTACATTGCTGGCCCATCTGGGTAAGGGAGTCCGGTGGTAGGCCTAAAGCCTGCAGTAGCTGCGCCGTGTCGGCTGGGTCCTGTATCTTGTGGGAGTCCGTTCCCCAGCGGACCGTGAGTGTGTGGGAAGGCTGCCAGCGGTATTGGAGGTTGTACCTTCGGAGTAGTGCGGTAAGCGGCCGGAAGGAGCGCCGCCATGCCAGGGTCTCATTCGAGAGATCGTATAGAAGCTTAGTGTCATGTTGTCGAATTGGAGGGGCGTTTTACCCCTTAGGGCTTTGAGGACTGTAGTTTTGTCCTGGATGTTGAGAAAAGTAACTATTAAATCCCTGGTGGCCATGGTCGCTGCTCTTGGTGGCTTGGGGATTCTGAAGAGGCAGTCAGGGCTAATGCTTTTGGCGTGTGAGGATGCCAATATGTTTGCGAGCAGGTGTTCAACGAACTGTGGGAGCTCCACATCGGGTATTGCTTCTGTGACCCCTCGAACCTTCAGGTTAGTTCTCCGCCTAGCGTCTTCATATTCTGCAAGGCGGTGGTCGTGGTTCCACTGTTGTGTTTGCAGGTTGCTCACAGCATTGGTTGTGGAGGCTCTTTCGAGGGTGCCCATGCGGGCCATCAGGCCCTTCAGGTCTCCCCGTACCGCTGTGATGGCTTTTTGTAGGGTCGTTTGTAGGTCAGTGAGCAGTTGTTTTAGGACCGCTTTAGTTACCGGAGCTGAGTCCTGGTTGGGTTTGTGCTGCTGTGGGGGTTGTCCCGCTGTGGGAGCTGGTAGATACTCTTCTCTAGAGAGGTCATCGGAGAAATCAGAGCAGCCTCCGTGGAGTGCCGCCATATTGGGCCCATTTGCGCATCGTGCCTGTCTCCACATATCCCCGATAGTGATCCCAGAGGTGGGTTTTTTTCCGCGATTATTTTCTTGGTTTTTAGTCCCATGTTGTTTGGGGCATGCAGGGTGTCTTGGCTTACAGTTTGTAGCCCGGAGCTCTCGTTTAATGCGGCTGCTTGCTCCTGCCTTTCGAAAGGTTTTTAATCCAGATTGGCATTTACAGAACTCTCCCTTACTCCATATATTTACAACTGTGCCCCCCACTCCTTCATTCGTGTTCAACATAGCCTGAATTGTTGGGAGTTCTGCTTCAATAAAGATCAGGTTTACTGTGAAAGGCAATTTGCATCCATTGTTAAAAGACTGTGGGATTCCCAGGCTGGGAGCACGAGGGGCGGCGAAACCTCTGGCGGAGGCTCATTGTAAAGCGAATGTCAATGCACATCACGGCACTGCCAGCATGACCTGTATATCATACTACAAGTACAGAGTGTGGGAACTGCTAGGAGCCCGAAAAGTGTGATCAATACGGATTAATAACAGCTCTTCGACAGAATAAGAGCAAACATGGAGAATTGCAAACAAATATCCCTCCCTTCTTTTAAAGTGTGAAAATGAGATAACTGATAAAAATAACTTAATTTATTGCATTTTTGGCCATGCAAATGCCAACACTAATAGACTATACACAAGCACTACATACAGACTACACAAACACAGGGCTTCACAGAGTTTTAACAATAAGCATCTTGTTCCAACCCAGCTGATAATCTCACAGAGCTACTGTTCAATATCCCTTTCACTAGTCATGGCCCGAACCTTTTGTCCAAAGTGATAATGTTACATATTACATCGTGGTTCGAATAAGGAGGCTATTTATGTAGAAATGGACCATCAACTCCCCCATTATGACACATTATATGGATGGTATTCACACAGCTTGGCTCAGTTGCCCAACTTCTATATATTAAAATGTAAAAAAATAAAAAGTAAAAATACATGAAAATAGATTACTTCACAGTTACATCCAAGTGTGACCTACAAAAGGCTTTGTGTGGACCCCATCCGGCCAAGACTTTCTGATGCTACTGGATTCAGTCCTGTACACAGACCTGAGCAGAATCCTTCTGCTTAATAGCACGTATTTCAAATCTAACAATACCAAATCTAACAATGAACACACAATGATCTAGCAACACAGATCCAGGCTGCTGTGACATATCTGCTCCTATCTTGCAGCAATAACAAAATTGCAATAGGTTGGTCCCGATGGGGAGTGAGAGGTTTAAGCTAAATTGAATCTCTTAAAAAATGTGGAACCTTGGCAAATTTGATGATTACTTGATTGAAACGTACCTGTACACACCGATGGAATAAAGCTTGCAATACCCGTGATAGGTTTGTACAAAAATTAGGTTTAGTCAATAAGCCCCTAGATATTATAAGTGTCAGTGAAATATAAATTTCCAAGCTCTGTTTCTAAACCCAAGGCAGGCAGAGCTTGTATGACAGGACATCATCACTTTTTTTGGGTGGTGGGTGGTGAGGGGGTACATGGGTTCAGCACTAAAACTAGCTGTCAAGAAAAAGGGAGGGGGGGGGAGAGAAACAAATCACAGAGAGTAAATCAACGTACACTACCATCTGCACATTCGCTTAATATTCCTGCTTAATAAAAGGCAAGTAAATTCAATAAAAATAAAATGTTATAACACTGGACAGGGCATGATCGTAAAGAAATAGGCGTTTCCCATCCCTTTAAACGGACACTGAAACGTGTTAAGATATACATGATATTAGAAACATTCAGCTAACCCAGCTACCATAGCAAATGCTACAAACTGCAGGGTATAGACGTCAGGTACAACCTTGCAGTAGTCATGGTGGGAGATAAAGTGTGGACATTTCTAGTAGTGGAAGAACACAGGGCAAAACTTCAGTAACAAACTTCCTTACGAAGACTTTGTGATTAACAAAACCACAAACAAAGCAGGTCTTGCATAACAGTTAACAACATATGATGAGACACTTCTCCATTCTGAAATTAAAACAAAGGCCAGCGGTTTGAGATGTGGACATGTCCTTAAATAACAGAATCCAGAATTTTAATTCCTATGTAGAGGATCAATCTCTCTGTATTCTCACATTCCTAACAGTCGTCAGTAATGTTGAGGCTAATACAGGAAAAAAAACAAAGCTGTGAAATGAAAATAAGGGCACTGCCATGTGATGGTGTGTTTACAAATTAAAGGAACGCAGGAGTAGTGTGTTTCATTGCCAAGGGGCCTCCTGTGTGTTGGAGACCCTCCTGGCTGTGAAAGCGATAATTAATCGTCACTGCTTCTTTGAAGTGCACGCCAGAGAAATCTCAAAGCTCAGAAAGGCTGTGACTGCAAGACAGGGAGTTGGTCAATATTTGTAGAATTTAAATGAAGCCACAAACAAACAAATATATATATATCCAGGTCTCTGAGGAGGGGGCGGGGAAGGGACAGTTAGGAAATCCCTGATATAAGGAAATTGTAACTTAAGCTCCATTCCATACCAAGTGCCCACAACATGATCCTGGAAACAACAGATTTGGTTGTGGCCTCACACATGGCCAGTAACTTCTCATTTAAAAGAGATTAAGCGTAGTTTTCTCTAATCGTTTATTAAATGAGGAGACTGGGATTCACAAGTGACTGGATGCTGCTACCAGCTTCCATTGCATTTCTCATTCATTGTATCCCCCTCCTAGTGAACGTGGAGCTGCTTGTGGCTGTATTGCACAGGTACACACTTCTCATTAACAATACATCTGGGAAATGGAGAGCTGTACAATTTTCTGCTAGGTGTTTCCCTGAAATGGAAGACAAAGGAGACGAAGCAACAGTATTATTAGTTATAAAGCGCCTACGAATTCTGCAGCGCTGTACAGTAGGTGGACTAACAGAAAAGTATTTGCAGCAAGACGCGTTGGACGCACAAGAACAGAGGGTTCAAAACAAGCTTACATATTAGCGGAGTGGGGTAAAGTAAAGAGGTAAGGGTGGGATGTATAAAAGGTTCCATTTAAAAAAAATAATGCATCATGATCAGACATCATGCAAACATATTGGGAAGCATGTCTATCAGATGACTTCTGGAAATGTACTCCTTACTGACAGTAATACCAGTCTGTAACCTGATACAAAATAACTAGACAACATAAACATAGTCAGAGGATAACAAGCAATATCATTCACACTAACTTCAATTGCATTTTCTTCAATTCTGGTTTTTGTATAATCTGAACTAGATTCATTTACAAAAATTGAGAATGATAGTTTTAGTTCTGGATTATATAAATTTAGGGACCAAATAATGAGGGAGAATTATTTTTAAAAAAAAGTGTCAAAACTAAAACAGGGAAAGCTCGAACGCAATCACCATAAAAACCAATGGAATGTTCCTGTTAATTGTTGCAATTTTCTGTTATCATCATCATCATCGCAACTTATATAGCGCCAACAGATTCCGCAGTGCTTTACAATATTATGAGAGGGGGGATTTAGCTATAAGTAGGACAATTACAAGAAAACTTACAGGAACAATATGTAAAGAGGACCCTGCTCAGACGAGCTTACAGTTTATAGGAATGGAGTTTATATCTGTTAGCAACACTATTATATTAATCTGGCCCACTTTACTAATTAGGAAAAAATAAATACAATAAGGTCTTCTCAAAAATACACCCATACATACATAAAAATACATATTTGCACATAACAGGTTATATGCCAGAAACATTTTACAGACAGTGAATTACAACTTGTCAGGCTTTTGGTAACACCCATCCCAAGCTGTGGCCAGGTTTGGTTTCCAGATACAAAAGTATAATGCAGCATTTCAGAGAAAAACATAAGACTGTGCTTCCATGTGGGGGGTGATTTACATTTTGCTGTGGCCTACGACCGATTATCTGACAGATGTTAATCCATCATCTACAGCACGCTAAATGGCAGAGGAAGCTTTTAGTCTGGCAAGGCATTTTGGGAAATACATGGCACCTCGATTGGTAAAGAAATCCATAGCATCCTGGATGGCAGAGCATCATGGAAGATGTAGTCCACAGCATCATTAATGGCAGAGGCTGCATATGACATGCTAGCCGTAGATTGCCTTAGGCGTATGATGGATCTCTTTCTGGGAATGTGTAAAAAGCACTGCTCTAGCAATGAATAGGCTGAAATTTAAGTGAAAATAAATAATCTGGTCCAGTCCGACGACTGTTTCTTGCATTCCATATTAAAAGTACCCTGTGTTCTTCCATACAGGAAGTGTGGACAGTCACATTGCCAGAGGCTTGCTTCTAATGAATGGCAATCTCAAATGTACATAGCTATAGATAGCCAGTGGAAACTAACCATGAACAGTGAAATATCCAGTGACTAAACTAGGGCACTCTAGTATTGTGAGAAAGCTGCAGGGAAAAATGCCAAGCAAGTCATAGGAAGATTTTCAGTGGTACCTTAAAACCGACCTCTGTAACCATGTCCAATTATAATGAAATTGTATTCGTGCTATATCATGTTTAGAGGATCTGGTGATCACCAGACTATAGTACTTACCAATACATATACCAAACTCCATTCCTAGCACTTTGCTCCATACAGTCTTTTCATACAAAACCATGTGTTGGCTGGGTATCAATGGAGCTTACAAACATATGGGTGCCAGGGCTACCCACCATTGGCAAGAACAGAGAGCACTGTTTGTTTGAGTACCAAATCTGAATCACATCTCTGCTAATTCCACAATGTCAAATTCCTGTACACAGAGGCCTCTGTAAGGTTTCCAATCATTAGGCTTAGCATGCAGGTCCAGGTGACACACAAAGCAACAGATAACATCCCTTGCTGGCTCTCAAAGTCAGTGTTGTTTGCAATTAGTATTTTTAGCACTAAATTCCATCATGTGATACTGAGCAGTAGAACAGTAAGTAAAGTATGAAGGTCCTACATGTAGCCATTTATTGAACTGTAACAAAAGTGACAATGAAAAAGAAATAGCAAATTACTCCGTTCCTTTAATGAGGGGCTCCAAGAACACTCAGTACAATGTGTCTCTAAACACATTTGCTACAATGCTAGACAACCACTTCTATGAGATCGCAACTATAGTGACTAAACAACAACAACAAACCCCTATGCTGGAAATTGATAATCAAAGTAGGGATGAAAACATTTTTCACAAAGTGTGTATTGTATACCTTATTAAAACAACACAACACACAGCCAGGACTTTGGATCACATGGTACAGAACATGCAATTCTCGACTATTCACATAATGCAAAAATAACGCATACACTAAACATCACAAAGGAGCTGCTTGAGAGATTCTGTAATCCTGGCAATAACTACATCCAAACCATAGGACTGGTGGGAAAAAAGCAGCCATTTCACAAGATGAAACAATAATGATACAAATTAAGTTACAGGGCACACATAATAATCTTATCAGGCTACTTAAACAATAAGTCAGACTTTCAGAAAGCAACAATGTTTAAAACCAAGGGATAATGTTATGGGCATGCACAGATAAATATAGTAAATAACAATTTGTTAGCCTACGAAAATAAGGACTCTGGCAGACTGCAATAATGGCATATTTATGGATCCCAAAGTGGCACGGCTTAGGTCACAAGTTAATATTGCTTGAGAAAGATCTCATGATTAAATTGTTGTCATTTATGGTGCAATAATGTACCACCTTCGTAGTCTGACTTGCTTTGAATATTCAAGGATTTTTTGGTGGAGTCCCCAATGCTCTACTCCAGACAGATTACTCATCATTACCATTATGTTTAACTATTCTCCATATTTGACACATTTCTGTGTAGGCTATCTGCAGCTGAATAAAAAGCAAGGACCTAAAATATATGAACATGCAAATTAAAATAAGAACTTCCCAGCCATATCACATTTCTTAACAAATTAACATTTCGTAAGGTTCATTATAATAAATAACAACAACAACAACAACAACGTATTTAACCAGGAAAGGTACGTTTAGAATGCTCTGGTTCTCAAGTACGTCCTGGGGATGTTACTATTACCCAATGTAATGGTACTCATTATGAAACCTTTCTTTTTTTAGGATGGACACGGCAGTACTTTGAAAGTAAAAAGCAAACACATACCAACTGTAAGCCTCAGACATCCATACCCTTTTACAAGAAAAGCATCATAAAAAATTTGGAAACATTTACGGAGGAACTTCCAACTCCTATCAACAGCAAGAAGGTTGGAGACTATCCACAGTATACATCTGGCTAGGCTTCCTGAATTGCAAAGCAAAAATTATAGCCATCACAGGTATAGAAGTCAGCTCAAAATGTCTTATTGGCCCCTAAATGCTGGTTAACAACCATGTGAATGCTGGAAATATGCGCCCAGGAAAATTCAGAAGTCAAATTTGAAAATCTCAAGATATCCCAGCTGAATAAGGATGCCTGGATACAGTTTGAATTACAATGCAAAAAAAAAAAAAAAAAAAGTCTAAATATACCTTGATCCAGGGCAAAAAACATGTTATAAAAAGCAGCTCAAGCTAAAGGCTGCACTCACCTAGCATGTTATCCCAGCTACAGCACACCCCTCCCTTGGGGTCTAGGGGAAGGAACGGAGAACCGACGTGTCATCTTACAGCTATGGCCACAGACACAACATAGGCCTTGAGTGATCCCCACTGAAACCAATCACAATACGCTGATTTTGTTATGGGCACCCACCCTCTATCAAGGCCAGCCAATAGCGGGTGAATATGGCTGGCAGTTCTCACCGGCTGTTTCCCAACAATTCATACTGATTGGAGAGGAAACGGATAACCAGGAAAGATCAGATTAACTAAGAAAAAATACTAACTGCTTCAATGCCAGAAGGGATTACAATGCATTATGCCCTGGAGACTACCTCAGGACATAAAAAACATAGCCCAAATCACTGAAGGAGTAACACACGCAGTAAAGGCACTGACTGTAAAATCTAATATTTTTATAACTGCGCTAAGAAACTCACTAGGGTTTTTCTACTAAATGAGGAATGGCACATTACAGGCAAAACAACTAAATAGTGGATTTGAGCTTTTATTCCAATTCAGGAATTTTGACTTTGCAATTTCCTTGTTGAGTCTGGTTTAGAGAATAAATGTGTGAAAATGTAAGCCACAGACTGCAATCTTTAGAAATACAAGATTAAGATCAACTGAATTAACTCGCATAGGATTAGTAGCAGACAATATTGAAGTCTATAACACAAATCTTAATAAGCCAAGCCAGCAATCCCTTTTTAAAGAATTAAGAATCATGAGGCTTGTAGCTCCACCACAAAGAATCAGCAGTATTTTCAAGTAACCTAAATCCACAAGCAGTGATAAAAACAAATATGCAGCCCATATAATCTTCAACCAGAGCTGCACTGGGATTATCAAAATACACATTACATTTACAAAGTGACCATAAATTCCACAATGAGCGAATGTATTGATTTATTTGTATGATAACATAAAATTAAGGAACAGAAAAAGATCAGAAACAAATGTAACATCACTGCAATGCAGAAGTTAGCATCATTCAACCCCCTCCAAAAAATCTGTGGATCTGAACCTGTTGTATAAAAATGTACTCACAATAATAAAACAAACAAATTCTGTCACCTCAACTAGGCACAAATACAGTGTCTGACCATATAGGACTGTGAAACTACCCAGACACCAACATGTGGCATAGGATAGGCTGCACAGTTAGCTGCCCATATTTTATGCCACTAAGCAATTATGCAATGGAGGAAAGACTGTAAATATTATGCCTGTTACCAGGGATTTTTAAAGAAACACTGTAGTCACACAGACCACTTAATCTTAATGAGAATAGATACCCCATTAAAGAGCACAGTTATATACCCTGCCCTCAAACTCCAGGCTGCCACCACCCACAGTAACCTGTTATAGTAAAATGTTTTATGTGATCCATGTAAATCTGTCACATCATCTCTTGGCACACTCTCCTATTAGAATTCAAATCTCAGGATTAGATGTGATGCTTCAGATTACAATGTGTCAACACAATATCAGTCCTCAATGACACCCGCAGTCTCTGTGAATTGCTCAGTCTACATGTGACACCCTCAATCTCTAAAAGTCTCTGGGTGACACCACCAGTCTCTATGTGAAAGTCAAAGTGACACATCAGACTGAAAGAGACAATCTCTGAGTGACACCGAGTCTCCATGTGGCAACCCCAGTATCTATAGGACAGTCTCTGGGAGACACCCCCAGTCTATGTGACATCCTCAGTCTCATGTGTAACTGTCTCAAAAATGACACCCTCTGAATCTAAGTGACAGTCTGTGTGACATTTACAGTGACACCCTCAGTCTGTGAGTCTCTCCGTGTGACACCCACAGTCTGTGCGACAGCCTCTCTGCGTGACACCCACAGTCTGTGCGACAGCCTCTCTGCGTGACACCCACAGTCTGTGCGACAGCCTCTCTGCGTGACACCCACAGTCTGTGCGACAGCCTCTCTGCGTGACACCCACAGTCTGTGCGACAGCCTCTCTGCGTGACACCCACAGTCTGTGCGACAGCCTCTCTGCGTGACACCCACAGTCTGTGCGACAGTCTCTCTGCGTGACACCCCCAGTCTGTGTGACAGTCTCTCTGCGTGACACCCCCAGTCTGTGTGACAGTCTCTCTGCGTGACACCCCCAGTCTGTGACAGTCTCTCTGTGTGACAGTCTCTCTCTCTCTCTCTCTCTCTCTGTGTGACAGTCTCTCTCTCTGTGTGACACCCCCAGTCTGTGTGTCAGTCTCTGTGCGACACCCCCAGTCTGTGTGACAGTCTCTGTGCGACAGTCTCTCTCTCTCTCTGTGCGACAGTCTCTCTCTCTCTCTCTCTCTCCCTGTGCGACAGTCTCTCCAGTCTGTGCGACACCCCCAGCCTGTGTGACACCCCCAGCCTGTGTGACACCCCCAGCCTGTGTGACAGTCTCTCTCTCTCTCTGTGCGACAGCCTCTCTCTCTCTCTCTGTGCGACAGTCTCTCCAGTCTGTGCGACAGCCTGTGTGACACCCCCAGCCTGTGTGACAGTCTCTCTGACACCCCCAGCCTGTGTGACAGTCTCTCTGACACCCCCAGCCTGTGTGACAGTCTCTCTGACACCCCCAGCCTGTGTGACAGTCTCTCTCTGTGTGACACCCCCAGTCTGTGTGACACCCCCAGTCTATGTGACACCCCCAGTCTATGTGACAGCCTCTGTGTGACAGTTCCTCTGTGTGACACCCCCAGTCTGTGTGACATTCTGTGTGACAGTCTCTCTCTGTGTGTGTGACAGTCTGTGTGTGTGACAGTCTGTGTGTGTGACAGTCTGTGTGTGTGACAGTCTGTGTGTGACAGTCTGTGTGTGTGACCGTCTCTCTCTCTCTCTGTGTGACAGTCTCTCTCTCTCTGTGTGACAGTCTCTAAGTGTGACAGTCTCTGTGTGTGACAGTCTCTCTCTCTGTGTGTGACAGTCTCTGTGTGTGACAGTCTCTCTCTCTCTCTCTGTGTGTGACAGTCTCTGTGTGTGACAGTCTCTCTCTCTCTGTGTGTGACAGTCTCTCTCTCTCTGTGTGTGACAGTCTCTGTGTGTGACAGTCTCTCTGTGTGACAGTCTCTCTGTGTGACAGTCTCTCTGTGTGACAGTCTCTCTCTGTGTGTGACAGTCTCTCTGTGTGACAGTCTCTGTGTGTGACAGTCTCTGTGTGTGACAGTCTCTGTGTGTGACAGTCTCTCTCTCTGTGTGTGTGTGTGACAGTCTCTCTCTCTGTGTGTGACAGTCTCTGTGTGTGACAGTCTCTCTCTCTGTGTGTGACAGTCTCTGTGTGTGACAGTCTCTGTGTGTGACAGTCTCTGTGTGTGACAGTCTCTGTCTCTCTCAGTCTCTGTGTGTGACAGTCTCTCTCTCTCAGTCTCTGTGTGTGACAGTCTCTCTGTGTGACAGTCTCTGTCTTTCTGTCTCTGTGTGACAGTCTCTCTCTGTGTGTGACAGTGACAGTCTCTCTGTGTGACAGTCTCTCTCTCTCAGTCTCTGTGTGTGACAGTCTCTCTGTGTGACAGTCTCTCTCTCTCAGTCTCTGTGTGACAGTCTCTCTCCCCCCCGGTGTCTCTGTTTGCCGTCTCCCCGGTCCCCGGTCTCACCAGCCGCTCTCTCCCTCTCCCGGTCTCGTTGTTTCCGGCGGACACGCAGCGCGTTACGTCAACAACGGGCGGGGCGGCGGCTGTGACGCAACTAGGCATCACGTGACACACCCCTTCCTGCCTGGACAGAAATGAACAGATCATAATACAGAGTAATAATAATAATAATAATAACTAAATAATAATATATAATAATATATAGTAATTAATAATACTAATATATAATAATAATTAAATAATAATAATATATAATAATAATAATAAATAATAATATATAATAATAATGATACATAGTAATAATAATATATTATAATAAATAATAATAACTAAATAATAATAATAATTAATAATAATAATATATAATAATAACAACTAAATAATAATATATAATAATAATTAAACAATAATAATTAAATAATAATAATATATAATAATAAATAATAATAACTAAATAATAATATATAATAATAATTAAACAATAATAATTAAATAATAATATATAATAATAAATAATAATAATAATAACTAAATAATAATATATAATAATAATATATAATAATAATAATAATTAAATCATAATAATAATATGTAATAATAATATATGATAAATAATAATAATAAATAATAATATATAATAATACATACTAATAATAAATAATATATAATAATATATAGCAATACTAATAATATATACTAACAATAATAATATATAATATTAATAATATAGTAATAATAATAATTAAATAATAATATATAATAATAAATACTAATAATAAATAATAATATATAATAATATATAGTAATAATAACAATACATAGTAATAATAATAATTAAATAATATATAATAATAATAATTAAATAATATATAATAATATATAGTAATAATAATAATATATCATAATAATATATAGTAATACTAATAATACATAGTAATAATAATAGTAATATATACTAAAACTAATAATAATATATAATAATATATAGTAATAATATGTAATATATAGTAATACTAATAATAATCTATAATAATAATAATATATAGTAATACTAATAATAATATAAAATAATATATAGTAATACTAATAATAGTAATAATAATAATATATAGTAAAACTAATAATAATACATAGTAATACTAATAATAAATAGTAATAATAATATATAATATATAATAATATATAATATATAGTAAAACTAATAATAATATATAATAATATATAATACATAGTAATAATAATATATAATAACAATCATATATAATAAAAATAATACATAGTAATAATAATAATATATAATGATAATATATAATAATAACAATCATATATAATAATAATAATACATAGTAATAATAATAAAATATATTTATATTAATATATAGTAATAATAATATATAGTAATACTAATAATACATGGTAATAATAATAATAATATATAATAATATGTAATATATAGCAAAACTAATAATAATATATAATAATAATATATAATACATAGTTATAATAATATATAATAATAACAATCATATATAATAATAATACACAGTAATAATAATAATATATAATAATAATATATAATAACACTCATAGATAATAATACATAGTAATAATAATATATAGTAATAATAATATATAATTATAATAATATATAGTAATAATAATATATAGTAATAATAATATATAATATATAGTAATACTAAGAATACATAATAATAATATATAATACATAGTAATTCTAATAATATATAATAATAATAATAATACATAGTAATTCTAATAATAATATATAATAATATATAGTAATACTAATAATAATAATATGTAATATATAGTATAACTAATAATAATAATATATAGTAATTTATAGAAATTCCAATAATATATAATAATATATAATATAGTAATAATAATAAAAATAATAATAGTATATAGTAATACTAATATATAATATATAATAATTCTAATAATATATAATACATAGTATTTCTAATAATAATATATAATAATAATAATATATAGTAATAATAATAATATATAATACATAGTAATTCTAATAATAATATATAATAATAATAATATATAGTAATACTAATAATAATAATTCATAATATGTAATATATATAGTAATACTAATAATAATATATAATAATAATACATACTAATAATAATAATAATAATAATAATATATAATAGAGAGTAATACTAATAATATATAATATATAGTAATTCTAATAATATATAATACATAGTAATAATACATAGTAATACTAATAATAATAATATATAGTCATTCTAATAATAATATATAGTAATACTACTACTACTTCTACTACTATTAATAATAATATATAATATATAGTAATGCTAATAATAATATATAATATATAGTAATACTAATAATAACATATAATAATATGTAATATATAGTAATACTAATAATAATATATAATACATAGTAATACTAATAATAATATATAATAATAATATATAATAATAATATATAATAATACTAATAGTAATATATAATATATAGTAATACTACTACTAATAATAATGTTTAATAATAACAATATTATATAATAATATATAATACATAGTAATTCTAATAATAATATATAGTAATACTACTAATAATAATATGTAATATGTAGTAATACTACTAATAATATATAATAATAATAATACATACTAATACTAATAATAATATATAATACATAGTAATACTAATACATAATAATATATAGTAATACTAATAATAATATATAATAATAATATATAGTAATACTAATAATAATGTATAGTAATAGTAATATATAATATATACTAATACAAATAATAATATATAATAATAATATATAGTAATTCTAATAATAATATATAATAAATAGTAATACTACTACTAATAATAATAATATAAAATATATAGTAATGCTAATAATATTATATAGTATATAGTAATACTACTACTAATAATAATATATAATATATAATATAAAGTAATACTAATAATAACATATAATAATAATATATACTATATAATAATACTAATAATAATATATAATACATAGTAATACTAATAATAATATATAATAATATATAGTAATACTAATAGCAATATATAATATATAGTAATACTAATAATAATATATAATACATTATAATAATATATAATACATTGTAATAATAATATATAATATATAGTATATTCTAATAATATATAATCCATAGTAATAATACATAGTAATACTACTAATAATATACAATATATAGTAATACCAATAATAATATATAATATTTAGTAATGCTAATAATACATAATAATAATATATAGTACTAATAATACATAATATTAATAATACTACTAATAATATAATATGTAGTAATATTAATAATGCATAATATTAATAATACTAATAATACATAATAATAATAACATGTAATACATAGTAATACTACTACTACTAATAATAATATATATTAATACTAATAATAATATATAGTAATAATATTAATACATAATAATAATATATAATAATAATATATAGTAATACTAATAATGTATACTATTAATAGTACTAATAATAATATAATATATAGTAATCCTAATAATGCTTACCATTAATAATACTAATACTAGTATAATATATAGTAATACTAATAATACATAATAATATGTAATATATAGTAATACTAATAATGCATACTATTAATAATATTATATAATATATAGTAATGCTAATAATAATAATATATAGTAATAATAATATATAATACATAGTAATACTAATAATAATATATAATATATAGTAATACTAATTATACTATAATAATAATAATAATAATATATAATCTATAGTAATAATACTAATATATAATATATTAATACTAATAATACATAATACATAATATTAATAATAATAATATATAGTATTAATATTAATAATAATATATAATACATAGTAATAATAATAATATATAATATATGGTAATACTAATAATAATATATAATATATAGTAATACTATTAAAACATAACAATAATATATAATAATAATAATGTATTTGTGTGTCTCGATAAGTATCTGTGTGTTCCGATGTGTGTCAGTGTCTGTATCTGTGTATCTGTATGTGTGTCATGGTATGTATCCTTAAGTGTGTCAGTGTATGTATACATGTGTCTGTGTATCTGCATGTTTGTCAGTATAGGTATATGTGTGTCAATGAGTGTGTCTCTGTGTATATGCATGTGTGTCTGTGTGTATCTGCATCTGTGTTAGGATGTGCATCTGTGTGTCAGATGCATACACTGACATACTTAAGGATACATACCCTAACACACAAATGCACACCCTGACTCAAAGATGCACACCTTGACACATATGCAGATAAACACACAGACATGCATACACAGAGACACACATTGACACACAGATACATATACTGACAAACATGCAGATACAGACACATATATAAGTACACTGACACACTTAAGGATACATACCCTGACACACATACAGATACATACCCTGACACACATACAGATACACACCTTGACACACATACAGATACACACCCTGAAACACAGACACCCTGACACACAGATACACACATTGACACATTCAGATACAGAGGCACATATATACATAAACTGACACACATAGATACACACAATGACATACCGATACATACTCTGACACACATACAGACACAAATACCCACACTGACACACAGACATACAGATACAGACACTGACACACAAATACACTGACACACAGATACAGATACTGACACAGAAATACATACTATATATGTATATGTATGTCTGTATCTGCATGTGTGCCAGAGTCTGTATCTGTATGTCTGTGTGTCAGTGTGGGTATCTGTGTCAGAGTATGTATCTGTGTTTCACTGTATCTGCATATGTATCAGGGTATGTATATTTGTGTCAGGGTATGTATCTGTGTACCTATATGTGTATCAGTGTGTGTATATGTGTGTCTGTGTATCTGCATGTGTGTCAGGTTTTTTTTCTGTCTGTATCTGCATGTGTGTCAGTATTTGTATCTGTGTATCTGTATGTATGTTTTGTGTGTCTGTGTATGTATGCCAGTGTGTATATCTGCATGTGTTTCAGTGTTTGCATCTGTGTATCTGCAGATGTTTGTGTGTGTGTGTGTGTGTGTGTGTGTGTGTGCATATCTGTATCTATATGTGTGTCAGTGTTTATTTATGTGTGTCTGCATGTGTGACAGTGTGTGTCTGGGGCAGAGGAGTAGCAGGGGGAGCCTAGGGCAGAGAAGAACTGGGAGAGCCTGAGTCAGAGGATAAGCAGTTAAAGCCTGGGGCAGGGGAGAAGCAGGGAGAGCCTAGGGCAGAGAAAAAGGGGATGTGGGACAGAGAAAAATATAGGTTTGAAATAATTGCAACTATATTAATTACAAACATTTTGTTAATGGGAGTGGTACAATTTATGGAAATGGACTGCCGAGGGGTACTCAAGTGAAAAAAGGTTGGTGTAGAACATTCCAAACCATAGAACTCATATCTAGCTCCGCTCTTATCTAAGAGTGAATGCGGCTAAGGTGCCGCTAGCCTCTCTTGCCTTGACTACTCCAATCCTTTTCTCATTAGTCTTACACATTCCCACCGCCCCCCCACCCTGTCTGTCAGTCCCTACATTGGCTTCCCTTAAGATATAGGGTTCAATTTAAAATTCTGGTACTTACTTACAAAGCTCTACACAATGCTGCTCCTACCCTTTCTATCCTCACTAATACGCAAGTATGTCCGGTCTAAGCCACTACGCTCTGATGAAGACCAGCGTCTATTCTCTGTTTGTACTCGCACCTCTGACGCCCAGCTTCATGACTTCTCTAGGGCTGTGTTGTTCCCATGTAACTCCATTACCTGCTCCGTCAGACTCTCCCCGAGTCTCCAAACCTTCAAAAATCTTTAAAACTCAATTATTTAGCAAAGCATGTCAGTTATACTGTTAATAGCTTTCGTTCCCCGCATCTTGGTAACTCACCTTGCTTCCTCTCCTGCAACTGTGTCAACCAGAAATAACTAAGCCTTTTATTTTAAACTATTCTAGTAACCTACTTTTCCCATGCATGAAATACATCCTACCCTTAACATTTGTGCAACTTTACCCCACGACCCCTAGAATGTAAGCTTGTTTGAGCAGGGCCCTCATCATTCCGCTGTTCCTGCGCGACCAACTCAACTTGTGGCAAATACTTGTCTGTTACACCACCTATTGTACAGCTCTGCAGACTTTGTTGGCGCTTTATAAATAATAATAATAATTTACTGATATTAATATATTCATATGTATATGCATAAATATGCTCCTGACTACACAAAACGTCAATTCGCAAGTGGGGATTACTTCGTTTTATGATAGAAAAGAATGGCCTGTAAAAAATAAACTTTATTTTATTTATTGCAATTTGTGCGCATTCTGGACTTAGTGGGTTAAAAAGCAAACCTCACTTTGTGCAAAACTGGCTTTTACTACAAAAATGGCGGTATGTGACATCACATTTACTCCAGTGTCTGTTACAAGTCTGCAACCGTACCGGAAAAGTGACCTTTCAACACTATTTTATCTTTCGTTTGTTTTGTCTTCTATGTTAGCACAAGACGAACAGGAAGCCCTGGCTTGGAATCGTGTGAATTGTCGGATCCCTTCTCAGCCGCACAGATGGTGTTTCTGATGTTCGCCATAGACCAGTGATATCTAACTCTGGCACGCCAGATGTTTTTGATTTACATTTTGCAATGTGTAATTGAAGACATCTTGGGTGCCACGGTTAAAGTTAGTAGTTAAAGAGACACTACAGTGTCAGAAACACAAACATGTCAACAGGAATGGATGTTTACGCGCCCAGCCTCCCTCTCTGTGGAGATGGCAGGGTTAACACCGCGCCGATCTCACAGCCGCTGATCCCACCTCCATGGCTGAGGTCATCAATCTTGAGGATCTCAACCAATCCAATGCTTTTCCACAAGAATGCATTGTGGATCTCAGCCAATCCAATGCTTTCCTAATAGGAAAGCATTCGGGGGCTATTGCACATACATGACAAAACACCGTGCTGTGCCAATCAGCATCTTCTCATTAAATCAATGCATCTCTGTGGGGATTGTTTAGCACCACCATGCAGCACTGGACCATCTGAGTCACTGCCACTAGAGGTGTTACTAGGCAACAATGTAAACACTACAGTACTAAGACTGCAGGGACAGACTATAGACAACAGAACCGCTACATTAAACTGTAGTGGTTCTGGTGACTATAGTGTCCCTTTCAAATCTATCTGCAGTGCCAATATTTGCCATCACTGCTACAGGGTACTTCCTCCTTTGGAACTGGATACTGGCAAATTGACAAATATATTGGTCATCACAAATGCACAAACAATAAGATGACTAAAACACTTCCCTTTGCATCCCGATGCTCTTTGCCGCGTAGCAGAGTCTCTGTTGGCAGCCAGTCAGCACAGTGACTCATACAGACTGTATCATCATCCAACTCCCCTTCTGCTTAGTGGGAATGACTTTATTGATAGTTCGGTGCATGCAAAGACTTGCTGTTTAGCTGACGTAGTTGAGGGTAGTATGGGAGAGCAATTTAAAAATATCAGGATCGATGGATTATTTACTAAATATTCAGTTACAGTGAGTTGAGACATCCAAAACAAAGACCCAAATAGGCAGTTTAGAAATAATCTCCTATTCAGGATAGGAGGTGGGGAGGGGACACAGTGGTCATAATTGTTCCTTATCATCATGGCGGCTGGAAAGGGGTTGTGTTAACATGTACTAGGGGTGACGACCAGGCTTCAATGCCAATCAGTGCTACCCGTATTTAGAGAGATAGTCCAAACATTGGTCACTTGTGTGGAAATACTCCACTCCTTAATTTTTTTTAAAATAAATTTCACCACTGTACAGGAGTGAAAATAAAATTAAGCATCAATGATTAAATTACATATCAGAAGTCAATGCTAACACACTACATTATTTATTTATTTATTTATTTTTGTCATCAATTTTTATTGAGGCACAAATAGTACTTACATCGAGTAATAATCGTGATGAAAACACATTGGGTATAGAGTAGTACTACGATCCATGGAATCAATTGCACGAGCTTATTTTGCATAAAGGGTCATGAACTGAACAGTGATAAAATTCTAAAGAACAATGTGTAGATCAGCACATTTTTGTTTTACTGGCCCGTTTTAAAATGAGAGAAAAAAAGACGAACATACAAATGGAAACGAAGAGGAACTAGGTAAATAAAATAAACCACAAAACAAGACTAGTGAGGTAGGGAGGAAATAAAAATTAAAAACCTGGAAAATCAGGCAATTAAAAACAAAAAAAGGAGAAGCCTGGCCAATGCTCAGGTCCCAGAAAGCGGGGCATCAAGGCATCTTCCTCTCGGGACGAATGGGGTAATTCTCGCTGGGTGCCACCCCTGTGTGGAAAGGCAGAGAAGCTTAGCGGATCAGTGTTAAGGCGCTACATAATATTTTATTTGAATAACTAACATATATATTCTGCAAATATCCTTGGGTTATTTTTACAAATAAGAATTAGAAAGAAAATATTTTTTCGAGATTTTCGCCGGAAGCTGGGAAATACCTGGAGCAGCTAATAATAATATTGAGTATCACTGAGAAGTGTAGGAAAAATGTTACAAGATTACTGAGAATTCTGGATTTAACATGCTAATGTAAAACAGATCAAAAGGATAAGTGGGCTCAGAATCTCGGTGGAGCATGAAAAAAGTTAAGACTGTGCCAACGTAGCATAAGGACTTACTGACACCCACTGACTAAGAGAGTACCCACATGGGACTAGACCCAAAGGCTGACACTGCTCCCACATGCCTTAGGGACTTCCAGTAAGTAGCAGAGACAGTGCCCATATGGCGTAGGGAGGTACTTAAGGAGACTAAAAGAGACCCTTTAAGAGTTAATCCTGTGAACGATAAAAGTGTTCCAGGTATACATTAATGGAGTGAGACTGCTAAGTGAATTTAAAATTTTAGACCAAAGCAGCTAAACTTAAAGCATAGCTGATTTCCAAGATTTTTTTCCAGTTATAACAATTTGGCCTTAAAATTTGAAATTCACTCTGGATTCTCACTTTTGTAGATATCCCGGTAAGAGTGAGTGGGATATAGAGAAAATAAGAATTTTATTTGAAGTAGAGGTCAGTTTTTTGTGAGTCACAGGAAATGCAAAGACAGGAAGGACGTGAAGCAACCATTTCCCTTCCTTAGTCGCCGTGATACCCCTTCTCGTGTCCGCAATCCGTCTTCTTGATTCTTCTGTGTTCTATTTTTGGCATACTAAGAGAATGACAGCATTTCCTTTCTTTTGAAAATCATATTAATTTTAATTTTTTTCAATATAAAGTCAAGAGAAAAAATAAATATAGCATTCTGCGAGGTGGACCTTAAATTCCAAACATCATTTTGACAATATGGAACAATAGTGATTTAGACATGCATATTATCCTGTAATCAGTGACTTGTTTAAAGGGACACCGACATGCATGGAACGATTAGAGGATTATTCATGAAACAATGGATTTTTTTAA